CGCTCTGCCCTGCCGCAGGGATCGCTCCCGCTGGGGGCCGGGTTCAAGCCCGGTCGGCCGAGTGCACGGCAGCTCTCTGTCCCCAGGTGTGTTACTCCTTAGCGTCGGGTGCCCCCCTGCGTTGCTCGTGTCTGCCCTCCTTGCCTCTGATTTAGAGAAGATGCACGTTTAAAGGGCCTTTCTCCCAGGCTGACTTTCAGAGGAAGGCTTTGGGGGGCCGGGAGACCTGGCCCAGTGAGTGCCCTGCACGGGGTGGAAAGAAGAAGCATTTCTCCCCCCTGGGATGTGCCTTCTCTTCTCATCCTTAGACCTTGGAGAGAGTGGCTTGGGGATTGGCGCCTGTGCACCGAGGCCCCTCTGCAACCCCCCAAGTCAGAGGATAAGGAGAAGCTGCCTCTCCTTGCCCTGCACGGTCTGTCCGTCTGTCCGTGGTGGCAGGTGCGGCTGCTTTCGCACAGAGAAAGTGCAGGCGGAGCCAGATTATCATTGTTGTCATCATGTGATTGAGTCATAGTGGCACGTGACACTGTGTTTGCCTTGCAGTCAGACACCTGGGAGCTCTGCACATAAACTCAAGGTTGAAAGTCAGGGGAATTAATTGGTGGGCATGGTGTGACTGGGTTTGGACCTTTCCATCTTGCACTTGCTGGGATTCCAAGCGCTGAGTGCACTTCTCCTGTGTAGTTTTGGAAGTTGCCTCAGGTTCTGGTGCTCACTGCTCATTAAGAGCCTGCTTTAATGCTGCTAATATAGTGGTCTCAAAATGCTCTAAGGTCCCATGAAGACGCCAGGAAGTGGGGGTGAAATAGACCCCGGTACTCTGTGGAAGGGGAGGGTGCCACTGACATTGTTCAGGTCTAAGGGCGCAGCCATTGAGAAGAGCATGGGTTCCGGGTATTTGAGTACTTGCTTTCAGTACAATGCTGAAGACAAGGCAGGAAAGATTGCTGCTGCGTCTTGAATTCTGGGAAGCTTATTAGACATATTCAAATTAGTCTACTTATTTATTTATTTATTGGGGGGGTCACACCCAGCGATGCTCAGGGGTTACTCCTGGCTTTGCATTGAGGAATTACTCCTGGCAGTGCTTGGGGAACCATATGGGATGCCGGGGATCGAGCCCGGGTTGGCCGTGTGCAAGGCAAATATGCCCTACCTGTTGTACTATTGCTCCGGCCCCCAGACCAGTTATTTCTTTCTTTTTTTTTTTTTCCTTAAATTTTTATTAGTGAAACGCCATGAGGTATAGTTGTAGACTTAAAAATTTTTGTGCTTGGGTTTCAGTTATACAATGATCGAATACCCACCCCTCCACCAGTGCCCATTCTCCACCACCACCAGTCCCAGTATCCCTCCCACCCCCCATCCCCCCATCCCACCCTACCACTGTGGCAGGGCATTCCCCTCCATTATCTCTCTCCTTTTGAGTGCTGTGGTTTGCAAAAGAGACATTGAGTGGCAATCTTGTTCGGTCTATAGTCTACTCCTCACGCATTTCCCATCCTGAGAGGAACCTCCCAACACCCTTTATTTGGTGCTCCCTTCTCTATCTGAGCTGCCTTTTCCCCTAGCGTGTGCGGCTGTCCTCCAAGCCATGAAGTAATCCTCCTGGTACTTATCTCAGCTATTCTTGGCTGTTAGTCTCCTATTTTGTTACTTTATGTTCCCCAGATGAATGCAATCTTTCTATGTCTGTCCCTCTCTTTCTGACTCATTTCGCTTAGCATACTTTCCATGTAAATGTAAATGTAAATGTAAATTTCATGACTTTATCTTTTCTAACAGCTGCATAGTACTCCATTGTGTAGATGTACCAAAGTTTCTTTAACCAGTCATCTGTTCTCGGGCACTCAGTTTTTTTCCAGATTCTAGCTATTGTAAAGAGTGCTGCAATGAACAAACAAGTGCGGATGTCACTTCGACTATACTTTTTTGCCTCTCTGGGATATATTCCCAGGAGTGGTATTGCTGGGTCAAATGGGAGCTCAATTTCTAATGTTTTGAGGATCGTCCATACTGTTTTCTAAAAGGGATGAACCAGTCGGCATTCCCACCAGCAGTGAAGGAAAGTTTCTTTCTCGCCACATCTGCGCCAACACCGGTTGCTTTTGCAGACCAGTTTATTTCTTAAGCAAACATCTGACCAAGCTCCAGCTTGGGGCCAGAGAGAGTGCACAGTTGGTAAAGTGGTTGTAACAGCTGAGACCCTGATTGGAGTCTGCAGCATTACTTATAGTTCCCTGAGCACTGTTAGGAGTGATTCCTGAGCACAGAGCCAGGAGTAGTCCTAAAGAGCCTCTGGGTATGACCTTACTCCCCTTTGCCCCAAAAACAGAAAAAAAGATTGGATTTGGAGTATTAAGAACTTACCTCAGCTACGGAGAATTCTAATTCAGTATATTCTGATTAACTTCAAGAGGAGTTGTGGGTTGGTGCTAAGAGAGATTAAGTACCGTATTTGATGTCACTTGTTTAAGGTCAGGGACAGACGTTTCTGATCCAGCTGGTCTGTGTGACTCCAGAGCTAGGTGTTTCTAGGGTCACTGCCTTTCAGTGACTATCTTGGGGGGCCTAGGACACTCCTGATCCAGTTAGTCAGAACTGTTAGGAGCACTTTTGGGCTTTTTGTATGCCACACCTGGCAGTGCTCCTTACTGATTTACTCCTTAGTGTGCTCAGGGATCAGTCCTGGTGGTTCCTGGGGGACCATATGCAGTGTGGTGGGTGGAACCAGAAAATTGTTTTGGTGGTGGTGGTGGTGTGTGTGTGTGTGTATGTATGTGTGTATGTGTGTGCGCTCAGTGGCTATTTGTGGTACTGTGCTGAGGAGTGACCCCTTGGTTTGAACCAGGGTAGATGGAATGCCTTAACTCTGTACTCTCTCTTGAGCACCCAGACAGAAATGCTGTTCATTTTATTTTGGGGAGGGTGGGGCTTCACATCCAGCAGTCTCAAGGCCTCTCCTGGCTCTGTGTGCAGGGGCCATGCCTAGTGGTGCTCAGAGGACCTTGTTTGGTGCCAGAGATTTGAGCTACATTGGCAGCTGCAGCCTTAATGTCTAAGCTATTTCTCTGTTCCTGTGTGCTTTTCATTTTAAGGAAATTGGTCACAATGGGTAGCTTATGTGGATCTTGGTTGCTGGGAAAACTCGACTATATGGCTAGTGTCACCTCATTGAGGAGGAGACTAAATTGTCTGTAGTCAGATTTAATTTTCTTTCGTGGAGAGGGAGGGGGCACACCCGGTTGTGCTTATGGCTTCTGACCATGCTCATGGCTCACTCCTGGCAGGGCGCAAGAGACCATATGTGGTGAGGGGTTGACAAGTAACAGGGCAAACTTCTTAACCACTGTACTATCTCTCGACTCCCAGAAAGGTTAAATTGACATGAAGCCAAAGTAGCTCTCTTAAAAATACAAAACAGAAGGATGAAGACTTTTACTCTTTTTGCTCTTAGCTTTGTGCTCAGGGCTCATTTCTGCTGGTGCTTGGGGGATCAGATTGGGTGCTGTGTGTTCAAACAGGGCTGGCCATATGGAAGGCAGTTGCCTTACCAGCTCTGCTGTCTCTCTGGGCCATCCATTCTTTATGGGATCGGGGGTCACATACAATGACAGTGTGTCAGCGCTCACAGGCTGCTGTGATCTAGGGATCGCACTGGCATACGTGTGGGGAGTGCTGCGGATTGAGTTAACAGATAACATGGAGCTATTCCCAGCCTCGGTTTTGTGCTCTTTGCCTCCCCTCTTCTTCCCTCCCTCCCTCCCTCCCTCCCTCCTCTCTTGTTCTCTGGCTCTCTAGCGTTCTCTGTCTCTGTGTCCCCTCCCCCTCTCTGTCTCCATTCCTCGCTCCCTCTCCTGCCCTCCCTCTTGGTCGTGCTTAGCCATCTGGTGCCAGGGATTCAACCTCTATTCAGTGTACAGAGCATGCGCTCCAGTCCTTTGAGCAGTCTCCCTGGCCCTTACGCTCTCTTAATTGAACCATTTTGCTCATATGGTCTCTGGGAGTAAAGTTGGAGGTTGGCTGTCATCCTCTATGACTTGGGCCAGCTCTTCTACCCCTCCTTCACATATCAGCTTTGGGTAGACCCCCAGCTCCATCATGGTGCCCTTGTCGTCCCTACTCCTAGCATGGCTCTCTCATCTGCTCAGCACCGTGTCCCCCCATTGGCCCACCCGCCGTCTCTGCTGCCAGTGACTCTCTCTGCAGAACCACCAAAGACTTTGCAGTTTCTTGAGAAACATTTCAGGGTCTTTGCCATGCTCTAGAAAGGACTCCCCAGTTCATCTCTTGTTGTCTTCTGTGGTCTCACCAACTCTGCAGACACTGGAGACCCTAGGGAGGCTCCCTCCTCTGGTCCCCAAGGCTCCTGTTCTTTCAGCTCTTACTGGAACACTCCTTGTGTCCAGTGTCATACCTCACCCTGGAGCCGCTAGCCCTTGCTTGCTCGCACTCTCACCACCCAAGAGTGGGCAGGTCCACGTGTCCCTCTTCTCCAAGAAGGCGAGCCCAGGCGGGCAGCATCTCATCAGCTGGAACATCGCCGTACCTCAGAGGCTTTTGGCAGCTGTGTTTGGAGTAAATGAGCCTGTTCTCTGAACTGGCAGGGCATTTATTTGTGTTACTCTGGGGGCATTCGTCACATTGCCTCTTGGATGTGTTCTTGTCTGTACTGTCCACCTGTTGCCCCGTGTGATTTATTACGTAAGGTTTTTTTGGGTGTAATCATTAATTTACTCTTACACCTTCCTTTTGTCATGGCACCTGTAGTAGGAATCATGTTTATTTGCTCTTTGCTGCACCCGGTACAGTGCTGGCACTAAGAAGGTGCTCAGCCAGGACCGGGAAGTTGGGGAGACTGCCTGGAGGAGACTACTGCTGTCTGGGAAGCCCATTGACAGCCCCTCCCTAGTCCTTGTTCTGCAGAGAGCTGGTGGATACCCTGTGAGCGTCACAGACCAGCTAATGGTGTTTCTCCCCTGCCCCCTCTCCCCATGCAGGTGCTGCAGAGTCTCCAAGGCACCATGAACGCCATTGTGGCTCTCTGTCACTTCTGCGAGCTCCATGGTCCTCGCACTCTGTTTTGTACAGAGGTTCTGCACTCTCCGCTTCCGCAAGGGGCTGGGAATGGGGACAGCCCTGGCCAGGGTGAACAAGCTGAGGAGGAGGAAGGCGGGATTCAGATGAGCAGTCGGATCCGTGCTCACAGTCCAGCAGAAGGGGCCAGCGCAGAATCCAGCAGCCCAGGACCCAAAAAGTCGGATATGTGTGAGGCAAGTGCCTGGGAATGTGGAAGACTTTGTGGGAGGCTTGTGCTGGTGCTCTGCGTTGGTCCCTGCTGTGTGCAGTGGACAGCAGATGCCCTGGGGTCATAGAACATGAGTGTGACTACTACACAGGAGGCTAGTGGTCTTCAGACCAGTTTACTGCTTTATTGTCCCCGTAGTGCTTTCTCTTCATCCCGTGCCAGTAGGCAGTTGCTGCCACACGGCACATCCCCTTCAGTTCTTCCCTTCACACACTCTCCGCTCACTCTTGGCTGCCTACGTGCCTGTTTAAGAGTTTGCGCCTCCTGGATTCTGCCCCTTCATTCTGTGGCATTCATGAACTATGGGAAACAAAGTTAAGTTCCGTCAACGGTCACTTCTTCCCATGGAACTTCTAGGTGTGGCTGGGCCTCCCTGTACACAGGAATCGATCCACCTCAGTTTGGTTCTACTGAGAAGCGGGTGATGTGCTGGAGGCTCATTTGTGTACTTCATGAAATGCTGGTGAGGGGTCTAGGTGGGAGGAGTAACAAGTGAGGAGAGCGTTCAGGCTGCACTCCTGTACAGAGCTAAGACTGGAAAGGGGGTCTCGGAAGAGGGTCTCTGAGCCAGGTTTGCTGCAGGTCCTGCATTTCGAAGGAGGTGCTTGCATCAGTGCCCTGGCACAGTCACTGGGGCAGCCTCCCTGATGTGACTTGCATGCCCACTGCAGGGTCTCAGCGTGCCTCCTCGCACTGCTGCACAAGCATTGAGGGCTTGGTCTTCATGGCTTTGCCATGTAGCCATGCCTGGATCTAGGACACAGCCTGAACTTCGCACAGGCGGCTCTGAGCCTGTGTTTGCCTGCTATAAAGTGGAGGCTTTCGCAGTAATTATAGGTTGCACTCTAGACTCTGTGTGTGTGTGAAGTAAGGCACGTTTCTTTAGGAAACGAAGGAAAGAGAGATCTGAACTCTAGAAAGAACATGAAATTCTCTAGAGTGGAAAGCAGAGTGCACCCTCCAAGCAGGGATGTGGGCAAAAATGCCACAGAGTACACACGAAAGGCAGGTGTGGGCCAAAGAAGGGAAGAGAAATAAACATCTCGGACAGATGTGAACAAATGGACTCTGAAGTAAGAAAGAATACATCCTACACAGGGACGTGGGCAAAAGCAGGTACAGAAAGAAAGTACACGTGTTCAGAGGAGAGTCGGGCATGTGCACTGGGTTGCACTTCAGATGAGTGAGGCTATGTAGACCGCACTCTTGGGCCTCCTGCTGCATGGGTCCCACGGCTAGTCTGTCATTCATAACCTCTGACTGGCTCTCCATCTCTCTTCTCTTTTTCCTATTTAGAAAATGTTGCAATCTTCAGCCAAATCTAGAAGCCTGTTATTTTGATAGGAAAATAGATTTGGTTTTCTAAGTCAGATTGTGTCTGAGTAAGAAAGTCTGTTGTCTGGTCTCTAATTGGTTTTCTTTTCCTTCCTACGGCCAGGGCTGCCGATCACTTGCTGCTGGGCATCCTGGGTATATCAGCCACGATAAAGAGACCTCGATTAAATATGTCAGTCACCAGCACCCCAACCACCCCCAGCTCTTCAGTGTTGTCCGCCAGGCGTGTGTCCGGAGCCTGAGCTGTGAGGTGGGTGCTGTGGCTGGGGTGTGCAGAGCCTGTCCGGGCTCGTGGGCCTTGGATGGTTCCTTCTGTCCAGCCGTAAGGAAGCTGGCAGGGCGTGGCGGCCTGTTCTGTTAGTTTCTGGTTTCTAGATTTTAGAAGGCTGCTAGTGCGTCCTTATAAGTACCAAACTTCTGTTACTTGTCCGGTCTTGATGGGCTTATTTGGGTTAGAGGAAATACCTTTTTCGTTATTTCACCTTTGTATTGTTTTCATTGTTCCCAGCCTCACCTTTTTATTGTTTCCTGTAAGATCTCACCTCTGCATTGCTTCCATTTTAAGAGCTCACCTTTGTATGTTCGAAGCCACAGGGATCATCCTGTAGTCCTGAACCTGCTCACCAGTAAATTTGTTAGTTTCTGAGACTCCCTGGATGTGGCTCTTGTGGACTTTTGAATCTCAGTTTTTTTGTTTCTCTGTCAGAAAGAATTCCCTGGGCCTGGAGAGGATTCCCAAGGGGCTGAGCGCATACTTTGCTTACAGAAGGCCCAGGTTTGGTTCCAGGCACCTAGAGCACAGCCTGGAATAGTGGCCCAAGCACAGAGCTGGGAGTAGGCCCTGAGCACCGCTGGGTGCGATCCCACAAACCAGAAACAGAATCCAACATCCTGTTAATGAAAGTTGCCTCCCCTGCTCCTCACAGCCATGCATCCTGAGTGTGCTGAGTGCTGGCCGCACTCCTCCTGCCATTTGGACTCCCTCCTGCTATTCTGCTGGAGACAGAGTCTTGCTGGCAGATTGTGGTAAAGTCAGTGTGAAGGTGTGATGGGGAGACCTGCGTTCTCTCTACAGATGAAGTATGCAAGCTTGATTGTATGGATTATGCAGTGGTATTTTGACCTATCAGGTCTACAGTGTTTTCGAGATGAGTGACCAGGCAGTGTTGAATCTTGAGAGATATAGAATTTGTGTAAGAGTTATTTATGGCTTCAGGTAGAAAAAGTGGTGAGCCTGCTTGACTGTTGATTGATCTTTGCATACCATAACAAATACTCTCTACAGCAGGCAGGGCACTGTCCTTACATGCTGCTGACCCAGATTCAGTCTCTGGCACCCACTCCGTATGGTCTCCCAAGCCAAGCCAGGAGTGAGCTGAGAGAAGAATCAGGATTAAGCCTGAGCACTGCTGACTGTGACTCCCAAACAAAAACCAGAACAAAAAAAATGATTAAATAGTGGGTATTTAATAGAGATGAAGAGGTAGACTAGAAGTGCTCTCATTTTCATTTTTCCTTACATCTTTGTAATTTGTTGCCATGCTCATTAAACAGAATTAGAGGTCTTTTCACAAATATTTCTCTGGAAGGGAAAAGAAGTAAACTGTCCAGAAACAAAGTGGTTCTGAATATTTAAAAAACAAACAAACAAAAACCCCAAACAAACACTCTCTTTAGAAAGTCTCATCCCAGAGACAGATGAATGCTACATTTTCTTTTCTCTTTCTCTTTCTCTTTTCTTGTTTTGTTTTTGAGCCATTCCTAACAGTGCTCAGGACTTACTCCTGGGTCTGTGCTTAAGGATCATTTCTGGTGGTGCTTGGAGACCCATATGTGGTGCTAGGGATTGAACCTGGGTGGGCTACATGCATGCAAGCACTCGACTGGTTATACTATCTCTCCAACCCACCCCACCCTTCTCATTCTCCCTATAATCACTGCAGAAAGGTCGTTTTCCTCAAGTGAGGGGGCTTTGTCCCTGAGTGGCTGTTGTTTTGCTCCAGGTCTGCCCTGGCCGGGAAGGCCCCATCTTCTTTGGGGATGAGCAGCACGGTTTTGTCTTCAGCCACACCTTCTTCATCAAAGACAGCCTGGCCAGAGGCTTCCAGCGCTGGTATAGCATCATTGCCATCATGATGGACCGGATTTACCTCATCAACTCCTGGCCCTTCCTGCTGGGGAAGATTCGTGGGATCATTGATGAACTCCAGGGCAAGGCACTGAAGGTGACATCATATCAGGGGAATGGTGTTGGTCAAGGGGAGCTCATGCTGGGGTAGGGGTAGAACCCTGGTTGTATTGTTATCTCTTGGTTCTGCGCCACTAACTAAAGTAGCCTGGCCTCAGAGTCAGGGTCATGTCTATCACACAGTAATCTCTGTTGATTCCTTGTCCTGGATCTCATTCAGCTCTGACTTCTGTGCTGCAGTAAGATGCCCTGCTTTTCAACCCTGGTGTCTTTCCCTCCTTTCACCTAATATTAGAAAAGTGTCTGTTAATTGTGTTGCAGACCTGCTTCATAAATGTGACCTTTAACGGTGGCATTGCATCTTTAAAGGGAGGCTAGATTATACTCTGGTCTCAGACAGACCTCATATCCAGCAGCTAAAAACTACAATTTGGTAGGTGGGAGAGATAGTGTAACAGGTAGGCTGCTTGCTTTTCTTGCAGCAGACTCAATCCCTGGCACCTCATATGGCCCCCTAGCTGCACATGAGTGATCCCTGAGTGCAAAACCAAGAGTCCACCCTGAGCACTGTTGTGGTCCAAAAACAAAACAGCCTTCTCCTCCTGCTCCCCAAGTTTACTCCTTACTCATGCTGTGTCATTGCAGGCGAGTGGTGGCTCTGCTCTTTGTGCTCATTTTGACTGGTTGGAGTGTTACTCATTTGCTCCTCCAGAGGGCAGCGAGGATGCTGGAGGGCTGGTTCTAGATCTGGTCACATGTCCTGTTCACGCAGTGGTGAAGTCTCCATGTTGGGAAATAGTAGAAGCAACACTGAGACAATCTTGGGCATGTGAGTTTGTGAGGGCACTGGGTGCCTGATGAGTTGTTGTAGCAGAGGGTACAAGAAGGAATTCTCTAGGCCCCCCCCCCGCACACACACACCACCTCCCCTAATTGTTGGGAACTGAGCCTAGGACCTCATATATGCAAGGCAAGCCCTGGAGAATTTATTAACTTATTCCTTCTAGGTGACTACAATTGAGCTGGGAAACAAAATCATTCTGTTGGAATTCTGAGATGGGTGGCACCTTCCAGATCTGTCCAGAGCTGAAGCAGGCAGAAGCCTAAGAGTAGGCTTGTGGAATGGGCGCTGAGGGCGCTGGATCTGAGCTGTACGGCTGGCTTTGTTCCTTAAATAGCTGCTCCTTCCCTTTGCGTTTCAGGTGTTTGAAGCAGAGCAGTTTGGATGCCCACAACGTGCTCAAAGGATGAACACAGCCTTTACACCATTTCTGCACCAAAGAAACGGGAATGCCGCTCGTTCTCTGACATCCTTGACAAGTGACGACAATTTGTGGGCATGCCTTCACACTTCCTTTGCCTGGTAATGTCATTCTCAGTTCTCCTTAGCAACTCTTGGAATAAGAGCCAGGCTCATGCTTCACATGTGGGAGCCCCAGCTTTGGTGCCAGGCACTGCATGGCCTCCTGAGCACCATTGGGAGTTGCCCCTAAGAGCCTCTGAGAATTGGCTGGCTTGTGCATGAGTGTGGAATGAGCCCTCCTTGGATGGGTACCCAGTGCCTTCGTGATGTGTGCTTGGTGATCTCTGAACCATGCTGCCACTGCTTTTACTCTAGTTTCTGACGTGTGGAAAGTCAGGTAGGTAGAACTCTCTTTTCAATTGTAGTTTCATTTAAAAAGATTTTTTTGGCTCCCCAAGCAGGAGTCAGGAAGCACAGGCTATTCCAGCAATATTCAGTTAGCTGGGTTAGGCGGTTCAGAGCTGCTGAGATGGCACCCAGTGGTGTCCCATTAATCTAAATCAGTCGCCAAATCCAAGCCAGTGCCTTGCATATTGAGCTAAGCATCTCAATAGTACTTTTAAAGGGAGGTTAGTGACCTCCTCCTCCCACCCCTTTTGATTTTTTTGGTTTTTGGGCCACAACTGGTGACGCTCAGGAGTTGCTTCTGGCTCTGCACTCAGGAATTACACCTGGACTTGCTTGGGGGACCATATGGGTGCTGGGGCTCAAACCCAGATTGACTGTGTGGAAGACAAATCCCTTACCCGCTGTATTATCTCTTCAGCCCCTGTTCTCCCTTTTTTAAAATAATAAACTTTTATCTCACACAACTTCTGGGGGCCTGGAATTGAGGGTGACATTAGCTGGTTCCATACCTGTTCTCAGGAGTGCTTTGTCCTCAGGAGGGCTGCATCAGTTGAACATCTGGCTTCTTATGAGTCTGGGAAGTTGGAGTGAGCTTGGGGCAAAATGCCTGATCCTCACTGAACAGACATGTAGCCGATACTCCCAGAGTCACTGAGAGATAGTAGAGTAGGTAAAGCTCTTGCCAGGACCATACCCCATATGGTCCCCTGAGCACCATCTGCAGTGATCCCTGAGCCAGGAGTAAGCCTGAATACAGCCGGGTATAACCCCAAAACACACAAAAATGAATTTCGTTGGGGTCTGGAAGTCTCAATGCCCCCATCGCCTTCAGTGTATCATGGAACTGTGGCTGGCTTAGTAGAGAGAGGAAGAAAGGAGTGGCTTTTGTAGGGAGGAGTGTCAGCAAATTTCTGGACATAAAACCAGCACATTGTGTCTGCTGGCCACAAATGGTTGCTTTTTCATCCCATTACAGAACAGAATCCTTCAGAGACTCCCTCAGTTCTCCTTCCTGTGCAGCATCTATTTCATATCTAGGATCTTATCCAGATTAGGTCCCAATGTGGATAAGGCACCTCAGATCAGAGGTAGATCCTTGAGTGCAGCTACAAGAACCTGTGAACTAAAGAGAAAGAGTATCTATTTCCACCACCTGCCATACAGTTCCACCCTGGCAGGGCTTGGGGAAACATGTGGTGCTGGGTGTGAGTTCACAAGGCAGTGTGTGGGTGTTGCATGACACGTGTGTTCAGTGGCTGAGAATCGCCTCCTGTCCTCCCCAGGCCTCCCCAGCAGAGAGACAGAGATGGGGACCACAGCCTGATGGTGAAAATGGCCATTTAAAGCAGAGCTGCTAGCATACTTATAGAACATCTGAGGGGGTCAGAGGTGTAGGACTGCATGCCCATGTGATTTGCAGAGGTAAAACATTCCAGCAGAGGCAATTCTCTGGGGGAGAAAATTCTCAAGGAGATGCTCTGTCCTCCAGGGATGTCTATATTGCTTTTCTCTTTCCTTCTAATCGTATATAGCGAACAGTTAAGTCAAACAATTAATTCTATTTCTTACCAATACTTGCAGTCTTGGATAGATACAGTAAGAGATAAAGATTCCAAAACTTAGTTCTCTGGGCTCTGAGATCAAGCAAGGTACCGTAAATCCCGGACTAAGTCCTCAGGTCAGTTCAGCTTGTCCTTAACCATGGGGGTCCTGTCTCTTAAGTCATAACAGCTTGCATCAGGACCATGCATTTATGCTTTCTAGACTGTCCCATTTTGATGCCAGGGTAGCTCCGCGACTCGCCCTGGGTCCATCCCAGTCCCACAGTGGGACCTCCATTTTGGGGTGTTAGGAACTATAGCAGCCGGAATCTGAGTCAAGTAATTATTACAGATGCCCAGGAGTAGATATATTTCAGAGTCAACCAACTCCCAAATATTAGGAGCATAGCACTAAGGTTTTTCTGTGTTTAACCAAAGAACATTACTCTATAATAAAATATGAAAAGGCTATAGGGGAAATAGAAAAGCAAGTAATTCACTACAAATACAAAATCCAGAATTACCAGAAAGTTTTGGCTTATAAGTAACCAAGATTGACTTGGGGAACTGTGACAGTGAGGTGTAAAACACAAAGCAAAGGAAAGATTAAAGTAATTCCTGAATGCTGAGCCAGGAGTAACCCCTATGCATTGCTGGGTATGACCCCCCCCCAAAAAAAAAGTTACTTACAGAACCTGGCAAGGCCTAGGTTCAATTCCCAGCACCTCCAGGCACTGCCAGGAGTGACCCCAAAGCACAGTGCCAAGAGTAAGCCCTGAGCGTGGCTCCAAAACTGTAAAAATTTTTATCAGGGAAATTTTCAAATAAACCCAGTTGTATCATGAACTAATGTCCCTATCTCCAGTTAATCAGTTTTTGGCATATTCAATACGCCAGGGGGAGCTTGCCAAGCTCTCCCATGTGGGCAGGATACTCTTGGTAGCTTGCCGGGCTCTCCGAGAGGGACGGAGGAATTGAACCCGGGTCAGCCACATGCAAGGCAAATGCCCGACCCGCTTTACTATCGCTCCAGCCCAAGCATCGTGAATATGACCTCTAAAAAGCCAGGAAAAAATAAAAAGTTATATCAGACCACTTCAGTCTGAAAACTACAGACCAACGAAATTGACAGTTTCTTTTATCATGCAAGCCGGACCATGTTTTGTTTTTACTGTTTTCCTTAGCATTGACTTATGAATTGGGACCAGAACAGTTCTCCATAGTGTATAGATTGCTCGAAGCTGCTAGTCTTTGGCTGTTTCTCCTCCATACCCAGCTCACCCTCCACTCCCACTTCATCCCAGCACCCCATGGTTGATTTTCCTGTATCTTTACTGGGCTATTTGCCCTGTAGACCTTTGGCTCCAGCTCTTCGTAACTTCGTGGTTAACTCAGTGTGTTTTTTATAGCCCCGCTTTCTGTAAGCTAGAAGATCAGGAAGCCTGATTGACTGCAGGTTTGGTTTTTCTTTTTGACAAAAAATCTTCATAGATGTGCTTTGTTCCCCAGGCTCCTGAAGGCATGTGGCAGCCGGCTGACAGAGAAGCTCCTGGAGGGCGCTCCCACTGAGGACACCCTGGTCCAGATGGAAAAGCTTGCAGGTGAGCTGGACAGCACTTGTGCTGGAGCCGTTGCAGCTGATGCTGTTGGGAGAGTTGTTTGGGCCTCCCCACGGAGGATCAAAGGCTGATGAGAGGGATCCGAGAACAAAGGAGTGCCCAGGAGATGCCTCTTCAGATCCTCACCCCTTTCACTTTGGTGTTTCTGTTGTGTTCCTGTTTCTAGGTAGTTTGGGAGAATCCCAGCAGTCTCTGGAGAGGGTGGATTGAGGGAAAGTTTTCTTATCCCTCTTTCAGGATAGTGGAATGTTTGGTTTTCTAGATCATCTCTTATTTTCTTTTTACCCATAAAATACTATACTTCAGTGGGAGTATTTCAGTCAAGGTCAGTGATTCCCACACATCACTGTTACCTACTCAGCCTTCTCCATGTTTGTCACTAGATTGACTTCTGTCTGCAGCTCAGGGTCCTGTGTTTTACTCGCTGTTTGTATTTTGGTTTTGGTTTTGGGGCCACACTTGGCTATGCTCAGGGCTTATTCCTAGCTCTGTGCTTAGGGATCACACCTGGCAGTGTGGGGGACCACATGTGGTATCAGCAGTTAAACCTGGTTGGCTACATGCAAGGCAAGAACCCTACTCACTGTACTATTTCTTTGGCCCACCCATGTGTTTAAATTAATTTCCTAGAGCATTCTGGGGCATATATACCAGCCTCACTCCTGAATGATTTAATTCTTTATAGTCTTAATGATGGGATTGGCTAAATCAGATTTATGATGTGCAGTTTTTACTAATAGTGCTGTACTAATATTATTTTTGTGAGTGGTTAGTCTTAATGAATTAGATCTGTTTTACACTATTTGGTTTGGTTTTGGGATCACACCTGGTGAGTTCTCCTGGGACCAGATGGTGCCAGAGATTCAATCTGAGGTTTCTTTATGCAAAGAATGTACTCAGGCTGTTGAGTCACTTTCCTGGCCTTGAGATTTGTTTTTCAGTCAAGGAACTTGCACACATTTGCACTCAAACATTTTTTTCAAAGCAGAGAAATGGGTATAGAGTAACAGTGTCAGTGGAACAGGCTTACAAAAGACAAGCCTTGGGCCAAAGAGGTAGTACAGTGAGTAGGGTTGCGCATGGTCAGCCTTGGCCAGCAAGGGTCAGCCTTGCACGTGGCAGACCTGGTTTGATCCCCAGCATCCCATATGGTCCCCTGAGCCTGCCAGTAGTGATCCCTGAATGCAGCGCCAGGAGTAACCCTGAGCATTGCCAGGTATGGCCCCCAAAACAAACAAAAGAAGCCAAAAAGACAAATCTTGGAGTTGATTCTCACATTCTCTGATCAGTCAACCCTAGAATAGTGTATTATTGTGATCACACGTTTCTAGGCTAGTGAAGCTGGCCAGGGCAGTCTGTTAGTGAGATCTGTTTACACAGACCAAACATACCACACTTTCACACCAGCTTTGCAACATACTGAGTAAGCAGCCTACCGAACTTTTTCTGCCTACCTACCCCTAGGGCTCCAAAGACTACACAAGGGAATTAGCCAAAACAGAAGTCAGGAGGATGTGGCTTAGTGGCAGAGCACATGCTTCACATCTTTGAGGCCCTGGGTTTGATTCTGATCCTTGGCCCAAGAAATTCATAGCTGACTAGTCAGTTCAACCATGTGATGCTTTGGGCTGAAGTGGTCACGTTGTAAGGAGACTGATGCATCCAGGGCATGAGGAATTTGGGGACAGCATGTTTCTTAACTGTGTTTGTTGTCCATCTTGCAGACTTAGAAGAAGAATCAGAAAGTTGGGACAACTCAGAAACTGAAGAGGAAGAAAAAGCACCTGGCCTGCCAGAGGGTGCAGAAGGACGAGAGCTGACCAAATGCCCAACAGACTCTTCCTTGCTCTCAGACTGTGGAAATTGGCAGACCCGAAAGCTGTCCGTCTTTAAGTCTCTTAGGCATATGAGGCAGGTAGGCAGTAGAAGGGTCAAGCCCTGATCAGAAACTCAGAAGAGCCCATTCCTCTCCTTCACTGCTTCTCTATCCATATACTGTTGGGCCTGTTTGTTTGAGACCAGCAGGGAGTTCTTACTCGGAACAATTGAAAACTGTCTAGGTTGGTTGCTGAAGACTCTGGTGGGCATCTAGGGTGATTAGGCAGAAAATCAGTGCTTCTTTTTCAGTGTTTGATATCTGTGTTTTCTTTAAAGAAAGTCATTGGTTGTTTGGCTTTATGTAGTCCTCTAATCTTACCATTTTAGAACTTTCTAAAGGTACGAAATCGCACTTTTACTGGGCTTTGATGTTATTTCTGCTGCTGCAATGCTTAGTCAACAGGACCACACCCAGCAGTGCTTGAGGGCCATACAGTTCTGGGGATGGAATCAAGGAACCACACACATGAAGCATGTACTCTCCCATTTGAGGCACACGTCTGGTCTGCTTACCGGTTTGCGTGCAACCTAGACTGCAAATTGAAAGTGATGGCCATTATTTTTTTGAGTTGTGAGAGGGTTTGCGCTAAACCTGGCAGTACTCAGGGGATCCTGTGGTGCTGAAGATTGAACTGGGATCATCTGAATGTAAGACACGATTTTTACCCCTGTACTATCTCTCTGGCCCTGTGATGCTATTTTATCCCCCTTTATTTTGGGGCCACACCTGGCAGTGCTCAGGGCTTCCTCTTTCTGGTTCTGTGTTCAGGGCTCATTCCCTTAGGGTTTGGGGGACCATATAGGTTGCCAGATATAGAACCAGGGTCAGCCGCATGCAAGGCGGGTGACTTACCCACTGTACTATCTCTCTGTCCTCCAGGATGTCTTTCTTTTAAAATTTGGTTACAACCTGAATGTCTAACCATAGTAATAGGTTTTTATTGTCCAAACAATGAAATATCATTAAGTATAAGGATGGAAGTAATAAATATAGTGTACATAATTATAATAATAATTTTTGCATGCCATATATATGTATATATCGTATGTGTATATTTACTTATGTACATACCAAAGCAGAAGTCAAACAATTTTTTTTAAGAAGTAAAAGTTTATTATATAGTTCAAGTAGAAAGGTTCAGACACCTACTAGTGTATGTGTATGACACCACTAGTTGCCACTAGTTGTGTGTGTGTGTGTATGTGTCTTTCTCATTTGGATCCTGGCTGCCTCCAGCGTATGAGATCTGATCTTGCTCCTACACCATTCTCTATCCAGTGTAGGCTTTCCTCATCTGAATTCTTGTTCATTGGCCCTTTTTTTTTCCTTAAGTTTTTATTAGTGAAACACCATGAGGTACAGTTGTAGGCTTACAAATTTTTGTGCTTGGGTTTCAGTTATACAATGATCGAATACCCATCCCTCCACCAGCGCCCATTCTCCACTGTCACTTATTCCAGTATCCTTCCCACCCCTCATTTCCCCATCCCACCCTACCTCTGTGGCAGGGCATTCCCCCTTGTTATCTCTCTCCTTTTGAGTGCTGTGGTTTGCAAAAGAGACATTGGGTAGCAATCATGTTCGGTCTATAGTCTGCTCTCATCAAGCATCTCCCATCCTGAGAGGAACCTCCCAACACCCTTTATTTTGTGCTCCCTTCTCTATCTGAGCTGCCTTTTCCCCTAGCATGTGAGGCTGGCCTCTAAGCCATGCTCCTCCTGATACTTACCTTGGCTATTCTTGGGTGTTAGTCTCCTATTTTGTTACTTTATGTTCCTCAGATGAATGCAGTCGAAAGAAATATGTTTGTCCCTCTCTTTCTGACTCATTTCACTTAGCATGATACTTTCCATGTAGTACCACTTGTATATGAATTTCATGACTTCATCTTTTCTAACAGCTGCATAGTACTCCATTGTGTAGATGTACCAAAGTTTCTTTAACCAGTCATCTGTCAAACACAATATTAACATTGTTTATATTAGAGGAAGTGATCTCTAGATTGGGCTGGAGTAATAGCACAGTGGGTAGGGCGTTTGCCCTGCATGTGGCCAACCTGCGTTCGATTCTTCCATCCCTCTCGAGAGCCTGGCAAGCTACTGAGAGTATCCCGCCCGCATGGCAGAGCCTGGCAAGCTACCTGTGACATATTCAATATGCCCAAAACAGTAACAACAAGTCTCACAATGGAGACGTTACTGGGCCAGCTTGAGCAAATCGATGAACAGCAGGAAGATAGGGCAGTTCTACAGTGCCACATCTGGTGGTGCTCAGAGGTTGCTCCAGGCTTTGCACTGGAGAACTTGTGCAGTGCTCAGGGGACCATATGGGATGCTGGGTATCGAACCCAGGTTGGCCGTATGTGAGGCAAATGCCCTACCCACAGTACTACCTCTCCAGCCACATCGGAGCTTACTTTTGGCTCTGTCAGGAAAATTTCTGGTGAGGATTGGGTGAAAATATGGCATGCCAGGAATCAGACCCAGGTAGGCTATGTGCAGGGCAAGCTATTCCCCACTGAGCTATCTCCCTGGCTGCCTTCAGGTAAGATTGGAAGAAAGATATTAAAGTGTATAAAATTTTGGGACCAGCTTTTAGTTGCAGACTCAGAAACTTTTTTTGCTTTGGGAATCATACCTGGAGGTGCTAGGGGGTTACTTCAATTCTCTGGTTGGGCAGTTTATCATATATGATGCAGGGGGTTCCCACAGTATCACTCTGGTCTAAACCCAGAAAAGTTTGTTTTTGAGCCACACCCATCAATACTCAGGGGTTACTCCTGGGTCTGCACTCAGGATTCACTCCGATGGTGCTGAGGGGACCTTATGGGATGCTGGAGATCGAACCTGGGTCAGCTGCATCAAGGCAAGAGTCTTACTCGCTGGTCCCAAAACCAGAAAGTTTGATCTCCCCTTTTGAGCAAATTACCTTGAACAAATTGTCTAACCTCCCCAAGAAGGTAAGTGACTTTCTCCCAACCCATATTCATTCATTATACAGAGAAAATTGTAGATATATACATAAATGACTTTAGTTGGAAAGAAAGGAGAAATTCAGGGCAGAGAAACACTGAACTGTATTTTTTAGGTACTGGGCGCCCCATCTTTTCGCATGTTGGCTTGGCATGTTCTCATGGGAAACCAGGTGATCTGGAAAAGTAGAGATGCAGACCTTGTTCAGTCAGCTTTTGACGTTCTTCGGGTAAGAGCACCTTTCTCTTCTGTGTTTCATAGCAAGACAGTGTTTGCCTGATGGGATTAATCATATAGCACTGTAGCACTGTCCTCCCGTTGTTCATTGATTTGCTCGAGCGGGCATCAGTAGTGTCTCACAACAACTTGTGGGACTTGTTATTACTGTTTTTGGCATATCAAATACACCATGAGTAGCTTGCAGGCACTGGGATTAATCATAAACAATCCTATAGTGGGTGAGGTGTGATAATGAACCTAAAATATCTGCAGTGTTATAAATCAATGTTAAGTGAATTGAAACAGCAGCCCTGGCTTTAGATGTGAGTGCGAGGCTCAGAGCAGCGGCTTACACCTGAGTTTCAGATCTGTTTTCTCTGATATTGATAGTCATTGACGGATTTCCCTGACTGCCCATCTACCCTTCCCAGCCACTACTTCCCTCTGAGAAGCTACCAGAGAGGTTAGTAGCTGCTGTAGGGTAGGTCTAGGTCCCTCCAGTTTCTCTGTGGAGACAGTTGCTGAGATGCAGGTGATGTACACCATCTTCATTCTGGGTTGTGGGGGATGTAGTGGATGCTCTGATGTTCTCTTGTTTTTGGAGGGGGGGAGAGCTGCGGGTTTTGGACCAACACAGTGATGCTCAGGGGTTACTCCTGGTTCTACTGTCAGGAATTATTCCTGGTGGTACTTCGACTATATTGGGATGCCCAGGGGTCGAACCAGGTCAGCCACATGCAAGGACTACCTGCTCTACTATTGCTTCGGCCCCTCTACCTGCTGTACTTTTGCTCTGGCCCCTCAACCTCTTGTACTATTTCTCCAGCCCTTCTCATTTTGCTTGTTGTGGTGCCTTCCATGCAGTACTGGAGGCACTGTGGGATCACTCCCAGTGGTACTTGGCCTGGTACTGTGCTCACACTCAGTCGTGCAGCACTGTGCTGGGCCAGCGGTGCTGGTTCTGACCACTGTATTTTAAGTTGTAACTCCTGCCCTCTGTCTAGGCCTTGAGGGCACATAGGACACGGTGCTTTTCAAAAGCATATGATCTCTTAGGGACGGGGACGGGAGATGTGTGAGAATGCCCCAGAGCTTGCAGCAGTCTCTCATGAGGAGTGTGGCTGCAGGAAAGGCGCTGCCGTGGGGCAGGGAACCAGGCCGCTTTCTGGGAGGAGGGGAAGCTCTGGAGTGCCGGGTGGTGAGGGTGTGAGGCGGGAGACAGGTGGGCTGGGAGCCTCCTGCTGGTGTGGACTCTCTTGCTCTCTCCTCTCTAGACCATGCTGCCGGTGGGCTGCGTCCGCATCATTCCCTACAGCAGCCAGTACGAGGAGGCCTACCGGTGCAACTTCCTGGGCCTCAGCCCCCACGTGCAGATCCCCCTGCACGTGCTCTCCTCAGGTGTGTGCCTTCCCCTGCCTCAGGACCAAGGCGCAGAACCTGACTTAGTCCTGACTCTGAGGACATGCCTGCTCACCGCAGGGCAGTAGCACCCCACCTTGTGAGATCACTTTCCCAGAGGCTTCAGGCCTGTTTGTCTTTAAAATTTGGGCAGAACTGAACTGGAAAGCTTCAGAGTCAAAGTGACCTGTGGTGTGGTTCTCAGAAGGAGGGGCAGAGCAGGAACAGCGCAGGTAGATGTCAGCCATGTTATGCCCAGCTGGGGACATGGTTTGGAGGCCATTTGCTGATGGAGTGGCACACCGTCCGTGTCCTGCCTGTCATGGTGTCCTGTCTTTCTCCCTTAAACAAAAGGACTTAAATCCCTCTGAGACACTCATCAGTACAATTAGCCTTCACTCTACCCTCAGAGCTAATAAATTTACTCTCTACAGACAACCAGTGAGCTAACTGGCATCCTCTTGGGGGAGTGTAGGAGTTGGCCAGCCTGGGTGCACAGCTGAGCAACTGGGCCGAACACGTGACCGTGCTCACAGTCTGTTTGCTGCCCAGTAGCACCATAACTGTGCTCACAGTCTGTTTGCTGTCCAGTAGCACCAGCTGCCCTTCTTTAGTTGGGTTCTTGGTATTGGTATTGGGTTCTGCATCCTCTGAGGCAGCACCTTTTTTGCTGGGTTGTGCTAGGAACACAGGCTCTAGTTTCAAGAATGGTTTCAAATTCTTATTAGTACTAGTAATAATAGGCTGCCATTGTGCAGGTCCGTCAGTCTCTCCTGAGTCTGTCTCCCCCACCATTGAGATGGCAGTTACAATGAGGCTCCCGTGGGACCGTTGGGTGTCGAGTGAAGTATATAAAGTAATTACTATAGTATAAAACATTATTAGTAATTACTTAAACTCAGCTTTATTCACAAATAAGCTGTGGAAGACTTTCAGTGCTGAAGCTCTGAATATAAGATTTTTTCACCTGGCCGTAATTGCTGTCAGAAATTGGGAGTGAGAGGGATTGTGAAGAGGACAAGAGGCACTTCACAGAGCTTGTATTGTTTATTTGTGACAGAATTTGCTGTTGTGGTGGAGGTTCACATGGCCACCCGCTCCAGCCTCCACCCCACTGGCTGTGAGGATGATCAGTCTCTCAGCAAGTACGAGTTTGTGGTGACCAGTGGCAGTCCAGTAGCTGCAGACCGAGGTAGGTGCTGCAGAGTGGGACTTGTGCCTCGAGAGCAGAAGGGCTGTATCTGTGATTCAGCAGCAGAGCACTTGCCTCCCACGGGTGAGCTTGGATTAGATCCCCAGAACCACACACATATCCCCAAACGGAAGAAGACACTGGGTGTGGATGCATGTACACATACACACACTGCCCCCACCCCACGGGAAGAAGGCACTGGGTTTATACACCCAGAGGGAAGGTTTCCTCTCTCCTGTGTGTTGATCTCTGCCCCTCCATTCCCAGTCGGACCCACTATCCTGAATAAGATGGAAGCTGCTTTGACCAACCAGAATCTCTCTGTGGATGTGGTGGACCAGTGCCTCATCTGCCTGAAGGAGGAATGGATGAAGTAAGTTGCTTGCTCTAGCTCTTGGAATAGTCGCTTCTAGATAGGTCTCTGCTGATAAAACCAGAAGCTAGTTCCAGAAAAGGAGGAGGCAGAGCTCTGGTCACCAGGAGAGATTACCACCTCTCAAAGGCTCAGACTGTGTTCAAAGACCAGTTCCACCACTTACTCTGTTAGCTGGGGAGACCTTGAGCAAGTAATCCCAGACTTTTCAACCTCATGCAGTTCCTTTGTGACCTAGGGAGATAGCACCTTCAAGAGAAGCTGGTTTTTATTTTTTTTTTTCCTGCTGAGAAAGATTTATACGATTTGAAGAGAAACCAGAGTTTCTCTTCAGCTGCTGGCTGGAGCGATAGCACAGCGGTAGGGTGTTTGCCTTGCGCACAGCCAGCCCGGCTGAGCCGGGTTCGGTTCCTCTGCCCCTCTCGGAGAGCCCGGCAAGCTACCGAGAGTATCTTGCCCGCATGGCAAAGACTGGCAAGCTACTCGTGACGTATTCAATATGCCAAGCACAGTAACAACAAGTCTCAAAAAAATGGAGACGTTACTGGGCCCGCTCGAGCAAATCGATGAACAATGGGAGGACAGTGTTTGTTTTTTGCTGCTACTTAACTTTTAAAAAATCTTAAAACCAGATAGTAGGAATTCCCTCTTTATTCAGCAAGTTCACTTATTTCTTCAGCATCTTAGTCTCTTTTTGTTTTGGGGCCATAATCTCATGGTGCTCAGGTGTTACTCCTGGTACAGTGCTTGGGTGGGGGGGGTCAAACAGCGCTAAGGAACAAACTCAGGACTTATGCTATACTGCTTGGAGCCATCTCCCCGGAAGATAGAGCAATGGAAAGTGTCTTCTTACCCTCTCCCCCCATCCCAATCTAAATGCACGCCCATTTTGGTGCACTGGCCATACTTCCCGGGTTAGAGCTAATGGGCGGATGAGTGGTTCTTCAGCGGGGGAACCATGTGGTGCTACTGGAATTCCAGCTCAGTTGCAGAGCTGGTCTAGTCTTGAAGCCATTTAAGTTCCAAGGCCAGAATGCTGGTCATGCCATCGTGCTGTGATATCTGAGGTTTTGTTTTTGGTTTTCTACAGCAAAGTAAAGGTCCTTTTTAAATTCACCAAAGTGGACAGTCGACCCAAAGAAGACACGCAGAAGCTCCTGAGTATTCTGGGTGCCTCTGAGGAGGACAATGTGAAGCTGCTCAAATTCTGGATGACAGGCCTGAGCAAAACCTACAAGTCACATCTCATGTCTACAGTCCGTAGCCCCACAACCTCAGAGGCTCGAAACTGACCCATCATAGGAATGTGTCCAATGCACACTGCCTGGAAAGGGGTGACACAGCCATCCTTGCCTTCAGCTGAGAGAGGTCTTCTGTCAGATTGTGACAGACTCCTCCCATTGGGAACTGCAGCACGGAGCTGTTTCCTGCAAGGGACAGAGATTGGGGCTTGAACTTTTCCTTCTGCTGTGTGGGATTGGACTCGGTATACTTGGTATCCTCCCTCCAACTGGAGTGCTTCAGAGACAGGGAAAGTAATAGTGAGTGCCCAGTGTTTGCGCACCTGTAAGAAGCGGTGGGTAGGGAAATGTGTATTTTATCAGAAATTTCAACTGTGGAGGAAAGATGTGCCATTCTAGTCCCAATGTGGGTATTTGAGCTGTAATAACACACCCTTTCTCAAGGCTAATGTTTGAACCTTTCCATTTTGAAATTCAATTTTCCAGGTTGTATGTTTGGTTCTGTATGTTTTACTGCACTTGTGAAATTCCAGTACATGCTGATCTTTAGTCATTTTTAGTGATCTGGTTTTGAGTTAGGACTGTTAAGAAAGGTTTTTTTGGAGTTAGAGTGGATTTTCCTCATTGGATCCCCTAAAATTTATGTTCTGAAATTACGTGGGTATGTTCTCTTGTGGCTTTGAGTGTGCGATATAGCCTATAGCAGCCTAGAGCAACTCCCAGAGGACAAACCCAGGTCTTTGTCACTGGAAGATGCTTTGCTGATGTGGAGAATCAAGGCTTCTGATCTGCCTAACTCACTGTGTATAGACTTGAGAGACCCACTGTGGTTTTATGCCATATCACTTCACCCTGTAGTTGACTTTATACATTTACATTTGCCTATGGATAAGTTAAGTTTTCAGAATATGGTTTTAAGAGTGAATGTGGGGTGGGGGGGAGATTTTACAGCAGTCTTGCTATTTGTTTATAGTTTTTTTGTTTATATTTAACATAAAGATTAAGTTTATATGACTAGGTCTCTGTATCATGAAAGAACTTAAAACACAATAAAAGTGTATTTTTGTAGCTGTTGACCGCATTGTTTTATTGCTTTGATCCCTTAAATTTAAGTGGGATGAATCACAGAAAATATTATAATGAAATTAATACTAGTAGGGCCTGAGCTATAGTACAGTTGAGTAGGGCATTTGTCTTACACGCAGACACCCTGGTATCCCATATGGTCCTCCAAGCTCTGCCAGGATACTTCCTGAGTGAAGAGCCAGGAGTACCATGTAAAAATGCTGGGTGTGACCCAAAAATAAATAAATAAATGATTGGGGACTGTGCTCAGGTCAGGGGGCCTAAAGAAACAGCTGTTTTGTTTATAATACTGCCCGGCAGGCATCTGGGTTCACTGATAAACACAAAATTTGTGGTCTTCTTTGAATACATTATGTAGGTGAGGAGGGGAAGACACCAAGTATGTAGTATTACAATGATAGCACTTTTTTGTTTGTTTGTTTGTTTATTTGGGGAGCACAAACAGTACTCAGGGATTACTCCTGGCTTTGCACTCAGCAATTACTCCTGGAAGTTCTTGGGGACTATACGGGATGCCAGGGATCAAACCTGGGTTGGCAAGGCAAATGCCCTACCCACTATACTATTGCTCCAGTCCCTACAGTGATAGCACTTGTTTGAATCTATCCCTGAAATACAAAACAATAATTCAAAAGGATATATACTCACCTATGTTCATTGTAGTGGTTTAAGATATGAAATTCTTAAAGCCACCACCATGCTGAGACCACTCTCCGCACACATGAAGGTACTGGCAGAGGGACAAAGCCACGCGGGTTCTAGGGCCGAGATCTCCCAGCCTACTCGGGTTGGAGTCGAGCATCTTCCACCCAGATCCTCCAAATTCCAGTAGGCGGGGGTCACACCCACCACCTGGCCCCCTGGTGCCGTGTAATCCCATCAATGGCCAAGACTCAGAGACTATAAAATCCAGATCCCGGACGAGAGCAGTGCAGTCTCTACCCCCGCGCCTGGGTGTTCCTTCCCGGAGTCCCTTGGAGGGGAGCGGGTTGAGCTTTCCTCCCCGCCCCGACCAGGGCTACGGCAGCCGAAGACCTCCAGGACCAGCCACCACCATGCTGAGACCACTCTCCGCACACATGAAGGTACTGGCAGAGGGACAAAGCCACGCGGGTTCCGGGACCGAGACCTCCAAGCCTACTCGAATTGGAGTCGAGCATCTTCCACCCAGATCCTCCAAATTCCAGTAGGCGGGGGTCACACCCACCACCTGGCCCCCTGGCGCCGTGTAATCCCATCAATGGCCAAGACTCAGAGACTATAAAATCCAGCTCCCGGATGAGAACAGTGCAGTCTTCTGCCCCCGCGCCTGGCTGTTCCTCGCCGAGGCCCCTTGGAGGGAGAGGGTTGAGCTTTCCTCCCCGCCCCGACCAGGGCTCCGGCAGCCGAAGACCTCCAGGACCAGCCACCACCATGCTGAGACCACTCTCCGCACACATGAAGGTACTGGCAGAGGGACAAAGCCACGCGGGTTCCGGGGCCGAGATCTCCCAGCCTACTCGGATTGGAGTCGAGCAACCTCCACCCAGATCCTCCAAATTCCAGTAGGCGGGGGTCACACCCACCACCTGGCCCTCTGGCGCCGTGTAATCCCATCAACGGCCAAGACTCAGAGACTATAAAATCCAGCTCCCGGAACCGCGCGGCCGCGCGACATCTTATCAGGACATCTTTTTATGACATCTTATTATCTCATTCCTACTTTGGACAAACTTGCAGGCTATCGAATGTAGCCTGCCCACAGGGCAGAGTCTGGCAAACTCCCCGTGGCGTACCAAATATGCCAAATACCAGTAACAATGATGGGTCTCGTTCTCCTAAAGAGCCTTGAATATAATCTCAGGGCTAGGATGAAAGAGACGTTACTGGGGCCTGCTCGAGGCAATCGACGAATAACAGGATGATGAAATGAAATGAAATGAAGATATGAAAACAATGCAGATGCCTGACTGTAGACAAATGGGTCAAGAAGTTATAGTACATATACACAGATCCTCTAAAATCAGGAACAATCTGAATCAGTGGACAATATGGAAGGGAAATTATGAAAACAATTCTGTTTACAGTAACTTGAGAAGAAATAAAACAATTTATGAAGGATGTGGAAGAACTTATACAATGTAAACTAAAAAAGATGACAAATGGAAGCAGACCATGCTCATGGATTGTTTAAAAATGCCAATATTAGGACTGGAGTGATAGTACTGTAGGTAGGGCACCTGCTTTGCACACATCTGACCCAGGTTCAATCTCCAGCACCAAATACGGTCTCCTGAGCCTGCAAGGAGTGGTCCCTGAACGCAGAACCAGACGTAAGCCCTGAGCACTGCTAGGTGTGACCCCCAAACCAAACACGCACACACACACACTCTCTCTCTCCTCTCCTGCTCTCCTCTTCCTCTCCTCTCTCTTCTTTCTCCTCTCTTCTATCTCTCTCCTCTCTTCTCTCTCTTTCTCTCCCTCCCTCTCACCTCCTCCCTCCCTCCCTCCCTCCCTCCCTCCCTCCCTCCCTCCCTCCCTCTCCTTTAGGGAAAAGCATACCAAAACTAAAATAAGATATCTCAAACACCCATCAGGATAGCTACTTCTCTGAGGTATGTCTATCTGGGTTCCAGTTGTCTGAGTCACCTCCTGCGGTGATAGGGTTCTCCTGGTTCATTCTGCGCCAATGACCGTAGCCCTGGCCAATAGATGAAGGAATGGGTCGACAGGCTAATAACCAGTGGCACTTTATTTAAATCTATCAGCATTATTATAGAGAAATTGTGAAGGGTTGGGGGGCAGCGATTACACATAGGTATGGCTGAACATTAACATAAACAATGAACAGATGTAAAGCTCCTCTTTCAGGGGAAATTCTAAGAGATCCACCCAAGGACAGAATTCCATCTAGGGGCTCTAGCACTCTAGATTCCTTCTAGGAGATCTGCCTAGGGGCGGAATTCCATTTAGGAGCATATTGTTTTCTCCTTCCCTTTACTGCTAATCCTCCAAGGTTGAGTTTCCCTCCCCGCCCCGACCAGGGCTCCAGCAGCCGAAGACCTCCAGAACCAGCCACCACCATGCTGAGACCACTCTCCACACGCATGAAGGTACCGGCAGAGGAACAAAGGCATGTGGGTCCCGGGGCTGAGATCTCCAAGCCTGCTCGGATCGGGGCTGAGCATCCTCCACCCAGATACTCCATATTCCAGTAGGCAGGGTCACACCCACCAACTGGCCCCCTGGCACCGTGTAATCCCATCAATGGCCAAGACCCAGAGACTATAAAACCCAGCTCCCGGAAGAGAACAGCGCAGAGTCTCCTGCCCCCGCGCCTGACTGTCCTCGCAGGGGCCCTTTGGAGGGGAGCAGGTTGAGTTTCCCTCCCTGCCCCGACCAGGGCTCCAGCAGCCGAAGACCTCCAGAACCAGCCACCACCATGCTGAGACCACTCTCCACACGCATGAAGGTACCGGCAGAGGAACAAAGGCATGCGGGTCCCGGGGCTGAGATCTCCAAGCCTGCTCGGATTGGAGCTGAGCATCCTCCACCCAGATCCTCCATATTCCTGCCTGGATATGGCACTTTTCCAGTAGGCAGGGGTCATACCCACCAACTGGCCCCCTGGCGCCATGTAATCCCATCAATGGCCAAGACTCAGAGACTATAAAACCCAGCTCCCGTAAGTGCGTGGCCGCATTTGTGGCCGTGTGACACCTTATCTCATTCTTACTTTGGACAAACTGGCAGGCTACTGAATCTAACCTGCCCACACGGAAGACTCTGGCAAACTCCCCGTGGCATAACCAATATGCCAAATACCAGTAACAATGATGGGTCTCATTCTTCTAACCCTGAATGAGCTTTGATATGGCACTTTTACAAAAAATCTCAGGGCTAGGATGAAGGAGACGTTACTGGGGTCTGCTTGAGGCAATCGACAATCGACTGCTAATCCATTTAAACAATCATAAGAAGTATAATATAGCACCTAGGAGCACGGTGATGGAACAAACTCTGACATGACCCAAAAATAACTGAATAAGGACCCTGTTGGGGTTAGGAAATATTAACCTGGGCTGAGGACTGTAGTCTGGGAAATACAGTGAGAGGTTCCCAGGAAAAGGCCATCCTTTAAGCTTGATCTAGGGTTTAGATAAAAGCCTATATCTCTTACTGTGTTTATACAAAATGACTAAAAATATTATTAAAAAGTAAATTTAATGTGATTATTTAAATGGAGTACCAGGAAAGTGAAGGAGAAAGCAATATGCCCCTAGATATTTAAGGCACCTTAATCTAAGAGGTGTGGCAGCAAACACAGGTGACAATGAAACCCTAAGCACTACCAGCTTGAAAAAAAAGAACAAAAACTATCAGCTGAGGCCCAGGGATATGGTTTGGCAGTAGAACACTTACCTTGCATGTATGATGCTCTGGGTTGGATTTGTACCTCCCCCCAAAATACAGTATTTGTTTATATTATGAAGGAGCGATAGCACAGCGGGTAGGGCGTTCGCCTTACACGCGGCCAACATGGCCGACCCGAGTTCGATTCCTCCGCCCCTCTCGGAGAGCCCGGCAAGCTACCGAGAGTATTGGATATGCCAGACACAGTAACAACAAAGTCTCCAATGGAGACGTTACTGGGCCCGCTCGAGCAAATCGACGATCAACGGGAGGGCCTTTACCTTTACCTTTATATAAATATTTATACTATACATATAAAAAACCAAAATGAAGTAGAGCTGGAAAGATAGGAAAGCAAACAGTAAAGCCTTACTCATAGTTGACCTGGGTTCAATTGCTGGCACTCCATATGGTCCCCTGAGTACTACCAGGAGTGATCCTTGACCAAAGAGCTAGGAGTAAGCCCTAAGTACTGCTGGGTGTGGTCCCAAAGCAAACTATACAATTTTACAGGTATTTGACATTCCACATGCTTGTGAAACAGAAGCAACACAACCAAAGTAATAAACACCCCCATTGCTAATGTCTCTTTGTAATTCCTCCAGCTCTCTCACCCCCACTTCTAGTCAACCACTGGTCTCTATCACTATAAGTTGTATCTCCTAGAATTTTATATAAATTGAATCATACAGTATACATTCTGGCTTTTTCCACTTGGTATAACTTAAACTCTTCTGTTTCTAGTTTAGAGCAGAGGTTTTTGTTTTTTTTTTTTCCCTTAAGGGTCCTACCCCTGTTTGTTTTTGTTTTTGTTTTTTGTTTTGGATCCACCTGGAGATGCTCAGGGGTTACTCCTTGATCTGCACTCAGGAATCACCTCTGGTGGTGTTCAAGGGACCATATGGGATGCCAGGGATCAAACCCAGGTCAGCTGCATGCAAGCAAATGCCCTACCCACTGTACTATCGCTCTAGTCCCTTACCCCTCCTTTGAATAACAGTTATGTGTCACCTAGGTGTCTCCATTTGGAGGCCTCCTTATGGGGGTCCCGTGGGCCCAACATCTCACAGTCCTCAGTTAAGATTCCTTGGGGGCCCAGCAGAGCCTTCATTCTGCCCTGACTCACGTGCTATCCCGAGTCTCAGCAGAAGCATGCTTCTGGGGCTCCCTCTGTGGGGAGGTACCTGAACTGGGTTGAGCAACAACAAAACTGGACATGTCTATTCTTAGCTACATTATACTAAGAGCTAACATTGGTATCTCTGACCACTATCCAACACCAGAAGGCTCATCCTACCCTTCTTGCTTGCGCTAACCCTCCAACAGAGAGAACCTTTTTGCCTGGGTGTTATGTTTCAGCCCAGCTCGGCCAGGCTGGGCTTCTCTGCCCCTCTCGGAGAGCCCGGCAAGCTACCGAGAGTATCTTGCCAACGCGGCAAAGCCTGGCAAGCTCCCCTGACGTATTCGATATGCCAAACACAGTAACAGAAGTCTCATGATGGAGACGTTACTGGGCCCGCTTGAGCAAATCGATAAACAACAGGAGGACCGTGACCATATGTTTCAGCAATTTTTAAATTGTTGACGAGTTACGCCCTTGGAAAACAAATTTACCAGAGTAAAATGTGTATGTGTAGTTACTTTTTGTACTTAATCTTAAATTTTCTAGTTAAAACAAAGTTTCCTAAAGTTACTGTCAGCTCTACCTTTGTTCCGATTCAAAGGTTTTATATTTTATTTTTCGTTCTAACAGAAAAGAGACTGTAGAGAGAGGACCGCCCTTTCCAACCATATAAGCCTCACAGAAGGCCAGATACATACCTTACTGGTCTGGAAGTACATGTTTTGCAGGCGGGAGGCCCGGGTTCCATTACCCCTCCCCCCCCTCCCCCGCGCCCCCAGTTTGGAGAAGCCACCCCTTCTCGGGGGTAGCCCTCGGGACTGCCAACAGCAACTCCAAAACAAAACAAAAATCTCATAGAAGGCCTTGAATTTGCCACATAAACTTCTGGCCAGGATTCAGCAAAGCGAAAATGGTACAACAAAAATCCATCTTTTTCACGCCTAGGGAAGTGGAACAGTGGTGTCAATGACAGGACCGTGGACCGAGCTACCTTTCAACAGGCACCTTGAGGAGCACTGGGAGAGAAAAGTCCATTGGGAGGTTTCTGGATGTGGAGTCTTCCCCGTCACTTTCTAGTCAGACTGTGGCACCAGCTCCATGCTGATGGAGCTGGTGAAGTCTTGTGTGTTTCGGGATCCGTTGCCCAGCACAGCTGCTTCCACCCGAGGATGGAGGTGGTCGGTGAGACAGCCTGAAGCTGAAGTGCCACAGGAGAGCTGTTCCGGAAGCCGCCCACTGCGGGCTTCGTGGTACCACGTGGTGTCAGGACGAGGGGGGTGTGCAGCTCATCAGCTCGCTACAGCGGAGAGGCTGTGTGGGCGTGGTTGGGGGGGAAAAAGCCGTCAGTGAACACGTGCCCACCGTCGCGCAGGCGCGCTGGGAACCTGGAGCACATGGCCTGCCATCACGCAGGCGCGAAGGGAACCCGGTGCACGTGACCTGCCGTTGCGCAGGCGCAGTGGGCTACCGCGCACAGCGTGGAGCGGCAGGCAGCATGAGGCGGTTGAGCTGGCCGGTGGGCGCGGGCCTGGCGCTGGGCCTGGCGCTGGCCCTGGAGGCTCTGCCGGCCTTACTGCGCTGGCTGCAGGGCGGGCGGCGGCGGAGGCAGAGGCGCGAGGTGCTCTTTTTTCCGTCTCAGGTGACTTGCACCGAGGCCCTGCTGCAGGCCCCGGGGGCGGCGCCCCCCGCGGCGCCGGCCGGCTCGGGCTCGGGCTGCCCTTGCAGCCTGCCCCACGGCGAGAGCTCTCTGAGCCGCCTGCTGCAGGCGCTGCTGGAGGCCAGGGTCACCCTGGAGCTCTGCCTCTTCGCCTTTTCCAGCCCGCAGCTGGGCCGCGCCGTGCAGCTGCTCCACCAGCGCGGGGTGCGCGTCCGCGTCATCACCGACTGCGACTACATGGCCCTCAACGGCTCGCAGATCGGCCTCCTCCGCAAGGCGGGTAGGTGGGGCCCTCGCGTGCACCCCAGAACGGAGGGTGAGGCGAGGTGGGGCAGGGTGGGCGCCACCGTTCCCGCAATGCCAGCCCGGTCAGGAAGGGCGGGGGTCTGCCTTACTCTCCGGGGGCCCGGTGGGTGGAGGTCGGTGGGGGTCCTGAGCAGCCACACACACACACGGCGATGGCCCGGCGGGAGGAAGCCACGTGTCCACCGCTGCGGGCCGCGGCCCCCGGGCAGGGGGCTGTCTCCTGGAGCCTCCTGGGGAAGGGCGGAGGAGTGCGCCCGAGACCCTCCCGCCACGCCGACCGGAAGTGCTCCTTTCCCGGGAGACCGCATGTTGGCCGCACAGAATGAAACGTCTGCCCCAACCACGTTCCGCAGAAAAATAGCTACTGTACGAGCGCTCGTTTGATTGACTTGACGTTCCTGGCGTCGCGCACTTGCCCGCCTGGAAGCGGAAGCCCACCCGGCGAAGCCTGGCCAAGGCTCCCGCCTCTACTGCACCTTGGACCTCCCCGGAGTCCAGGCTGCTTCATTGATGCTCACGCCACTCTTTCCCCCGCGTAGGCAAGAGCCAGCCACAGCTGTCGAGAATTAAATTTTTTTTTTTCGGGGGTGGAGGGCGTTATTTACCTGTTTTGTGGAAGGCATTTGTAGCACTTACTTCCCCATCTCCTGATTTTTGGGCCACCCCTGGCAGTGCTTTGGGGCTGCTCACAATTCCATACCGTGGGGCCCTGTGGTGCCAGGGATCAAACCCAGGCCTTCAAAGCAGGCACTCCAGGCCCGAGCTGTCTTCCCAGCCCCAAGAGGAAGCATTTAATGACCCTCTCTTTTTGTGGTTTCAAATTCCCTGCACCCGGCCCCTCCCACATCCTTAACCCTCCTGAAGAATTTGGCTTCTGCCATGACATGTTGTGAAGCTCCCTTTTCCAGAACTCCGTCACATCAGTGATCACAGCTTGTCTTATTTTTCACAGCGTTTACCCAAGGCTGCTTGCTTGTATATCAAGATTGACAGGGAGAAGCTCTGAAACCTTATATAGTAACTCCTGAGACTACCATTCCCCAAATCCTCTGTGTGTTTTTTTTTGGGGGGGGTTCACACCCGGTGATGCACAGGGGTTAACTCCTGGCTCTGCACTCAGGAATTGCTCCTGGCGGTGCTCAGGGAACCATATGGGATGCTGGGAGTCAAACCCGGGTCGGCTGTGTGCAAGGCAAACGCCCTACTCGGCTCTGCTGTCACTCCAGTCCTCCTCTGTGTTATTTGGCAGAGCTGGTTCTGGGGTGATGGAAGTCACTCGCATCCCCCAACTCCTGGGTGCTTCCGTGGTGGCCGCGGTTCAGGTTTTCCTCACACTGGGCATGATATATTGGCTTGGAAGAGTCAGAAGAGGAAAGCCTTTTCCCAACTGACAGGTTTGTGTGTGTGTGTGTGTGTGTGTGTGTGTGTGTTTTGCATTTTGGGTCACACCTGGTGATGCACAGGGGTTACTCCTGGCTCATCACTCAGGATTTACTACTGGTATTGCTCGGGGGACCATATGGGATGCTGGGAATCGAACTCAGATCAACTGTGTGCAAGGCAAATGCCCTACCCACTGTGCTACCACTCCAGTCCCTGTACTGGCAGTTTTAATGGGAAACTTGGATACTTTGGGGCACAGATCATTATATTTAATTTACCTCTACAGAATCGGAGGCTCTGATATTTGGAAGGGTTTTTTTTTTTTCTGTTTTTTGGGTCACACAGTGGTGTCAGGACTTACTTCTGGCACTGCACTCAGGAATCATTCTTGCTGGGGCTTGGAGACCATATGGGATGCTGGGGATTGAACCTGAGTTAACCATGTGCAAAGAAAACGCCCTACCCACCCTACTTCACTCTGGCCCCAATGGAAAGAATCTTAAAGGAAGAGGAAATTCTCACCTAAGGGTCGATCTCCTCTGGTGGCTTCACAGCCACTATTCATCATCTCCACTTGTCTATCCAGTGAATGTTTCTGTTTGTTTTTGGGCCACACTGTGAAGCTCAGGGCATACTCCTGTATCTGCTCTCAGGAAGTGCTCCTGACGGTGCTCAGGGGACTGGGGAGCTGGGGATTTAACCCAGGGCTCTCTCATACAAAGCTTGTGTGTCAGTCCTTTGAGTCATCTTCCCATAATTGATACTAAAAAAAGTATTTGCTTACCTGAAATTCCGATTTAATTTGGATATTCTGTGTTTCACTTGCAACATCTGGAAAACCCTATTGTAAAACCACTGTCTGACTAGTTGTTGCATTTTCTAAGCAAATAATGAAGTTGGCATTATTCACGTGCAATTTAAAATGATTCATTTATTGTTCCAAAGCTGGGCAAGCCTGACAAGGTCCTGCCTAAAAATCCAGGTGAAGGCAGAGGGCACGGTGCTGTGGTGAGGAGCTGGGGCCATGTGGAGATGCAGTTTTGTGTCAGTTCTCTTTCTGCGAACAAGGGGGAGGGGAGGCAAAGAGGAAAGCGGGCACTGGTTTCATGGGCCACTAGTTTTCCTTTGAAGCCCTTAGGACCTTGTTTCTCCTCAGGCCACCCCCTCCCTCTTCCAGAATGAAGTGCAGCTCCTCATCCTGCCTCATAGAAGTGAGAGCTTAAAGGGGGGATTGTCTGGAACCTGTAACCGCAGGGTTGTAGTGACCGGTTTAGATTCTAGAATCATGGGTGGGCAGACCTCACCCCAGCCACAGGGCAGGAGAGCTAGTAAGGTTTCCCTGCTATCTGAAAACAGATGTCCCTCTTTGGTAGGCTGGATTTTGGATCTGGGATGCTAGGAATGAATTTCCATATAAATAATAGTAATAATGTTTCCAAGCCTACCCCCACCTTACCAAAGTAAACAGAAACCTCAAGTCATACCCCTGAGGAAGTCTATTTTCAGACAGTGGAGGAACCTCTAAGTGTGTGTTTGCCTGTCTCAACTACCTCCTCCCCACCCTCTTAGGACCGTCAGTGTCCCACCAGTCCCCATATGGCTACTGGTTACTGCCACTCCCTGCCCAGGCGTGACAAGCTTCCTCTTTCCCCCAAGCTGGAAGGAAACAAACTTCGAGGAAACAGCTGCACTTGGCCCTGAGAGCAGTGGTGTTTGTGGTTGGCCTGTCGTGAAGGTTGACTTGCCCTTTTTGCAGGTATCCAGGTTCGCCATGACCAGGACCTCGGCTATATGCACCACAAGTTCGCAATAGTGGACAAGAAGTTGCTGATCACTGGCTCCCTCAACTGGACCACACAAGCCATTCAGAACAACAGAGAAAATGTTTTGATTATGGAAGATGAAGAATATGTGAAGATTTTCCTGGAAGAATTTGAGCGCATCTGGGATGAGTTTAACCCCACAAAGTATACTTTCTTCCCACAGAAGAGAAGCCATTGAAGCTGTGCGCTCCGTTTGGACTCCAGGGTCAGAGGCAAGTGGTGGTTAATGTAAAATTTTGGTGCCGCCAGTGAAACTAGGCTGAGCCTCCAGAAAGAATGAGTCCAGAGTGGCTATGGCCTATCCTCATGGCTCTGGGTTTTGCTGCTGGATGCTGCCTTCTTGGGAGAAACCTCACTAGTAAAGGGAGAAATCATTCACACTGAGATCTTATTCACCACGATACTAAAGAACTGTTGGAGGTTTAAGGGAAAGGGATTCAGTTGTTTGGGGCTGTACCTCTAGTGTTTAGTGGGAATGGACTCCCACCAAAAGTCAGTTCAGCTGTAGCTGCTTCTCGTGTGCTTTGTGGGGCCTAATGGGGACTTGGTGTAGACGGAAGGGTTTCTCCTGCTGCTGCGCAGAAGAGGCGTCACACCTGCTTCGCGTTGAACACCTGATTCCTTTTGCTGATTTCTAGACAGTCTCATGCTTTGGCTCCTTGCTGCGACTCAGCCCTTTGCATCTCTCCTGAAGGTATTTCCTCTTTTCCTTGGACAGGCTGGGCCCTGCTCACCAGCGCTCACTCCCATCCGAGTCTGGATGGTCAGGAGCAGAGTCTTCATCCCTACGGCCGCCAGGCCCTTGGTTGCTTCTGACTCTGAAGAAGAGGAGGAGAGGGGATCAGAGAGTGCCCCCCAACAACACTGTGGCCTCCTCCCCTGTAGCGGCAAACATTCTCTTACCTGAGTTTATTTCCAGAGTTATACTTGAAAGCAAATGCAATGAACATTTTCTTCCTGGACAGCTGTCCTGTTTTCATGTGGTGAAATGTGGGGTGCAGCAGTGACCAGAGCTGTAAGTGACCAGAGCTGCATCTGTTTCAGTTTTTAACATTTCATGTTAAGGGTCATTTTATTCCATGTTTAGAAGTGATCTGAATGTCTGCATGTGTGGACTTGGCTAATCTCTATTTTTGGCTGGATGTCATTAATCATGAGTTACCCAAACACCTGGAGGAGAAAACCTGAGGAGAGGCCGGTTAGAGGCTTTATACTTTATACTTTATACTTTATAGAACTGTTCTTACCCCTGGCCCAGTATTCTGCATTTAAGCTAATTAGAACAGGTGTTGTACATTTGAAAATGTTTCGAATGGTTTTCTTCATAGTGAGTATCTTTAGAGATAAATAACTCAAGTGCCATCTGAATAACTGCATCTTGTGATGTGTGTTTTTTTTTAATTATAATTATGCTGTGTGTGACCTGTCTAGGTCGACCCAGCGGCACGCATGGTTCTCACCCTCCCCGTTGCAATCACATGACCAAACAGCATTCAGTGTTGTGTCTTCCCTCCAGGCCCTCATACACGTTACGTGCTCTCTCACGGGGCTGTATCCCGTCCCTTTTTATCTTTTGGCAGTTGTCTTACTTGTTTTTGTTTTTTTTGCTTTTTGGGTCACACCTGGCGATACCCAGGGGTTACTCCTGGCTCTGCACTTAGGAATTACCCCTGGCGGTGCTTGGGGGACCATATGGGACGCTGCGAAATGAACCTGGGTCAGCCACGTGCAAGGCAAATGCCCTCCCCACTGTACTATCGCTCCAGACCCTTGCCAGTTATCTTAGACTTAGATGTTTGACACGTACACTCAGAGTTAGTTTTTCTTATTTTTAATTGATGGTAAAGTACGTGAATTACAAAGTACAAGAAATGGTTTTACAGGAAAGGTGGTTTCCATCAGTTTGTACTCCAGCTGTGTCCTGCAAATGAGGGAAGTGGAGAATGGCACCTGGTGGGGAGAGCGCCTCCTGACGTGCAGCGTGTTTGAATAAATATGTTCTTATTCTGGAAGGCTGTGTCTGCTGATTCACATTATGAATGCTTTATTAAACAGATACTGCTATTGGGTATGTGTTTGGGTGGGGCTGGAGGCCATTACCTGTGCATGGCAGCCAGTAACTATTTAGAAACCAGATGTCAAAGAGAAACCTGTCAGAGAAGTGAGGCCCGCAGTGGCCTAGGGACTGCGTCCTGGTGCCGGGTTTCAGTAGTGTCCCTGTGCTCTGGCTCTGGCGCTTCTCTCTTGCCACCAGAGCTGTGAGTTGGGGCAGGTGCACCACAGTATCTGGCTGGAATTTTTAGCCTATGGAGGTCACCTAGACGGGCATCCAGAAGTTTGTGTGGGGAACGGTGAACGGGGAGCTCCATGTAATGTTTATTTAATGAAATATCATATTGCTTATTCCTATCATCTAAGCAGCAGTGGAAAATCAAAGCTAACCAAAATTTTCTGAACACGTTAAACCTGAGAAGAACTTTTCAGTAAATAAAACTTGAGAACATAAGGGTCCAAGGACAGCCCAGGACCCTGTCTCCCAAGAGGAGGTTACTTGGTTACCATTTCTATTAGTAATTAGCTGGAAATGACTCTGTGCCTGACCCTACACTGGAAGGACCATGTGGGGTGCTGGGGATCGAATCAGGGTCAGCTGCATGCAAGGCCAGTGCCCTCCCTGCTGTACTATCGCTCCAGACCCCAGCCTTGTCTTTTGAAATATTTAAAACACTTCGGGGGTCTGGAGCTATAGCACAGCTGTAGGGTGTTTGCCATGCACGCGGCTAAACCAGGTTTGATTCCCAGCATCCCATAGAGTCTCTGGAGCACCGCCAGGGGTAATTCCTGAGTGCATGAACTAGGAGTAACTCCTGTGCATCACTGGGTGTTACCCATAAAGAAAACAAACAAACAAAAAACGACACTTTGGGATTTGTTTTTTCGAAAATAAATGTGTTTTAGTCTGTCATCCCAGTTTTTGTTTGACTCTTAAGGGATTTTGAGATGAGGTCTTTCTGTCTCTGAAACACTTTAGAAACGACTTTATTGTCTTTGATCTGAGGAACACAGAGGAGGTAAAGCTGGGACAGAAGGGGAATGGAGTTGTATGTAGTTGGGGTGCGACTTGGTGACCGAGTTCCTTGCATACGCAAGACCTGAGGTCAGTCCCTAACAATACAGTCCCTGCTTGGAGGCTACTCCTGACTCTGTGCTAGGGACCATGCAGTGCCAAGGATAAACCTGGGATTCACGTAGCATCTGCTCACCCCATTGAGCTGAGCCTGTGAGTCCATCTGTCCCAAGAGTTGATTTTTTTTCTTTTCTGGCCACACCTGGTGATACTTGGGGTTACTCCTGGGTCTGCACTCCAGAATTACTCCTGGCGGTGTACAGGGGACCATATGAGAAGCTGGGAATCAACCCTGGGTTGGTTTGCACATGGCTCACCCAGATTCCATCCCTAGCACCCAATGGTGCCCCAAGAACTGCTGGGAACGACCCCTGAGCAGAGCCAGGAGCCAGGAGTGGTCCTTGGGCAGAGCTAGGGTGGCCCATGACCTCAAAACTTTTCTTGACCATGCAAAGCTGAGATCTACCTATAATTTTCCCACCTGTGTTCTGACGTGCTAGCAAAAAGGTGGCTCACGTGGTGTCCTCAGAGATGATCCTTCTCACAGGGTGCTCTCCATCATGCTTCTGAAGAGCACCCTCCACTTTCTCTGACCTGGAACCTGAACCCCTTTCAGGAGCCTATTTGCAGATGCCCTCCTTGCTTCTTTCCCTTCACTGCTGATGTTGCAGTGACTAGGGGTTGTGAATGTGCCTGGCTGTGGGGCTTGTATGCACGTCGGGGTTGCACATCAGATTGTAGTGCTCCCTGGGCATTTCCGCTGCTTGCACAGTGCTCAGCGGGACTTACACTCCTCACTGCAGCTCACAGCATGAGCTTCGGTGGTGCTCACCAGGGTTATGGCTGCTTTGTCCGCCGGAGGCAACGGTGCAGTGTTCCTGGCCTTGGTGCCCACATACTCATGGTGCAGCAGAGGGCAGAGCTGCCAGTGATCTCTCAGGGTAGGTCATGCAAGCTTCTGTAGTATTCCAGGCTGACAATCTTGTGTTTAATCAAGTGCTGTGTGTTTGAGGGCTGGACAGATAGTACAGGGATCGGGTGCTTGCCTGGCACTCGGCTGACCCTGCTTCAGTTCCACCACATGTGGTCACCTTAGCTCAACGCCAGGAGTAAGCCCTGAGCACAGATGTGTGGCTTACAATCCAAACAATAGAACAAAAACTCAGGTACTATGTGTGCTGTCAGCTTTTAAAGCAATGGACAACTTTTTGTTTTATTTAAGGGCCATACCTTGTGGTTCCCAGGGTTTCTGCTCTGCTCTCAGGGATCACTCCTGGAGGTGCTTGGGGGAACCAGGTGGGATGCTGGGGATTGAACCCAGATCAGCCATGTGCATGGCAAACACCCTGCCCATTATACTATCTCCCTGGCCCCAGAAATAATTAGTTTTTAGTTTTGGGACCACACCCAGTGGTATGCAGGGGAACCAACTAGGGTCAGAGGCATGCGAGGCGGGCACCTTACCCACTACACTATCTCTCTGGCCTCACGAATGATAGTTTTTAAAATAACACTTTATTGAGATTTATGTACTATAAAACGTACCCCTTTAAAGTATGCGGTTCAGTGAGTTTTCAGAGATTGATGAGCTGTATGAGCACCACCACTCTCTCTAATTTGAGAGCATCTTTCACCCCAGAAAGAAACCATGTCCCCCTGTGGTCTCCCCATTCCTCCCTGCAGTCACTGGATTGTTGGAGCTCTTTGTAGAGCTGTTACCCTCCACATCGCGGAACATTGTCTTCCTTCACCAGCATGTTTGGGGCATCTCACACTGGACATGCATCAGCCTTTGTATATTCCTATTTTTGTTTCTCTCTCTCTCTCTCTCTCTCTCTCTCTCTCTCTCTCTCTCTCTCTCTCTCTCCTCTCTCTCTCTCTCTCTCGGCTCTGCACTCACGATTGCTCCTGGCAGGCTTGGGGAACCACATGATGCCAGGGATCAAACTTGAGTTACCTGTGTGCATGGCAACAGTTCCTGCTGTACCATTGCTTCAGCCCCTTTTTGTATATTCTGAATACACACTGTACTTCTACCTACAAGTCTGGATAAGGTCCTTATTAGGAAAATGATGAATGGATATCTTCTCTTATTCTCTAGGGACCATTTTACTTTCTAATTTGCATTGTTTGCAGCATGTTATTTTTGTTTTGTTTTTGGGCCACACCTGTCAGTGCTCGGGGCTTACTCCTAGCTCTGTGCTCTGGGGTCACTCCTGGTGGGGATCAGGGACCATATGTGATGCTGAGGATTGAATGTGGTTTGGCCGCGAGTTAGGAAAGTGCTTTACCTATTGTACTGATTTCTCCAGCTCAGCAGCATGTTATTTTAAAGTAGTTCAGTTTGTTTAGAATTTTGGGTCACCTCTGGCTGTGATCAGGGATTATTCCTGTGCCTAAACGTGCTTGGGGGGTGGAAGTGGGAGAGGACTATATGGGGTGCCAGGGATCAAACCTGGGTCAGCAGCATCCGAGGCAAACACTACCTGCTGCACTACTGCCCTGACCCTAAGTTTGTCTGCTTTTGCTTTTGTTGCTTGTGCTCTGGTATTTGAAGAAACCACTGCTCAATTCAAGGTCACAAATATTTCTATTTTCTTCAATAATTTTAAACCCTTAGCATGTGCACTTAAACCATGATCCATTTTTTAAATTATTTAATTTCTAAGGTTTGAGAGTTCCCCCTGCTTCTGTTTGTGGTTAATTTCTATTTTAAAAGCACATGATCCGTTGTCTAAGGTAGAGAGTCCAACTTCAAATCTTTTTCTTTTTCCTTCAGTTTTTGGCGAGGAGCTTCTGGATAGGCAGATGTCCCCGTTCTGTTTGTTGAGGACCACCGAATAGTCTTGCCACTCTGTTGAAAGCCACAAATAAATGTTAAAGCCTTATTTCTGGACTCTTGATGCTATATTGCAATCAGTATGCCAGACTGTGGTAGCGTCCTTAAAATGCGGTACAGTCCATCTGACCCTGCTTTCTGAAGCTATGAAAGATTGAGACCCAGTAGTAACTCTCCCTCTTAATAGTGAATCCCTCTCCCTCCACCCCCACTCATTCAGTGCAGTCTTGACTATTCTAGACCCCTTTGCATTTCCACAGAATTGGCTGATCAACTTTGTAAGGATTTTCTGTTACGTGGAGATCAGATTTGGCAGTTTTGCTATTGAGACAGGAATTCTTCCAATTCAAGAGCATCTCTTTTCATTTATTTAAATTTTTTCTTTTGGGGGCTGGGGTGATAGCACAGCGGTTAGGGCTCCTGATTGCATGAGCTAGGAGTAACCATTGTGCATTGCCAAGTGTGACACTCCCCCAATATTTTTTTCATTTGGGCCATACCTGACAGTACTTGAGGGCTACTTCTGGTGCAGTGTTGGGTTTCATGTGGTACCAGGAACTGAATCTGGGGACTCCTACGTCAGTACTTTGAACCATCTCCTTGACTTCATTTCTTTAAAGAATTTCTTTTTGGTGGCCACACCATGGGCTGAAGTGATAGCACAGCGGTAGGGAGTTTGCCTTGCGCGCAGCCAGCCCAGCGGAGCCGGGTTCGATTCTTTCGCCCCTCTCAGAGAGCCTGGCAAGGTACCGAGAGTATTCAATATGCCAAACACAGTAACAAGAAGTCTCACAATGGAGACGTTACTGGGCCCACTCGAGCAAATCGATGAACAATGGGAGGACAGTGCTACAGTGCTACAGTTTTTAATGTATAGAAGTAAGATTGATCTTGAAAACTTGAAGTCACTTACTAGTTTTTAAAAATAGGTTTTGTGTGGGGCTGGAGCAATAGAGCAGGTAGGGCATGTGGCCCAACAGGTTTCTTTCCCTGGCATCCCATTTGGTCCCCTGAGCACTACCAGGAATAATTCCTGAGTGGAGCCGAGAGTAACCTCTGAGCATTGCTGGGTGTGATGCCTCTCCACCCCCAACAAAGTTTAAAAGTAAGTTTTGTGGATATCTTAGAATTTTCAGCCCTATCATCTGCAAGTAATTTCATTTTTTTTTTCTTTTCCATGTGACTTTCCTTTTCCTTACCTTACTGTTCTGGCTGGATTCTTTAGTAGAGCTGAGTAGAGATGGTGATAGTGTCTCACCTTGTTCCTGACCTGAAGGGACAAGCTTTCAGTCTTTGCCATTGACTATGATGTGTGTTTATGTGTGTGCGTATATATATATATATATATATATATATATATATATATACACATATATATACACATACACACACTTAAGCATTTGTTAGAGCAGTGTTCAAAGACTATATACATTTTACTAGCAACTGGGTATTTTAAACTGACAAAAATTATTGAAACACTTGGGGGTAACTGGGCCACACCTGGATATGCTCTTTGCTCAGGTGTGAACCCTGGCAGTGCTTGGGGGGCTGTATGTGGTGCTGGGCGTTCAATTAGAGTTGGGCAGCCACATGCAATCCCAGTGCCTTACCTACCGTGTATTGTCTCTGGCTCTGACACTCCATTAAATAACTGGCCCAGTGGGAGAGAAATAGCCTTTACGTATTTGTACTTTGCTTTAGTTTTACTAGGTTTAGGAACTTGAGTTGATTTTTCTTTTCGGGTGACAGTGCTCAGGGACCACTCCTAGAAGGAACTGGGGAACCATATGTGGTTCTGGAGATTGGACCTGGGTTGGTCACATGGAAGGCAGTGCTGTGCGCTACCCACTGTCTGATCCATTCTGGCCCCTTAAAATTGATTTCTAATAGGTAGGCTTTTATTTTGTTTATCTGAATAAAAAATTGGACATGGATGTAGCTGATCATCATCAGCTACATCAGCTTCCTAAACAAAAAATTGGACTCCCAGTAACTGTACACATTTCAAGGATTGTAATTATATTGGGGGAAAATTCAGTTTAAATGCATTTATTAGCAGAAATGAAAAAACTGAAACAGATCAATATTTCCTAATAAGTTTGTGAATTACTGGGTTGTGGTTGCTTTGTGTTCATGTCTTCTGTAAGCATTCTTTTTTAAAAACAGTCTTATACTATTATTAATTTTTCTAGAGGCCACACCTTGTGGTGCTGGGGAACCAATGTCGGTATGAACTTGGTTCCTTGTACATACCAGAAGATGTGTCCCACCCTGCTTAGCACGTCACACCCATCCTTTGGATTCTGGATTCTCATGTGAAGTTTGCTATTTATCAGGCTTCCTAAGCAATACTTAGGGGCCTCGAGGGCTATTCCCATCTCTACTGGGCTGGTCAGTTCAATGCTCCAGCCTGGTGATGCAGCACTGCTCGGTCCCAGTGGTGCCCACTCCTGTGGCGCTTGGGCAAGTCTAATAAAAGATGAAAAGTTGGTAACAAACCAAAACGCCACTGTAAGTTTCCAGGCCAATGACTGGTGTCTAATTGTTGATGTGACTCCCAAATTACGTTATCTTGCACTTACGTTATCTTAAACAAAACCTCATTCACGGCATGCAAAGGGTGATGCAAAAATAGTTTATTATGATATAGTTTATGTAAAGTTAGGTAATATTTACAAAATAGAAATGATCAGCTACATCCATGGGAATCTAGCATGTCACACAAAGGAATAAATACTTTGACAAAGTTAACACTTCAGTTGTAGTGAACAGTGGATCAAAAACTTAGTAAAAAAAAATCTTGAATAGTTAAAGAATGAGCAGCTTAGCTGACCAGGCTCTTCTCTGCAGGACTCCCCGCCCGCACACGCAGCAGCCTGGCCTGTGGGCGCTGGCAGGGGCGTCATGGAGCCAGGCGATGGGGAGGGCATGGCTTGCTCTGCACATGCTCGTTAGTGTGTGAACATTATCATTTAGCATTAGTACAGAGATCAAACACGTTAAGATGCCTATATGCTTGTTCTTTGAATGCTTATTGCCCGACTGTTGAAATAATTAACTGTGGCAGAAGCAACTGCTGTGAATTATTTCCCAACTTGTCAGAGCAGGAAAAATCACATTTTCCAATTTGTTCATATATCGTCCCCAACCCCTGAAGTGTGGCTTAGTATTTTTTGTCTTTAATAGCAGAATTGGAACTTATCCTGATAGAAGAGTGTATTTGTGAGGAAAATCATTAGGAACTGGGGTTGTTGAGGAGCCACTTAGAAACTTTATATTTTATAAATATTTAGGAAAACCACACGAATGATTTCTTAGCATTTAACTGGTTTTGAATCCTAACAAGTCAGTGTGTCAGTAATACTAAAGGTAAATCCTAAATCCATTTTTATTTGAAGTTTTGTGATATGAATATAACACAATAGTGAATTTAGTGTTCTTTATAATCTATTCCTAGCTTCCTATAAAATTGAAGTGATATGACTACAAAGGGGGCAAAGCCGAGAGCATGGCCAGTGCAGCAGGTGGCCGGTGGGGGGTCTGTCTGCCAGGCCTTTCCCAGACTTCCTTCCTTCACGGGGAGTTAACGGCGTTATGGGAAGGGCCCTGGTGACATCAGACATCACCATGTTCCGTTCTTCTGAGGCTGGACTCTCTTCCCAAGCCCCGCTACTGGACCCAGAGGATTTGCTTCTTAAGTAATTTTGTGACTACCTGCTTCTTTACCCATCTGATCTGCTCTGTGGGAAATTGAGAGGCGAACTGCCCGGCCACAGAACCTGAGGGCTGTGGAATACACTCACTGAGCCTGCAACCCGCAGCGATCCTGGCCCAGCACACCCACCACCCAGGGAGACTTGAGATGCTGGAACTGGGCCTCCCCAGGACAGTAAGTTACCATGAAAACAACCTGGTCAGGGTGCAGCTACCTTTCCTCTGTTCTCCCGTGTAGAGACTTCAGGTTTCCCTCTACCTCTTATTTGGACGCTCCTATTTGGTATGGCATGATGTTACTTCGGGGGTTTGTGAATACTGCTCCCATGAGCTTCTATGAAAAAAACTGGGGTGTGTCCCCCCCAGATATATCCCTTACCAAATAAGAACAGTCTACTTTTGGACAATGGGGGAAAACCTGTATTATAGGAGTTTTTTTCAATAAAAACCAATAAATGGATGCAAAGTTGTTATTTTAGATACTGTATACATTCTTTAAAAGCATCTGTTAAATGACCACAATTTTAAAAAAGATTTATCAGTCATTACAAACACTTCTCTGTTCTGTTAGGGGGGTGGGGAGCTCAGTGATGCACCAAAACAGTCTCCATTTTAAAAAGGGATGCCTGGATAATTTTAAAAAATGCACACAAACTCTGTAACAAAAACCCCCACAGTAACTTCTGAATAATATTTACACTTCTTGTTCTAATATACAGGTTATTTTGAAGGAAGTAAACACAGCTGCTTTCAGACAAACACAGCATGACACCAGGAGGGGCGCGGCTTCTGCTCTCAGCCCTGTCCAGGGAGCACTGGCCCAGGGGCTCAGGGTGTGGCCAGGCCGAGGCAGTTGCTCTGCACCCCGGGTGCTGCTGTTGCCGACTTACTCCCACTTAGGCGAGAGGCTGCAGTTGGAAGACTTTGGAAAGGAGAGCTCTCCTCTGACAAACAGGACCTGAAACTAACTCATCATTCTCTGAAGGGCAAAAGATAGAGGCTGCTGAGTCTTCCCCAGCCGACCAAGTATGAGAGGATCAGTATTCGCTGTCACACTGTGTTTCTGTCCCGTCTCCCTATCAAGAACCTACAAATGGTTTTCCTAGACCTCACTGCAGGCTGAAGCTTACTTAGCTTTGAACTGTGGAAAGTGACCTTGCCCAAAGGTGCCTGCACACAGGTCAGGCGTGTGCAATCATCTGCACACGGACACCATGCAGTTCCTGAGAGTCACACGAGGGCTAATGTGGGTGCTGTGACAGTGGAGGGAGACCCAGGCCTCAGCTCACAGCGCAGGAATGGATGTGGGAACGCCAGAGGAGCACCTGAGCCCAGGGTTCCCTAGTGTTCAGCTACGTATTCTAGTCATTTCACGCCTGAGAATGAGAAGCCTGTCTGAAAGATGGGCACGGTGTACACATACTTTAAGACCTGAGAAAGTGCTTCTTTAAGCAGCATTTCCCCAGGTCTCTTCAGGAGGGGTGTAGGCTATTCTAGCGGGGGCACTGGCAAGGTCCAGGAATCTCAGTTGAGTGAAGAAGGCAAGAGGGCTGAGGTCAAAATCTACTTAAAAAAGCAGATTTCTTCTTAACACGAAACAGTGCAATTTCTCATAATTCTCAGGCGGAGGCATTCTGAATGACTGGGCAAAACAAAACAACAAACCACTTGCAATTAAAGTGCCAAATGTTCTTTATATTTAATTCCTTTAAAATACACTCCTCTTCCCTGTTCTCTGAAAAATTCCCCCTTTCTTGGTGAGAGGAGGGGGGGGTCACTGAATTTAGTATTTTGTTTTTGGGAAAGTGTTCATTTCCAAGTCTTTCAGACAATGATGAGCAATTTTTATTTGCAAAACAAAGAGATGCTAATAGTTACCTTCTTTTCACTAACAGAACTGCTCTAGGCGAGTGCGGGGAGGTGAGGATGGGGTGCAGGAACCAAGATGGACAAGACCCACCTGGGGTGCCTGCACCAGCCCACCCAGGTAGTGGACCAGTGGCACCTGGTGCCACTCCATGCTGAGCAGAGGGCCCGGATCTCACCAGAACGCAGACCCGTCCCCTTCCTGCCTTTACCTTGCTGGGCTATGGGGAGGGTTTTCGCTCGTCACAAAACCACACGTTCCCTCTTGGTCCCACCTCACCCGAGACCACAGCGTTTCCTCCGCTCAGATTCATCTCGATGCCTAGGGTGGGAGTCTGTTTCCGGTGCTCCCTCAGCCACCTCAAGCACACAGTGGCACCTCTGGGGGAGGCTGTGACTGTGAGGAGCTCCTGAACTTCTAGTGTCTTTATGTGCCCAGCTGCGGGCACTTCACCCACTGGTAAAGGAACCCAATCATCAGAAAGCAGTGTCCTGTTGATGTGCGGGCATGCGCACACTAATTCATGCATAGATTCACAAAAGCGGTCAAACCAAGTCAAATTGTTCAGTTTTTATCCCAATAATATGTTTAGCACAGCTTACTTGCAGGTGCTAGCAGATTACAAATGAAGTAATGAGTATTTACAGGAAAATAATTACAGCCGTGAAAGCCCACTTGTGTTAACAATCCCCTCGCCAGGCGGGGGGCGAATCTCACTGTGGGTGTGGCCAGGTGCAGTGGAACCCTGGGTCAAGTCGCTTGGGCTGGCCTGACTGCATTCGAGGTGGGGGCGGGGGGGGACCCTGAGCCCCGGGAGGAGGGTCTCCTTTTACTAACACAGAAACCGACCCAGCCTCCACATTTAAAAACCTCTCCCTGGTATTCAGTGTCTAAATTCCCGGTCAGGATTTGGGTGACATGGAGGACACCCATGGGGCACCCCACAGGGGGAGTGTGGTAGAACATAGGCGGGAAGTGAATCCTCTGCATTTTGCAGCTTATCTGCTGGGTGGATGAGATGCCCCAGGGAGTGCAGACTTCGTTTTGAGCCTGGTAGATGTCAGGACACTCAGAAATGCCAGGAAAGAAACATAACGTGTTTGGGGGAGACTGCAGCGGCCACTGCTGTCTTGCTACTGGCAGAGTCCCCCCATCTTCTGGGCAGCTTACATGCTCACAGTTCATGCCCTGGCCTTCTGTGCACTGGGCAGACCCCACAGTCTGCGATCCCAGTGAATGGCAGCCCTTCCCCAGTTCCCCCCGCTGAAGGCATCCCTCAGAGCACTGCCAATTTCAAGCCTTCTTCCATGCTCTAAAGACAGCTGGCGCCTGGCTGGAACCTCGGGGCGGGCACTGGAGAATAGACAGGCAGAGGGGGCCAGGCCCTGCAGGCCGGAAGGAACAGCCGCAGGCACTGTGCAAAGCACACGCAGCCCCGTAAAGACCCCTTTTATCTAAAAAGGCTGCCGGTGCCTTTCTGACAGGATTTGAAAACACAGATCCCGCACTTTTCTTGCTTTCGGAAACATGGAAACTGGGGGTGTTCTCAGTGGAAGAGGATATATACCTTGCAAAAATGGGGCCCTGGGGTTCATCCTTGGTACACTTCCCTAAAAACCCCAAACCTGGGAGAACAGACGCAAAGGGGTGGCAGTGGAGAGACTGCATCCAGCAACCGATGTGGAGAACACACCCCAAACCCCGAGGCCTCTTCTCTGCCCAAGACTCCTCAGGGCCTATGACCGGGGAAGGCTCGAAGACAAACTACAGGTCAGGCTCTTGCAGCCGAACCTCAATCTTGCCCTGTGGACTCTTTCCAGAAGACCCGGCTCACAGACTTTACTCAGAAACAGCGAGATTTTCACATTTTAGCCTTACACTATACACTGAACGAGACCACTCAGTGCTAATCCACAGTGAAAACATGTTTCTTGGCAATAAACCAACGCGCCAATGGTTGCAGACGCGAGAACCAGCCCTCCACGCATCCTCCCAACACTCCGCCCTGCTCAGAAGGAAGCAGGGCTGGCCGTAACGTGGGTCACATTCGTTAGTGATTCTAGTGTTAATGGGATCAATAGCTTTCATGGGACCATAACAGAAAACCCAACATGAGATTTTTTTTTTTTAAGAAGTGCTACAGAATGTTTTGTGCTCATGTAAAAGATCTTAAACTGCTTGGAAACGCAAAGCTGTTACTCTGGGTTCCCCAGGCTGTCAGTGCTGCGAGGGCGTCCCAGGAGCCTGTTCACGAACACACGGCCATGGCGTTTCTCACTTCACTCCACATCCCCGACTCTTTCTTCGTGCTTAACCTGCGGGTCTCCCCACAGCCTCTACACCAGCACCTCGGAGGTCGCTTTCAGAAAGGTTAAAGCAATGAATCCTCTTTTCTGTGAAACAACTCCCTGGAGGAATTCATCCTCTGCCATCACAGCCTGAGACCCGAGGCTGCAGTTCAGCAATCCAAGGTGGTCAGGGAATGACCAGGGTTACTACTGACCAAGAGGGAGGGACCACAGGAAGTAATGAGAGGGTCGGGGATTTTGTGCAAGATTTAATAATAAAACAAACAAAAATAGGGAATGGCTGCTTTTCCACATTTTCCAGGTTGTGAAAGGTTCACCACGATGATCGGTGAGCGGTTCTACATCGCTTTCGTGGAACAAACAGGAAATGCTGTCCTCCTCCCAGACAAAGGTGGCGGTCAGCTCCTCTCCAGGTGCACGGCCACGCCCCGCAGCCTGGGCCTAGCTCCAGCGGCCAGCAGCTGTCAGTGCTGTGAGCCAGGCAGAACCACACCCAACGGCTTGCTCTCCCCCTCCATGACACGTCGCAGGGGATAGCGCTAGCTTATCCAGGCTGCTGGGCCTTAATACTGACAGTGACGGTGGGGGGAGGACGGCAGGGAAGGGAGCCTCAGACGCCTGGCCCGGCCGGCCCTCCAGCCCCCACTCGGAGCTAACTGAAGAATGCCATGGAGAAAAAGCTTCCGTAGAACACGACAGAAGTCGTAGCCAACACAGCAGGGAATGTGCGAACACCCATAAGCCAGTCTTTCATGCATCCACACCCACAGTTAATGATGACAACAACAATAATGATAAAAAAAGAAAGGTACAGACAAAAGCAGCGTGAGGGTGGTGCTGCCGCCAGCGGGGGTGCGTGTTCAGGTCGCCCGGGACACAGCTAGTCCTTCTTCAAGTCCCTGGATTCAAAGAGCTTCAAGCGTTCCTGCACCGTCAGGCCTTCCTTCAGACTCTGGCAGAGGGGAGGGCAGGAGAAAAACCAAACCTCTGGTTAACTCCAGCGCCAGGCCCCGGCGCGCCGCGGGTGTAGGCTGCAAGGCAGGCAGAGGGGCGGGAAGGCTCCGGGGGAGCGCAGAGGACATGCTGAGAGACCGCCCCTGTGAAATGGTGGGTTATCTGGATGAGAGGAGGGGAGCCAGAGAGACAAGACCCCGTGGAGGAAGCGGAACTCGGAGCCGAGTGCTCTTGAGACAAGCAGCGATCAGATGGAGCCAGTCGGGGACAGACTGTGCCGAGAGCCAGAGAGCCATCTCCGCGCCTGTCCTGTGTGTGGGCCACGTGGGTCCCTGTGACTAGGAGCTTCTGGGCTGGTGCCAACAGAGGCTGGTGCCCCCTCCTCTGCCTGCCTCCCTCCGGCACTCCCCGTAGATGCTGCTGCTGGAGTCTACTCCTAGATCCTGGTGGCCAGAATTGTTTTTACTGTGTGGGGGCCCTTCTGGCAGTGCAGGGGGGGCTGCGGTGCTGGGATGAGCCTGGAGCTCACACACACTCAGGCGTGTGCTCTGCCCACTTGCACCCCCTCCCCATTATGGGGACTCTGGAGCACATTTGCTACGATTTTTGAGACTTCTTAGTTTGTTCATGCAGATACTTGGTAAAGTTTAAGTCTGTGTGTCCACAGTGAACGGTACTTTTCTAATTTGGGGGGAAAAACTTTATTTCTTGCCTCTGCCCTTGGAGGCTTTCCCCACATATCTAATTTCTGAACCAGAATGAAATAGGGCTTTTCAGAGCACGACTGGGAATGAATGGAACTTCGGCCTGGCCTGCAAGGGCCTGGATTTCCTGGTCACTGTCGCTGATATTCCTGGCGAATCTCACATTACACTTGTACTTGGCCAATCCCCCTGGCTTGCACATGCTAGAGCTCACAGAGGCATATACTAAGAGATGTGAAATAAAGATGGGCCCGTGGTGTGGGGTCCAGATGCTCATAAACACTTCAGCACAGATCAGAGCCCTGAGAATTAGAGCACACCCTGGGGCCTGTTCTGGATGAGGAGCCGGGTGGCGCTTAGCGCAGGAGACTGGGACAGGCCTCTGCAGCAGCTGCCCAGGCGGGAGGAGTGGGCCAGTGTGTTCCTCCAGCTCTGCCTGCTGGACACCGTGGACGGGTGTGTGGAAATGAATGAATGCACTGAATACACTTCTGGGGTGACTTCAGGAAGTCCTCTGGTGAATTGGGCCAGTGGATGCAGTGCTACTCTGACCTGTGGTACTGAGTAGTGGTGCTTGGGGTATCGTGGTACTGAGAGACTGAACCTAGGTGAGGTACACACAAGGTATGTTCCCTGTGGACCGTACTATCCCCCTAGTCCGCCTGTTGGCTGTGCTCCTGTCTCAATAGTCACACCCAGCAGTGTCCAGAGGACCATGAAATGCTGGAGTTGGACTAGAAAATCGAGCCTACCACTGCGACTCCTACCCCCTAACTTTTTTTTTTTTAAATAAAGATTTTTTTGGTTGGACATTTGGAAACTCACAAGTCCAGAGAGACCGCTGCATTTAAGCAGCAGGTTCAGGTCTTTCATAAAGCTTGCCCCAGAGTGGTGGAGATGCGTGTAAACTCACAAACCCTCTCTGAAACTCAGCCTCCTGAGTGCTGGGAGCACGTGTGCCGTGCTCCCTCCCACCTGAGCATGGGGCCTGCACAGCTGGGGGCGTGAGCTTCCTGTCCTGCCTATGAGTGCTCCCTCTGAGCACTGTTCATGCTCGGAGGGAGCGTCCCTGCATGTTTAGGGACAGGCAGTGAGGTATACTGTGGGGTCCATTCCACTCACTATAGCTTTAGGGTAAGACCAAACCATAGCCCCCACACCACCATATCCAGAGAGGGCAACTGGTGGGCTGGCTCTTCCCATGAGGGCACACTGGCCCCATAATCAGACAGCCAGACTAAGAAACCTTGCTCTGGTCTCAGCTCCAGAGATGCTGTGTTGCTCTTAAGCAAGGAGATTTGCTTTGGGGGTCAAGTGAAGCTGTCTCTGAAGGACAGGCCTGAGGACCAGCATGAAAGACTAGGACATCAGCTCCCACGTCAAACAGGCCCAGTGGCAGGTTTGGTTTTGGGCCTTGTCACCGCATCTTCCCACAAGGCTCTTCACATACGGGCCGGGGAACGGTGGCATCACGGGCGCTCGCAGCACAGAGGGGTCTCTGAGGACTTATTTCCGCTCCTTCACCATCACTGGTTTACCAAGCGCCGGGAGTGCAAGGGGCTGAGCGTCACACCTAAGGCCTGTTCCCACACCAGGACTTTTGGCTTTTCTCCTTACGCTGAAGCTCAGTCAGGTCAAATGGACTCAGATGCCACTTTGGGGATCTGTGACCCCAGCCTCTCTGACCTCTAGTCTGGGTGCCAGCCTTTCCGTGAGGCTTGTCCGGGCCTTAGAGGCTCATATTGTTCACCTCTGCTGCGGCTGCTCCCTGCCGGTGCCAAAGGTCCCCCTGAGCATCCCTCTGAGAAGCCCTGCCCAGGGAAGGTCTCTTCTCTGTCCTCTTTGGCAGGGACTAGTGCCCCGGGACACGGGATGGGCTGGACCCCCAGCAGGTGCTCTCAGTTGTCTGTTCTTTATAGGCGGGGTCTCAGGCCCATGTCACGAACGCTGACCTTGCAAGAGCTACTCTAACCTCAAATGGGAGGTGGATTTCTCTATCTGAAAATCAGACACCAACAAAAGGCAAGTTTTCCTTTGCCAAACAGAATGTTTCCATGTTTTAAGGGCAAGAAACGCAAACTCAGCTTTCAATCAAGCCTAAGCCACGTGGTGATATGGGGGACTGTTGGGACAAACCAAACTGACTCAGATTTAAAATACTTTCTTTTAAAACTCGCCCTGCAAACCCATTTCATGTAAGTTTCAAACTGAAACCGTCATAGCTCTGGCAGAGCACTGTGTGTGTTGTGTGTGTGTGTGTGTGTGTGTGTGTGTGTGTGTGTGTGTGTGTACACGTGTATTAGATGGGAATGCACCAGGGTGCACATTCCAAGGTAATTTGTGAAGGGGACGCCTGGTTGTGTGCGGGCTGGAATGGAACCCGGTGAGCTGTGCGTTTGGGGACCAGATGCCCAAGAACCGATGCTGGAGAGCGTCCAGCCCAGTCCTGTCGTCAGGTGCTCTGCGAGATCCTTCTTCGGCGGCCTCCTGAACCTCAGGCCAATCCCTCCCCAGCCTGTGACCTGGACGGGCTCTGCAGGGAGAGAGTCGGGGGGCCATGGAGTACAGCCTGCACCCCGACAGAGGGAAGGAGCAGCGCAGGCGGTGGAGACACATGCTGCCCGTGCTGCTGGGCTGTGCTCGGCCCTTCGAGCTGAGAGACGAGTTCCCTGCAGGGGTGAGCCAGAGAAGAGGCGGGAGTGACAGTGATGTCCCAGAGAAGATGACAGAATGTCCCTGGGCTGCGTGTGCCGGTGGCGCAGTGAGTGCAGGTGAGTGTCTCAGGAGCTGGCTGTGGGTGTGAGCGGTGCATGCAGGCAGCGTGGGTGCACAGTGAGAGGCGGTTTACCTACATGACAGGGGACCTGGAAGCGGGTTCGTTTCAGTTATCCCATGAGACCTGCTCAATTACGGACTGTCAGGGGAAAGAGCAAAAAAAACAAGACACACACACAATCAATCCCAAGGCAGCATGCGCGTCCCTTCCCCCCGCCCCCCACCCCCAGACAGGCACGCTGGGTGGCGAACACGGCTCTGAGCCAGGGAAGGCACAGGGACACACGAGGGTCTCTGCACAGCTGACCCTTCTCTCACGGGCAGGCGAGTTCTGGGCCCGGGGCCCTTCTGCTGCAGCGGGACGTGGGCTCTGAAGGGGCTTCTCCTCAGGGCCGCACCCACACTCACCTTGGACCTGATGCTTCTGAGTTGTCGGCTAACACAGGATCTGTCTTTCTTCAAGAAGTCAGGGTTGCTTTTAGATTTCATTATATCTGAAGGAACAAAAAGACTCATACTTCCGTTTTCTAAAGCCCACTGGATAATAAAAAAAAATCCCCCAGCTTATTGTTATCACCATCCCCAGTGCCACAGCCCTAACCAGACAGTGGCCATAGCACAGTCTTTTCCTAGACAACTACAAAAAGGGTGTGGTCCAGCTCTGCTGCCCATGTCTGCTGGGACGCAGCTTTCCTGACCACAATCAGCCCGGTACTCCTCGTCTCACCCTCTTCCCAAGAGAACCCAGCTTCCTGGAAACAGGCTGAGGCCATCTCTTCCTACCCATCCTCAGTGTGCTATAGATTTCTTAGAAAGCCTACTGTAGCACTGTCCTCCTATTGTTCATCGATTTGCTCGAGTGGGCACCAGTAACGTCTCCATTGTGAGACTTGATGTTACTGATTTTGGCATAATGAATATGCTACGGGGAGCTTGCCAGGCTCTGCCGTGCGGGCGGGATACTCTCTTGCCGGGCTCTCCGAGAGGGACAGAGGAATCGAACCGGGGTCAGCCGCGTGCAAGGCAAATGCCTACCCGCTGTGCTATTGCTCCAGGACTAGAAAGGCTCCATAAACACAAAACACAGGGCCAACCCATACCGTAGATCTTATGTATGTGAGTTCTGGTTTTTATTTTTACTCTGTTTCTATCTTTCCCCACTATCTAAACAAAAATATCTGAGCTATTTTAAGAACTACAGCACTTTTGGGGCTGGAGAGTTAGCAGAGTGGGCCAGGCGCTTGCCATGCATGTGGCGTACTGGGCTTGGGTCCCCGGCATCTATATGGTCCCCTGAACATCGCCAGGAGTGCAGCCAGGAGTAAGCACCGAGTACTGCTGCAGAAGGCCTGAACACACACACACACACACATACACACACACACACTCTCTCTCTCTCTCTCTCTCTCTCAGGAGTAAGCACTGAGTACTGCTGTGGGTGGCCTGAACACACACACACACACACACACACACACACACGATGTTCCCAATATTCCAATATTCATGAAGCCAGGCACCCTCTCAATGGGAGAACCCTCTCCTGCCTTCTCTGTACCCCCTGCCTCTGCAGATTCCATGGTAAAACTGCAGGATCAAGCCCTCAAAAAAAAAAAAAAAAGATGGAATTTTTTTTTTTACTTTTTGGGGTCACACCTGGCGATGCACAGAAATTACTCCTGGTTCATGCACTCAGGAATTACTCCTGGCGGTGCTTGGGGGGACCATATGGGATGCTGGGAATCGAACCCGGGTCGGCCTGGGTCGGCCGCGTGCAAGGCAAACGCCCTACCAGATCTGCTATCACTCCAGCCCCAAAAGATGGAATTTTTAGGGACAAATAACACAACTTGTAACTACTGTGAGAACACACCCAGAGGATGCAACTTCCCTTCCTTACTATCAGGACGTGCCTGGCACCACTATGCAAGGGCGTATCTTTCACCAGAAGCCAGTGTGCCCACCTGACCTCGGCCCTTGCCCCTGTTCTCTGCAGGTGGCTCTAAGGTCCTACACGGATGTGGCTTTCTTGAGAGCTCACCATATCCCGACACCGGTGCGCTCTCTGGTGATTTTTCCCCCAGTGCTTCCGTGGCTGCTTTCAGCTGCTCTTTCAACCTGCTGATGTCGCAGTCGGCTTTGGCCTTCACGATGCTGAGCTCGGTGTAGATGTCTTTGTACTTGTCACTGGCATACTTTTTGTCCTTGGGGATGAAAGAACAGAGTCAAGAGGGGTTACAGCTGGGATGCCCCCCTGGGGCTGGAATGCTGCTGGGGCGGTGGAAGGACATAGACCTGTCTCCACAGTAGAGGCCCAAACTAGACAGTGACACGGGTGCTGAGAAGGTCTGAGAACTCCTGAGACCTCAGGGCTCCCTGGGAAGCCCTCTGGCTGTCCTTCAAAGCACACAGGAAGTGCTCCTCATTGTCCCCTCACTGTCCTTCAAAGCATACAGGAAGTGCTCCTCACTGTCCCCTCACCCCTCTGCTGGCATTATAAGAGAACCTGATCTAGAGATGGCATCCTTCATGGAAATGAGAGACAGACAGAGAGAGAGAGAGAGAGAGAGAGAGAGAGAGAGAGAGAGAGAGAGAGAGAGAGAAGGTTTGGGTTCAATTGCTGGCATCAGATGATGCCCCAGGCACCACCAGGGGTGATCCCTGAACACTGTGCCAGGAGTAGCCCCTAAGCCCCAGTGCGTGAAGCATCCTCCCTCCCCTGAGACAAGTCACGTCTAGACCAGCACGAGCACTCTGGAGACTCAGCGGACTTCTGCTTCCTGCCCAAGCCCTTCCCAGGTGGCCCCGCCCCCGTCCCAAGCCCCCATCTGCTGTTTACCCGCAATGCTGTCTGCAGCTCGTCTTTGAGAGAGCTAATCTCCTGCTTCAGGTACTGGATTTCTGATTCTTTGACCCGCAATAAGACCTGTAAGTGGAGAGATAAGGGACAACATCATGGGCAACAGGAGGTCCAGCACAGACAGTGAGGAGGTTCCCAGCCCACGCCTGGGAGCCGGCAGCGGCTTCCCTGATCCTCACTGGGTACATGACAACACTAGCCAGTATACTGCAGCACTTCTACCAGCTCAACAGTTCACAGAAAAACTGCCACCATGCATCTTCCTGTTCCTAAGATTCCCCCTTAGCTTGGGGTACCTGCGGTGCTCCTATGACTGGACTTACAAAGATATTCCACGTGACTTCACTCAGCCCCTCCCGTAACAGCTAGTATGAAACATTCTCATGATGAAATTTCAGTTGAATTAGGAGAAATCTAAGTGCTTTATACATGGACATACAAATCATTCTCCTGTGGGCCAGAGTGACAATACAGCAGGTAGGGCATTTGCCTTGCAAGCAGCTGACCCGGGTTTGATGCCTGGCATCTTACATGGTCCCCTAAGCACTACCAGGAACAATTTCTGAGTGCAGAAACAGGAGTGAGCCCTGAGCACTGCCAGGTGTGACTCCAAAACAAAACAAAATCATTCTCAGGGCTCAACTGAAGTTTCATCATGAGAATGTTTCATACTAGCTGTTACGGGAGGGGCTGAGTGAAGTCACATGGAACATCTTTGTAAGTCCATGGTTCTCAGGCTGAAGCACAGCAGGTAAAGAAAGCACTTGCTTTGCATCTGGCTGACCTGGGTTTGATTTCTTCATATGGTCCCTGAACACTGTCAGGAGCAATCCCTGAACACAGAGCCAGGAGCACCACCAGGTTGACCCCTCCCCCCCCAACAAAACCAAAGCCACAGAGTAAAATCATTCCCACTTAAGGGCCAGGGAGATGGCTCAGAGGACTGAGCACTGCTTTGCATGAGGGAGGTCTGGGTTCAATCCCTAACACCACATGGTCCCTGAGCCCAAGCCGGGAGCGACCTTCAACACAGAGGTAGGATTAGTCCCCAAGAGCTGCAGGGTGTGGTACAAAAACAAGCCAGTCTGGCTTAGAATGAACCCTGAGATCTAAGAAACAGGACACGCCAGAGCCAGAATCTCGGCAGCTGCTGAACTCGGAAAGTCGTTAAGTATCTCTTTTCTTAAGTCATGTTTGTGACATGGTAGGAAGGAGGAGAGATGAGCGTGGGGCAGGGGTGGGTCCTGCGATCCCCCAAGGGGCCCAGCTCACACCCTGGCCCTCAGTGCCAGCAGCTGTTCTCTGCTGCCTGGGGAGCTTCCTACATTCCCTCTTGCTGGCCTCAAGTCTCGCTCCTGCACTGAGCGTGTGAGCTGGGGGTCCACCAGGGACTTGTGCAAGGGAGAGGGACAAGTGGTACCTCCAACTCATAGGCGTCCTTGCCCTGGGCAAGTGGCGAGCCTGCAGCCTCCCCGCCAGCGTCCCCTGTCAGCAGCGTCCGTAACCGTGAGATCTCCGCGGCCAGCCGGTTATTCAGCTCCTGGGGACAGCAGAGAGCAGCACGCTCAGCAGACGCCCTAAAGCTCGGCCGGTGGAGGGTATGGCGGGGCTCATCACCCCGGCCATTTTAGCCGCAAGCAGCTCTGTGGGGCTGTGCTTAGGGATCATGGACGAAGGTTTCTTGGGCCTGCCACCTCTGTCACCGTAAGTGGGTGCATCTGCTTCATGGTGGGCCTCAGCTCAGGCTGAGGGAGCAATACGACCCCCTCCCCACCTTGCAGGCCTCCAGGTGACTGCAGACCCAGCCCAGCTGGGACAATGACACCTGCAGGTGGCGGGGGGCTAGCAGTGCAATTTGGCACCCACAGACCAGCTCGTTTCCGGAAGAACGGGAACACTTCCAGAGTACACTGACAATAATCAGCGTGAGCAGGGTAGGACCTTCACCAAGGGCTGTCTGAGACCTCGGGGAGGGGAGACTCTGTCTGGCAGTGAACCACAGGAGGGGCGGACCACCACAGGGGCCGCCGCCCGCACCCTTCCCCCCGCCCGGCAGGGAGGGCCTGGGGGAGGCTGTGGTCACCTGGTTGTGGGCGTTGAGCTCCTGGTTCTCGCGCTGGCACTGCCGCAGGGCCTGCCGCTCGGCCTCCAGCGCCTGGGCCAGGTGGGCGTTTTCCAGGCACTTCTGGGAGTACTGCTCCGACAGCACCTCCAGCTCCCTCTGCACCGACTGCAGCTCCTCCCTGGGGACACACCGCTGCTCACCACACTGCCCAGCCCCGGGACAGCAGGGCGAGCACTGCATGCCTGGGTCTGCACCAGTGTTCCCAGCACAGGCTCTCAGGGGGAATGGCACGGTGCATGGAGTGACAGGACCACACACCTCAGCTTAATTTGGACTTGTTTGCCGAGACGTTTTCCCCTAGGGAACTAACTTCTGAGGTGGTGGGGTCTGCTGACCGGGGCCCGGCTCTGTCAGGGCTGGGGGAAAGTCCAGTCCCCGGGACAAGAGCGGTTTCTCCTAGTGAGCCAGCAACCTGCCCAGCACTCCCAGCTGCAGCCTCGGTGGGAGCCTTGTTCTCCAGAGGCTGCCTCAGGGCTCCCAGCCCAGGCCTCCCGTCCTCTTGGCCCGGGTCCAAGAGCACAGACTCAGCACGGTCCCTAGCGGGCAGGGCACTTAGAGTGCTTCCTTTGCAAACCTTCCTCCCTACATTTCTTTTTTTTCTTTTTGGGTCACACTTGATGATGCTCAGGAGTTACTCCTGGCTCTGCACTCAGGAATTACTCTTGGTGATGCTCGGGGGACCCTATGGGATGCCGGGGATAGAACCTGGGTTGGCCACGTGTAATGCAAACGCCCTACCCACTGTGCTATAGCTCCGGCCTCCTCCTCCTGACATTGCTGGGCTCCGCTTCTTTGATTTTTAAGAACAGGAAAGCCCAATTGGGCTGAGAGCCAGCGCTGGACCCTGAGCACACACAGCCTGCTGGAGCCCCGTCTGAGGGGAGGCGGCCCCCACACCAGCTCCCTGCGCAGCCGTGGGAGCTGACTCACAGGTACTGCCGCCGCAGGGCCTCGATGTCCGAGTTGACGCTGCTGATCTGCGAGCGCTGGCTCTTCTCCAGCTCCCGCTCCATCTCCTCCCGGTGGGCGTTCTTCATGGCTTCGATGGCTGTGGGCAAAGACGCAGGCCAGGATGACAGGGCCGCCCGCTGCCCACGCTCACGCACGCTGGCCCTCCAGGCCCAGGCCTCCCCCAGAAGGGATGCGCATCCTGTTCCATGCAGGAAGAAGCCCCCTGCTCGCCTCAAGGTGAAAGCCAGACTCGAGCCCCAGCTTCTGGCTGCTCGTCTCCCTCCTTGTTACCCAATGGATGAGCCCCGGACAGTTACATAAGGGGGCGGCCCGAGCCCATGGGTGGGGTGCAGAGCGAGTTGTGTGGGTTGGAAACGGTCCTCCCTACAGGTATCCGTGCTGGGGGAGAAGTGGGGCGGGTGTGGTGGGCCTGAAGGCTGTGCCAGGCCTGGGGCTCGCAGAGGGCACCCGAAACCTGCCCTTCCTCCAAGAGCCGCCCGACGGAATAAGAAAGCGCAGACAGCAGTGGGGGCGGGTCTCGGCGCCTCGAGGCTGTGTGGGGTGCGGCCAGGAGGCCCACCTGAGATGGTGGCTGCGGTCTCCTCTGCCAGGAGCCGGTCCTTCTCCTCCCGCAGCTTCTCCAGTTCCCGCTGGTGCTGCCTCTGCAGATCCTCGATCTTCTTCTGATGTGTCTCCTCCATCGCAGCGAACCCGCGCTCACACGTGGCCTGCAAGATGCCAGAGGCCTCTGTGAAGGCTTCCCATGACCTCCAGGTTGGGGTCCTGTTTGCCAAGAAAACTAGCAACCGCCCGCCCTCAGCCCCAGGACAGAACGTGCCCTGGGAGCTGAGTCCTGCGCCGGCGAGACCACTGAAGGCTGCCTGGCCCTCACCCATGGCTTGGGTGATTTCATGCCTTCGGCACATTTAGAAAAGGTCCTTTACATCTCTAAAGTCTGACTTTTCTGGCTGAGCTCACTTCTGTTCCTCCAGGAAATGAGCTGGTAGTGGGGGTGGAAGGAGGGTGGAACTGAAACAGTCCAACCTGGGCTGTTACAGGCCGGCCAGGGAGGGCGGGGGGAGAGCAAACGGCCAAGCCTGGTCTGGGATAAGCTCTGTCAGTTACGAGCTGGACATTCTGTAAGTAGCCACTGTTGGAGACAGGCGCCAAGGCCATCTTGCACGGGACAGGAGGCGCAGGGGGGCTGGGTGGCAAGGCTGGGCTGCCACTACTAGCTGGTGCCTTCACCAAGGGCCTGAAGGGAAGTGGCTGCTACGGAGATCAGGCCAGGTGGCGTCATCTCTTCCCTCCCGGCCCACGTTCTCCAGCTTTTCTTTTCTGACTAGAACCAGGAGGGGCACTAATCAGTGACTCCACCAGCCATGCTAGGCCAGTGTGTGAGGAGCTGCCGTGGGCTGGCAAACTCCCTGGACAGGCACCAGGAGAGATCGGGTCACCCCCTCCGCTGTAAAAGGGTACAATGTACAGCTGTTGGCTGCAGAGACCCACTTTTTTTTTTGAGACCCACTTTTAGTCCAGGTCCCTTGTAAAATCTGCTTCAGAGTGGGGATCAGGCCTCTCTCATTCTTACAAGACAGGGGGAATGTGGCCATGCTAGACTCCAAGCGCAGCACTTGGGGGACTTCTCTTCCCAGCGTCCGACCTTAGACTGTTTGGTCTGAGAAGACCAACAGGTCACAGAAAGGATACCAAGAAAGCAAACCACCCCGCGGGGGATTTCCAATCCTTCGCCAGTCACCACAGCCTCTCTGAGATCTTTGGTAGGAATCCCGACCCTCCTCTTTGGGGGTTGCTAGTGGAGGCCCCCACCCCCACCCCTCCCTGCTCTGAAATCACACTGTGGCCAGCAGAACTGAGGCAGAGAGAACCACCGACTCCATCCTGCACAGGGCAGGGCTCCAGAGCAGCGGGCACCCGTTGGCTCCACCCACACGCCCGGGCCTGCCCACCCCTCTGTGAGTGAAACAGGCTGCAGGACCTTCAGGCTCTCAAAGTCTCTCTGGTACTTCTCCCGCAGGGCGGCCGTGCTGCCCTCCAGGTCCCTGTGCTCCAGCTCCTCCCGCATGACGTCCATCTGGGCCTCCAGCTCCTGGATGCGCTCCCTCAGGCCCACCATGGAGTCGGCCTCCCCGGAGGAGAGGGGCTGCGGACTGCTGGGGGGTGCGGGCGCAGGCAAGGCCCCGGGATGCTGCCGCTGGCAGCGGTGCAGGGCCTCGTGCAGGCACTGCAGGCTCTGTGAGTAGTGCTCCTGCAAGGTCCTCAGCTCCTCCTCGTGGATTGCTTGCAGCTCTTTGATCTTCAGCTGGAACCTGTCCTCGAGGGTCTGCATCTGCTCCACGTGGTGCCTCTCCAGGTCCTGCCGGTCTCGGACCGAGGCGTCGAGCTGGCTCAGGATGAGGCTGTGCTCGGCCTGCAGCGTGTTCTCTGCTCGGCTCAACTGGGCCACTACACAGCGGATCTCTTCCTCGTACCTCCCTTGCAGGGCAAACATGTTCTCACTGTGCTTGCTCTCCACTTCTGCCAGGCACCTCTGCTGATGATCCAGCTGGGCGACCTTGGCCTTCAACTCTGCGTTCTCCCTTTCAACGATGGCGATCACCTCCAGGTACTCACTCTTCTGCTTCCGGAGAAGCTCCTCATACTCCTCCCTGAGCGCCCCGACCGCCTGCACGTGCTCCTGGCACGAGACGCCCCGGCCCTGCCAGGACTCCTTGTGGCGCTGGAGCTCCTTTTCGTACTCGAGTCGAATTCTGCAGGCGGCGTAACACACCTGAGCCTGAATAATGGCATCTTGAACTAATAATGAAGAGTACTGACCAAGGCCTCCCAGACAAGTGGTATAGGAGAGAGCCTGGGATGCCTGGAGAAGCTTCTGACAATCTCTCACAGGCTCCACAGGGGCAAGAGTGGTCAGAGAGGCAGAAATCTGCCCCAAGAGGCTGGCTTTGTCTTTAAGCTGCAGGGCGAGTTCTTCCTGGATAGAAATGAGAGCCCCAGAACACTGGGTGGGCAGGGAGGAGGGCTCTTGGGAGCCAGCTGCATCTTGGGGACTGCCCCCTGCTAGCAGGCTCAAGTCCAAGGACCCCGGGGCACTGTCCTCACTGCCCGCTGGAAGCCTGAGGGCTTCCGACAGCTGCTGCATGACTCTCTCGAAGTCAGGGGTCTGGTACGCGCCTAGGATCTGCCCCAGCACCTCCTTGTGCTGCTGCAGTGCCGTCTGGGTGCCCTGGAGGGTCTCCTGCACGCGCTGCAGCCTCTGCTGGAAGGACAGCCTCACCGACTGCACCGCGAAACTCAGCTCGGCTCTGACCCACGTGGCATCGGCCAGGGCAGGGATCAGGGCCTGCGGGAGGCTCCGCTGGTCATCTCCGGACCCATCGGCTGCCTCTCCACACAGAGTCCCTAGGTGCTGACTCAGGGACTCAACCCGGTTCCAGAACTCTCCATCCACCAGCACCTTCCTCGCCCAGGCATCTGCGGGGACGCTGGGGTGGAGGGCGGTGCCTTCACACGCTGCCGCCTGCGAGATCTCCTGCAGGACCTGGGAGACGTCTGCCGAGGTGTTCCTCAGAGACTCGGCTATCTGGTTTATCAGCGAGGCTTCCAGAGCGATCTGATCTGAAAGGAGCTTCAGCTGCTCCTGCGCCATCGGTTCAGGCGGCAGCGTCGGCGGCTGTGGAGCCAGCGACCCTTTCTCCTGGTCACTGCCCTCCTCTGGCCGGGAGTGGGCGGTGCAGTGCTGCAGGGCCTGGATGGCGCTGGAGAGCGTGGTCTCCATGCTGACCAGCGGGCCGGCTCTCGCTGCCGCCCACGCCTCCTCCTGGCCGGGCCCCGGCAGAGCATGGAGCTGCTCCCGACAGTCTTCCAAGTAAGCCAGGGCCTGGCTGTTCTTGACCCGGAAGTTACCGAGCTCCCCCATGTGCCTCTCGACTGCCTCTGCCCTGGCCTGCCTCTCCTGCTCCAGCTGGGAGGCCAAGGCCCCGACCTGGAGCAGGCTGGCGCGGAGCTGCTCGCGGAGACGCGCCTCCGTGCCCACCCACTGCTGGTGCAGGGCCAGCAGCGCCTCCTGGCTCTGGCCCTGCTGGCTCTCCAGTTTCACCGTCACGTCCTTGAGCTTCTCCTCCGTGATGTAGAGTTTGGTCTCCAGGGAGTGGATGATGGAGAGGTAGGTGTCGGAGTCACTGGTGGCAGGGAGCGGGCCGGGGGCCGCCTCGGAGGACATGCTCTCCTCGGAGGGGGAGCGGTCCTGGCTGGTGTCTGAGGACGTGCTGCTGGTCCAGGTCTTCTCGGAGCCCTCTGGCTGCGTGTACTTCTGGCACTGGATCGTGGAGAACCGGATCCTCTGCCTCTTCACACCGGGAGCCCCCTGCTCGGCTTTTGCTGGGCTCTGCGCAAGCCCCTCCCTGTCGGGCACTTCTGATTTGGGGGGCACAGCCCCTTCTTCTCTCCTGGGGCACCCGTCACCATTTTCCTCCCCCAGGGCAGCCCCAGGGTCTTCCTCCTCGAGTTTTGAGGGTGGGAGGCCAGTGGCTGGTGGCTGCGGGCCTCCAGGCAGGACGCTGTCCCCCTCAGCTTCTTCCGGGGCACTCGGGGGCCCTTCTGTGGCCTCTGAGGACTCCGTCGCCAATTTCCTTAAAGCCTCTTCCTTCGCCTGGAGCTTCACTTCTGTTTCCTCCAAGCTGCTCCCCAAAGCAACCATTTTAACCAAAGCCTCGTTGAGGTCCTGGTCCTTCTTCTCTAGCACTTTCTGGTGCAGTTCCTTGATGTGCGCCAGCTCCTCCTCCCTGTCCTTCAGCAGGGCGTGCATGCTCTGCAGCTGGCCGGCCGCCCTCCGGTAGGAGAGCTCCAGGCTCTGGTAGTCGGCCTCTCTCTCCCGGAGCTTCTCCTGGAGCGCGGCCACGTCCCCGTCCGACTGAGCGACGCGCTCGGCCAGCTCCTGGAATCGCTGCCGGATCTGGTCGCGCTCCTCGCGGAGGCTCTGCACGTGCTCGGCCAGCTTCTGGATGCTGGCCTCCTTCATCTCCAGCTGCTCCTCCAGCCGGTGCACCACCTCGCTGCCCTCGAACTTGGCACTCAGCTTCTCCTTCTGCAGCACCTCCATCTGCTGCTCGTGGTCCTGGAGCTGGTCCTCGTAGGCGCAGGCCTTGTCCTCCACCTCCTTCAGGTTCTGCAGCAGGGCCTGCTTCTCCTTCTCGCAGCTCTCCAGCAGCAGCTCGTAGTTCCTCTGCAGCTTCTCCTCCATCAGCCGCTGGGCCTGCTCGCTGGCACTGAGCTGCTGGCTGAGGTCGGCGATGCGCTCCTGCAGCCTCTGCACCTCCTTCTGCCGGTCCTTCTGCAGCGCCTGCTGCGTCTCCAGGTCCCGCAGCTCCTGCGTCTTCTCCAGCAGCAGGGCCTCTGCGCTCTTGAGCTTCTGCTCGCTGGCCTGCAGCTGCCCACTCAGCGTGGCCTCGCTGTGCTGCCACTCCTCCAGCTGCTCGCGGACCTTGTCCTTCTCCAGCTTCAGGTCACTCTTGAGCTTGGCCAGAGCCTGCTCCTTGATGGCGAGCTCGGCGGCAGCGTTGCTGAGTCTCGCCTGGAGGCTGCGGATCTCCGCCTCGTGGTGCCGGATGGCGTCCTTGGCCTCCCCATAGCTACGCTTCAGGGCCTGGATCTGCTGTGTGATCAGCTCCTGGCGCCGGCACTGGGCCTCCAGCTCACTCTGGAGATCTTGGTTGACTTTATGGAGCCTCTGCCAGGCGCCGGAGGGGGAGGTGGCCACTTCAGTCTTAAAAAAACCGATTAAACACTGGTTAGTACCACTCGGGCCTCCCAGTTCTGAGTGTCACACCTCTGGCCAAGTCAACCACAGAAAAGCTCCTTGGTGGGTTTGTCTTTTATCCTTTGCACTTTATTTTTTAAATGTTTTTAAAAAACGTCCAACGAATCACCTCAATATTTTTGGCAAGTAGTTGCTTCCAGATAAACAGAAAACATGGACAATAACATCAAACAGATCTAACTGAACAGCTTCTAGGAGAAATAAACCAAACAAAACTGAATAATGGAACACACTGATAAAGCAAAACAAAGACAGAACGACACAGAACTGGGGAGAAGGGGGGGCGCTGAGCACCAGCACCGGCTCTAGATCTAGACGGCAAATCTTAGGGAAGCGCGGGAATGCAGGCCTGGGGGATGATGTCACTTCCTTCTAGGACAGGGAGAAGGAAGGGAGGCCACGGCGGGCATGCCGCGAGGTGACATCCGCAACAGTTTCCTTTGGAAAGTGGAGCCCGTCCTCTCCCGTGACGGGAGAACTAGTCTCTACCTGTAAGAAGACCAAAATGAGGGGAGGGGGTGGGCACAGAATCCATGGAGTGAGATATGATAACCAACAAAACAAACAAACCTCTGTGGAACTTAGGACCAGGAAGTGAAGCATGCAAAAAACAAGAACAACGAAACACAGTGAAGCAAAATTCCCCATCCCGAAGGCGTGCGGAATAGACAGAACCAACACAGGTGGGGACACAGGAACGGCAACAAGAGCGAGAACAGTCCAGCCTAAGAATTTGGCCTGGCCATGGTGCCCTCTGTCTGCTGGTGGGGAAGCCACAGATGTGACACTCAGGTATGTTAAGTTACACTCCACCTCCACACCTCGCAAGCTCCTCCTCCCAGCAGTTAGCAGTTAGCAGTTAGCGTGCGCCCCCCTGCGCGGTGACTCCTGACCCCGGGCCCCAAAGGCTTGTACTCGTTCAGGTCTTTAATGAGAGCATCTCTGACTCACAGAGCAAGCTAACGGAAACCTGAGATTATAAACGGGACCAGCCGTGCCAAGACAGGGGCTCCCGCAGGCTCATGCAATTAGCCACGTTAGACACAGAGCAGGGTCTTTGGTTAGCAATGTGCAAAATTTCCTGCTAGTATCTTTCCCACAGAGAACTGGGGGGCCCAAGCAAGGACAACCTGGAGAGTTTGCAGGGCCGACCCAGAGCGTCCTTAGAGTGGAGAAGGCAGGGAAGAGGGAGCCCACCATTTATTTCCTGCTGTTGGAGAATCTGAACTGGGTATCACGGCAACTCCAGTGGATGGTTGGGACAGGGCAGGAAGGTCTGGGGAACCCCAGGACAAAGTCAAGAAGAAAGAAAAGGAGCAGGCAGAAGGGTCATGCAAGAGGAGGTGCACTGAAAGAGGCAGGGAGGTGGATTTGAGACCCGGGGTGGCTGAGAACTCTGGTTCATGTGCTGCCTAGGACAAATGGAACCATATGAGTGACCTGGAAACAGTGACCGAGGAACGCATCAGTCACAGAGAGCTGAAAGGCCTGCGGGAGGAGGGTCACAGGTCTTGGGTCTGCAGGCAAGGTGCCTGACACTGCAGGCCTGAGTGCAGCCCTGCATTCCTCGCTGGTCTGTTCTATTTAAAGTAGGGGCCACTCCTGACAACGCTCAGCCCGGCAGTGCTAGGGGCCAGCTGGAGCCCTGAGAGTTAAGTCCTCCATTTCCAACCCCACTCTCTGTGTCCCCCACGCACTCATCTGCCAGCAGTCTCTCCTTGCTGCGCACCTGCACGCAGTGGGCCTCAGAACGGGCCTAGGTCTTCAAAGCGGCAGGACGGTTGGCCTACACTGGCCACCTGCCCAGCTCGGGCCAGGACCCACAGGGTTACTTGGTCTGAGTTTTCCCTTAAAACTTGACCGAGGCAGAAATGTAAGAGTGGGGCCACACCCCTGACGACAGCCTCAGGTGTCTGCTGAGTCTAGACAAGGAAGGTAAGTCAGGGAGAGAAAATGTGTCTGGCTGTGAGCGACGCTGTAAGGGCACGTGGCTAGCTCATCACTCAGTTTCCCCAAACTGTCCAGTAAAAACCATTCCTAATCAAGCTGTGCAAAATAGGCTGGATATGTCGAGAGTTGGAAGTCCACCCAAACTTGTTTTACTAAGACAAGGGAAAAACCCTTAAAGAGAATTCAGAGAGTTCCGCCAAGATGTGATGCCAGGAGGGAGGGTAACCAGAGGCGGCTGCATCGCGAACCAGATCGGGGGAGAGAAGCCAGGGGCGCAGTGCCGGGGGGCTGCCCTGCTCAGCCAGGTTTTGCACATTCCTAGCCCGCCTGGGCCCCACACCGAGCCCCCGAGAGCACCTGAAGGGCGTGGCAGCCCCTCAGCCCTACCTGCAGAACGTAGCCCTCCCGGGCGCTCTGTTCTCGGCCCAGGGCCACCCTGAGCTGGTCCTGCAGGAGACGGTTCTGCTCTAGAAGGTCAGAGGCCTCCTTCTGACTCTGCTCCAACTGTTGGCAAAAGAAATTTGTTTAAGCACGGCTGCACTGAGACCAGCCGTGGGGGCGGTTCTGACTCGGGATGGGAGTCGGCAGACACGGGCTTCCCTGCCACCTCGAGTCTGTGCTGGTCGTGTTACCCACACCACCCGCAGACAGCTGTTGCCACAGGTGGCCACAGCGTCCACCTGATCCTGCCTGTTGGCTGCAACATGCAAACCTGCACAGACAGTGCGTGCTGCGTCTGCATCAGGAGCAAGACCCTGCGGAGGCCCTGTGTGACCCTCACTCAGTCTCTGCCTTGTCTTCCACCTCAAGGGCTCTGTTTGGGTCAGTTTTCTACGATGGAGCTCACATAAAATTCGATTTGCAAAAAGGGTTCCTGAAGGATGTCTCATAAACTTGGAGAACTAGCAAACTACTTTGTTGAACTTCTTGCGTTTAATAGCTCCAAATTCAGCCATTCATTCTCATCTCTTCCCGAACATTCCCCGCAGCAGAGCTGGGCTGAGAGGTCTAGAGACCCCAGACGTTTGGACACTGCTGTACAACTCTGGCTGGCAGGCCCATTTTGGGCAGCTTGAAACAATGTGAGTTTGAACCCACGGAGTCCTCTTAGCAGGGCTTATGCTGATTATATCAATAGGACATACCACAGTGTTGAGGCTACTAAATAAATGTCAGCCTCCAGAATTTCGTAAATTAGAGGAAGCGTAAAGATAGGCAAGTCTTCAACTTTAGCCAGTTCTGAACAGACAGAGCCGGGAAACGCTGCTGAGTGTTCCTAAAAGTCTACTACAGTGGGGAAAGGTTTCCAAAGAAGGCGAACACCCCTCCCTGGTCACGGGACTCCCTGCTTAGACTCACACATCATCTGCTCAGATGTGACTTCTGGACACATTTTCATGAAGATCCTACTTGTCTCTACATCACAGTTGCCCAGACAGGCCTGCTGGGGCAAGACCTGGCCAGCTGAGCCGGGACGTTCAAGAGCTTCCCTCATGTACATGTCGGCAGGAAGCACCTCTCACCCCCAGACTTGGCATATCTAGAAGAGTTCACTGACTCCTGCTAGGACACTGCAAAAGCATCAGGGCTTGACTCTGCTTCCAGCCACTTCCTGCTTGGACCCAGTCTGGGAGAGCCCCTCGTGCCACGCCCATCACTCTCAGGCCTAAAATTTCAAACTGACGCTTGAGTTGGGTGACAAGTTCCCACCTGGGCCTTGCAACTGCCAAACCTCCTCTTTGCCCACATCTGGCCCGGGGCAAGAGTGTCCCCAGGGCCAGAGAGCTCAACCCTCCTTTGGGGAGGCTCAGTGCCCCTTGGCTGCCACCCTGACGGTGACACACTCCTGCCCGCCTCTCTGTCTGTGCAGCCTGTGTCCCATGGGCGCCACCTCCCGCCATTACCTCCTTCTCCAGCAGGGAGGTGAGCTCGTGGGAGGAGAGCCGCTCACTTCCGCCCTCCGACGACAGATGCAGGGGGGCAATGGGCACCTGCTTCTCTTCCCGGAGCGGGGTGGTCTCCACCTGGTGCCACCGCTGCTCGATTTCCACGTGGACATTCTGGGTCTTGAGGTCAGTGGCCGCAGGCAGCCCCGGGCTCCGGTCCACCTCCATCCGCAAGGCTGCGTCCTCAGCACCGGGCCCGTCCACAGCATCCAGCATCCCAAAGCGCTTGCGCCGTTCCTCCCGTCGCCGGGCACGCTCCCGCTCCAGCTCGCCGGGCTCTGCCTCGGGACTGAGGCTGGGGGCCCCCGACATGCTGGCCCGCTCCTGGGCCAGGGCCTGCTGGATGGGGCGGAACTCAGCCCAGTCAAAGGTCTTGGAGCGCCCTTCCCGCCGCCGCTCCCGGGCCCGGCTCCTCTTCTGCTCGGGGTCCGGCTCCCCGTGCTCTGCCTCCTGCTTCTCACTTGGCCTCTGGCAGGCGTCAAAGACGGCGCTGCTCCGGTTCCTTTCCTCGGGCAGTGAGCTGGGCAATGCAAACACAGCCATCAGGAGCGGCTCCCTGGGACTCCCCGCACGGGCCCAGCCACACCCCACTTGGCTCCACTCCCCACAGCCTGGTCTCAGCCGTGGCACCCTGAGCAGAGGGGGGGAATCCCTGCTTCTCCGCATCACTTGAAAACAACCAAAAAATGTTTTTTGGATTTGCTTTGCTTCTGGGCCATACACGTACATCACACAGCGCCCGGGGCTACCCCTGATGGGTGCAGGAGACACACGGGGTGCTGAGGAGCAAACTGCCACTCCTGAGGGGACCCAGGCCTGTTTCTGAGTGAAGGTGGGAGAGAAACCGTGACCCAGCCCAGGCAATGGGGGTGCCTGAGTGGAGATGGCACTCCGCCAGGGCAGCCTGGGCACCTGCAAGGGAGGCGACCACGGGTCAGCGGGCATCTGAGCAGGCAGCTCGCTCAAGGGAACTGAGGGTTTAATGAGCAAACCACACCACCAAGACTGTGCCTTAAGAAGCCACAGCAGGCGGTGGGTGACAGAAGCATCTGAGTGAGAGCTGGGACCACCTGTAAGCCAACAGGAAGGCCCAGGTACCTGGACTGCACCACTGCACCCTGCAGTGACCCCTGCAGGAACTAGTCCAGGAGGTGATTGAAAAGCAACTGCTTCTGAGATGGCACCGCCCAGAGATGGGCGAGATCTTCTTCCAGCCAGCCTCAAAGCAGGCGCCTACAGAGGCCGCAGGCTGGCCGGGGGGCGCAGGGGTGTCTGGGAGGGTCTGGCAAGGAAGCCACATGTGGCGTGGAGGTCTCTGGCTGCTGGGAGGGAGCCGATGCCCTCAGTGCCCGCCCAGACCACTGAGCGAGAGCTGAGAGTAATAGCAGCCAGCGAGGCTCCAGCGAGACAATCGGGTGTAAAGGGGCCCACAAGAATGGGGCCATGTCCTCCACAAAAGGGCGGGGATGCTTCCGGGGGCTGGGGTGGTGGTGATGCCATCCCCCAATGAACACGAGAAACACTAGAGGCCGCTGACGGCAGGGCCTTTACTCTCCGACATGGGATGCACGCACACCCAGCTCATGCGGATATCCCCACCCCACGCTGAAAGCTGGTCCACGCTCAGTCCCATGGGGAGGGCTGACAACGGGAAAACCTCCTCAAGGCTCCTCCATCCTGGCAGGAGCCGGAAGCAGGCCTTGGCATGGAGCCTCCAAGGCTGTCCTCCTTCCTACTGCACAAGCCTGGGATCTGGCCAACGTGGCGCTTTCCTCAGGCCCTAAGAGGGGAGGCATGCAGACACTTGGGGGAGGTGTGGTGCTGGAAAGCTGTGTGCATGCAGCCCTGGCCTTGATGGCACGGCAAGTCACAGTGCGATAGCAAAGGGACAGGAAGGAAGGAAGCAGGAGCCTCCCTCCAACACACAGAGGCGGGCGCCTGGGCATGGAAAGCACCTCTGGGACAGGCCTGTGAGCTCAGAAAGGCCCCACTGGGCTGACCTGCCTCTGGACACCCCAGTGGGTGGGGAGGGCAGCAGCGGGGACCCACAGCGCAGATGCCTCTCCGAGCCTGGGGGCAGGCCCTGCCCAGGAGGATGGGGGAAGGACAGAGCCGCCCTCATGTGTCCAACGCTGGCACCACACCGACGGGGCAGAGCAGCAAGTTGGTGTCCTCCCGGTGCATGGGCAGAGCCTGGGCTGTGAAGCTGGTTCTGCTTCAAAGGGGGGAGGTGCATCCTTTCACCCAACATCCAGGAGGCTGTCCACTCACTGGAGCCAGCGCTCCTGACAGGACACCTTTCCCACATGGACGTCCTGGCTGCCACTTCCAGTTCTGACTCAGGCACAAGCAATCAACGAAGGAATAAGGACAACCCTAGTGAACCCAAGAAAGAGGGCCCTGAGAGAGGTGGACTGAGGTTCCGGCCCTGGTTCTTGGAAGTTCGGAGAGATGCAGAATTAATAGGAGGCAAGAAACTGACAAAGACCTGACATCACCAGGGATGCAGCCTGGGCACCACAGCCCCCGAGACCAGCCGAGTCTACAAGTACGCGACCCGGAAGGGAGGAGGGGGGCTCGAGCTAGAGGTTCGGACAGGAAAGCTGCACGCGCCCCGGACCAGGCCCTTCCTGGGATCCTGGCCTCTCAAGGATCCCCTCCCTGGACTTTTGTTTCTTCTGAAATGAAAACCAGCAGGTCTAAATCTATCAGGGCAAGAGGAAGGAGGCAGCAGCCACTTGTGACAGGTCCAAACCATGGAGAATTTCCGACACGGCTGCAACACTGTGAGTTGTCACAGAGCTCCCCTGGCTGCACCGTCACCAGCAGATGGAGGAGTGAGTGAGAAGGTCGAGAAGAGGAATGCTCCAGGGGGCTCTGCAGCCCCTGCAGCTGGGGCAGGGGACAGGGCTGTCCCTCAGGGCAGTCCTGACATGGGCACACACTCCTTACTCAGACACTGTGTCCCAGCAGAGAGGAGGGGGAAATGGGAGTGGAGGGAGAGCGAGCGGGACCAGCTGCCGAGGCCGGGACAGAGGAGGCGGAAAGCCAGAGACAGTCACCGGGGAAGGGAAGAGGCGGCAGCCCCCTCAGGCACCCTGGCCATCCTACCTTGTCACATCCGGGGCAGAGGTCGGGTGGACGTGCTTCATGATGGTCTGGATCCAATTCCGCCGGATCCCCGAGGTCATGGCAGAGAGTGTGAACTCACCCTCTTTTGTCTGCACAAAAGACAGAGCGTCATCAGTGACAGACAGCTCAGCTCCCTGGTCAAACCCGCTGAGGACAGTGGCCAGGAGGCCCTCCTGGCAGTGCTCCAGGTGGCCACTGGGGCAGGGAAGAGCTGGAGAGTAGAAGAGTCGGTTGTGGGCGCTGGATTCTTCCCAGGGTGATGCCCAAGGCGTGTGTGTGTGCTTCGCCCCAGCACCAGGCAGGCACAACACAGGCCCATGAGACAGCCAGAGAGGTGAGTGCCAGCAGGAGGCCCCAGTGTGGGTCTTGTCTGTGGTACTGAAGAAAGGCGGGGAGGCCCTGTTGGCGAGGAGGGTGTGTCTAGGGACCCCTGGAGCCTTGGCTTGGGCAAGCGAGGGTACAGGAGTCCGCCGGGGCCTGGAGAGGGAGGCGTCACTGATAGCTCCATGGGACAGGGCCACTCTGTCCTGAGAAAGGCCTGAGAAAGGGGGCTATGGGCAGAGACGACACCAAGCCCATCTCCTCTTCCTCCCCAACAGGCTCCCATGTCCGTGAAGTGACTATCAGCACTGCACTCAGTGCACCCGGCCACACCAGCAAATTGTCCGCTACAAAATTACCAAGAGAGTCTAGGGACAGGCGACGCCTGACATGGTCAAGATCTTACTCCTGTGAGAGCCCAGTCTCCTTCCCCAAAACCAGGCAGGAAGAAAGAAATAAAACTTAAGAGTAGAAATCAATGGGCTGGGTTCCCAAAAAACAATCCAAAAGATCAAGGAAACCAAGAGCTGGTTCTTTGAAACATAAATAAGATAAACAACTAGCAAGACTCACAAAGAAAGAGAGAGAACCCTAATAAACTGAATCAGAAATGAAAAGGGGGACATCAAAACAGAAACCAAAGAAATTCAAAATATCATCAGAGATTACTTTGAAAGTCTGTATGCCACAAAACAAGAGAACCTAGAAGAAATGGATAAATTCCTGAAATCCTATAACCTCCCAAGGCTGAACCAAGATTTGGAATATCAACATAGCCTTATCACTATCAAGGAAATTGAAACAGTAACCAAGAGGCTTCCCAAAAATAAAAGCCCAGGTCCAGATGGATTCACCAGTGAATTCTTCCAAATGTTTAAGAGGCCCTATTGCCAGTCCTTTCCCAGCCTTCCCAGGAAACACAGAACAGAAACTCTCCCCAACAGCTTCTATGAGGCACACGTCACCCGAGCATGTCTCCTTCCCAGCACGTGGCAGTGTTGGTCTCTCATGTCAGGGCCTCCCTGCCTCCAGACCTGCCCATCTCCCCCGAGGCCCCTGCCGCCCCCTGCTGCAGGACGTGGGTGTTTCTGGAGTCTGACCAGAGTCATATGCTCTCTCCCATGACCTCACCGTTCACCTGCAGCAAAACGCCTTCTCAATGCCAGGCCCACGCCTGCAGCTGCCCGTCTGATGTTCCTTCTGGGCTGCTTGGCAGCTAGAGTTCTTACAGGAGCCCCTCATGGCCTCAAACATACCGTCTGGCCGGAAACCCCAAGGTTCTACCTCTTCAGGGAAGCCGCCTTGGCTGGTCAGCTCTGGGTACACGCCTCTGTTTCCCCCTCATCTCGGGCCTGAGCCCTCCGGGCCTTCCCCTCTCACTGCCCTGCGGATGTCCCTGACTACCATACAGAGCTGCACTGCTACCCACAACCCCCAAAATGGCACCCAGGGTTCCCACGGGCTGACCCTGTTTGACCTCTGTATTCAGATCCTTTGCCACGGTTGCCCCTACCCCCTGCCCCTGCCCCTGCCCTATTACCAGCCCTTCAGCCTTCCTTCTTGGAGGCGAAGGGTGAATAGGCTGAGTGCACGCTTTACATGCTGGCGGCCCAAGTTCAATTCTCGGCACCACATGCCCCCGTCCCCTGCCAGCACCATGAAGAGCGTCCCGGAAGCCACTGGGAGAACTATCGCTGAACATGCCCATGACCCACTCCTTCTCCTCCCCCCAACCAAAAAAAATAAGAAGAAAGATCCTAAAGGTCCCTAGTGGTGGAGCCAAGCCAGGGGGCTGTGCTCCCACTCAAAGTGAAGGGACTCAGGGAAATGCCTCAGAACGGACAAGCGCACCTCCCCCGCCCACACCATGAACAGTGAAGTGGGGTCAGAATGACCGGTGAGACGCACAGGGAAGGGTGACTCAGACGTACGAGAGCAAAGTAGATCTCCAAGGCTCAGGCCACAGCCTCACCACACAGGACGTGGCCCTAGAACTATCAGATAACCTGCTTAGCGAGAAGCTACCACTTACCCCAGGATGCCCTGCCCCAAGAAACCTGCTATTCAAGATGGGGAGGCAGGGCTGGTGAAGGGTTCAGCAAGGGGCATGAGAAGCCAGAATTTGCAGTGTCTCCCAGGCTGCCCAGAGCGCCCACACCACGCCCCCTCAGGAACAGAGGGCAGCAGCCAACTCCATGCTGGCCCAGTGCATGCTCCCTTTCCTGTACCCTGACAGCGGCCGTGTCTGGGGGGAATGCCATATATGACTCCTTACAGTCATACATGCTGGCAGCTCTGAACCCCAGGTTCCTCTAGGTCTAGTTAGTTCATCTGAGTCAGTCCCTGTCAGTCCCACTGGACTATGCTGAGTCCAGAGACACAACAGAGCTTCCGTGGGCAAAGACCCTGTGGACGCTGAAGAACCAAGTCCCAGGGCGGGCCTCTCTGTGGAGCACCACAGGGCTAAACTGTTAACATTTTTTGGTTGTTTCTGGGCCACACCTGGTGCTGCTCGGGGCTCACTCATAGCATGGCTTTGTGGGCAGGGATCCCTTCCTGGTGGGGCTTGGGGACCCACGTGGGGTGCTGGGCACAGAACCCAGGCAAGTGCCTTGCCCACTGTACTACCTCTCTGGCCCCTGTGCTGTTAAACTTTGCAAGGCAAGAGTTAATCTTGCCCAAAGGGAGGTAAGAGCTGAGCCTTGGGGTGCCTCTTACTCTGGGCAGAGATGGCTGCAGAGCTGTCCACTCATGGAACTCAAGGGCAAAGGGCCCTGACAGCTGCAGGAAGGGGCAGAGGCTACCATTGACCCTATGGGCAGCTCAGTCAATCCCAACACTGAAGCCTCACAAGTCCTCCAGATGCTTTAGGCAGGCAGCTGCTTGGGTGGGCAGTGTACAGAGTACAGCCCACATCAATGCCAAGAGCCAGCAGCCCCTGAGACAGGGAACCCATTCTCCATGCATCCTCTCTCTCGCTGGTTCTGACTTGGGTCCTTCAACCACAAGAAAACCACTTTTAAGTACACCGCTTTCCTGGGTCTGTGAACCATTTTGTCCCAGCTGACTTTGGACCTGATGTCGAGGTTTGGGGCACTTCCTACACTTGCAGGTGGTGTCAGAGAGAAGTTGTCAGGGAAACTGAAAACGAATCTCCAACATGGTTGACTCTGGGAGCCCGTGACTCACCAACTTTGATGAGACGGTCATGAAAACTATTCTAGCTGGGGAGGGGCAGTGTTTGGGGACCACGTGTTTGGGGACTGAATCCGGGCGCCCACATGCAGAGTTTGCATACCAGTCCTCTGAGCCATTCTCGAACTCAAGTTTTAGTTTTTTTAAAGACAGGAACAATGCCTGGCTCATGTGAGTCCCTCCCCAGTCACGTGAGGGAAAAAAAGGTAAAAGTGGATGAGTGAGTAAACAAAGGAGTATGTGAACCAAAAGAACTTTGAGATTTAAGGAATTTACACTTTGATTCTTGTCTCCCAAGAACATCCTTCTATTGCCCCCCAAACTTTAGAAACTAAAAAAAGGGGGAATGAAGGAAAAAAATCTTCTAACTAAAAGCTTCCACATAGTCTTTAGATGCTAATGTTCAGTTTTTGTTTAGATCATAGACTGGGGGTGAGCTGCAGGGCCCTGGGCCCGGAGACAGGGCCTCAGTGCTGACCGGCTCAGTATGCATGGAGCTTGTCCTCAGCAGCCCCGGGAAGGGACTCCAGCTCTCCAAGGAAGCCCAGTGCAAGCCCAATCCCCACTTCCGGGCCCGTCTCCCAACTCCACTCTGGCTTACGTGTATCTGAAAGCCATAGTTTCTCTGGACTGGATACTCTGTGACGTCCACACACGTGGACAGGTCGATTTCGCCATCCAAGTCAGCTGCCTGCAGAGAAATGAGAAACTCTTGAGATCTCCTATATGGTCAAGTCAGTCCCTACATGAACAAATTTCCACGTTGACTTATTTTTGGTCCTCGTTAACAGTGACCACATAGGGTGGTGTTTGCGGGTCTGGGCGACTTGTGGAGATGCCCGGGAGCCATGGGGGCTATACCCAGTGCCAGAGATCAAAACCAGCATCACGGGCAAGGCATGTGGCCAACTAACTGAGCCACGGCCTGGGCCCTTCCATGCTGGGTCCTTATTTACACTTTGGGGTGGTCTTCCAAACGGTACTCAGGGATCCAGAGCAACAGGACAGTGGGTAAGGCGAGGAACTCCAAAGAACTTTAGTTTATTTGGGTTTTATCTATTGGTATTTATCATATTCTCTGTTGAAAACATTTTTAGGTTTATTTTATTTATTCGTGTATTAGTTGTTCCTCTTTGGGGAGGAGAAGGCACACCCTGAGTTTTAAAACATGACAACTTCCAGTGTTTCTCCAAGAACAGAGAAAAGCAAAGTTGTGAAAGCCTATTGTCCCCATGTTCTTTGTTCTTTTTTTTTTTTTTGCTTTGCTTTTTGGGTTACACCCAGCATTGCGCAGGGGTTACTCCTGGCTCTGCACTCAGAAATTACTCCTCGCAGTACTGGGAGACCATATGGGATGCTGGGAATCGAACCCGGGTCGGCCATGTGCAAGGCAAACGCCCTACCCACTGCGCTTATCCCTCCAGCCCCTGTCCCCATGTTCTTAAAGCAGGTGTCCATGGAGGCCAGCATTTGGGGAAAGGCCTGGGAAAACACTGGAAACGGTCTTAGTGTGCTCAGTCTCCGCTCAGACCTTACTGGGAGACCTGCATGCCAGTACCAGTAAACAAACGGGATCCTGAACCTGGGAGAAGGCCTGGCTCCGAGGTACCACTGGGACCCCCACTTGGCCTCGGTCAGGGAAGCCAGGGTACTCACTTCCTCAGCCCCGGAGTCCCTGTAGTATCTCAGGCTCTGATCAGCAAGGACAAACCAGTGCTTCTTCCACTGAAAGGGAGAAGAGAAGACTCAGCCCCCCCTGCAGTGCACTGCCTGCTCCGAGAAGACCGCAACCGAGTCACAGGCACCTCCCAGCAGTGAAGCGAGGGCAGGCAGCCCCACCCGCAGTGGCAGGCACACACAAGGTGCTGGCTAAGCTGCGGCACCCCAGTGACAAGGTGGCACGCGGGCTGTGGGCTCTCAGAAGCCACGGCGCGTGGCTGGGTGAACGGTGCTGTGCAATCCTCCGTCTCAGCTCCAGAGACTGTAAAGGGCCCGGCCCTCGGAGCTATGAGACTGGGAAGTCGGTGGCGTCATCCTGAGGTGGCAGCTCGGGAGCCACAGCCACTGGCAGCTAACCAGGGGCGCCCACCTGCAGCTGGCAGGAGCCCACCAACCAGCCAGACGCCCCCGTCTTCACTGGGAGTAGGAGGGAGGGAGAACTGAGTCTTCAGGCAAGGCCATGGGCACAGATATGGAGGAGAGAGAGAAAGAGGGCATTTTGGCAGTCGCTCAGGGAACAGGAGGGGGCCATGGGGAGACGGCCCTGAGGGAGGCTCAGTGAGAACCTAGCAGGCTTCACGACAGCGGGGCCACATCCTCCCCGTGCTGAGCAGGGTCTGGGTGGATCGGCAGATCCAGCTGCGCATGGCCAAGCGCTGGTCTCTGATGGCCAGACAGCCTCGGGGTGCCCCTGGAGAGGGGCAGGAGGGCGGCTGGAGCTTTAGGAAGTCCCCGAATCACAGGAGGACAGTGATTCTTGTTCACACAGGGGGAGGTGGACCTGGAGGCGCATCGCTGGGATGCGTGAGACCTCGGTCACAAGTCCTGTCCACAGACCAGGGGCAAGGAAGGGCCGGGGACGAGGCCGATGTGGCCTCACACCTGCTCAGCGCCACAGCGGCTCCGTCTGCTCACCTGGCCATCCTCGTACTGCTTGGTGAGCCAGCCTTTCTTAAAGTTCAGCAGGTCGGGCTGTGGAGAAGAAGAAGAGCAAACATTTCAGAGGAAATCGCGGCGGCCCACCAGTCACGGGCCACGACAACTTCCGGGTACCATTTCTGTCCAGAGGAGGAGGGCACCTGAGAGGGGGCCTGTGGCCACTGATGCCCACTGCCCAGTCCCTATAGGCATGCGTGCTCTGAGGAAGGAAAGAGGGCTGGCGGCAGGGCTGAGCCTCACTGCCCTCCGTAGGGCAGCAGGAACTCAGCTGAGAGAGACGCCCTGGCTGTACCTGCTGGGCCTGCCGGGAAGAGAGAAGAGTTCCCGAGACAGACCCCGGGACACAGCACGGGAGGGTCTGCAGTGACAGCTGAAAGAAGGATCGGAAGTTCTCACGAAGTCATAGAAGACTGAGAGCAGAGCCCACGTGAGCGCTGAGTGAGACACGCGTCCCGCTGTGTGTGGCCATCCTGTGCCGCCTGCAGCCACTGACCTCTTGGGCCAGACCTGTCTCCTCCTCCCCACGAGCAGCACACAGAGAAGGAGCGGCCAGGCCTCAGCAAGACCCACGTGGCTCTCTGGCCCCCGTGCTCATGGGCCCTCAGAACTGCTCAGATCACACGTTTCCTCCTGAGCACCTGTCAGAAAGCTCAGAGACTTGAACCCCCTGCCCTCACGCCACACGCTATGTCACAACACCATGATGGAAACAGGCTCTGAGGTCTTTTCGTGCTGCAAGGCCTGTGCGGGAGTTAGAGGATGTGAAGTGGCAGGACTGGCGGGAAGATGGAGTCCCGACCCGCCTCCTCGGGAGCTCGAGGACAAGCCACGCGACGCTGCGTCTTCTGGTCCTTCGCCCACCTAGACATCATCACTGCCACAAAAGCTCAAATGACCCGAGCCAAGGCCTGCTCTCACTCTGCGGGAACGCTGAACAGGACCAGGGCTCCCTGCAAGTGCTGGCCACTGCTTCCACAGGCTAGAAGAAACGCCACCAGAGTACAAGCAGGTGTTCCCTGCTACGGCGGCCCTGCTCCCCTCGGGTCCGGACTCTGCCGCCTTGGCCGGGAGGCTTTCTTCCACAGGGACCTCAGAGCGCGGAGAAGGACAAGAAACACAGCGACCTCTGTTCCCCTCACAGCTACAAGGGCCAGCGCAGAGGGGACGGCCAGCGCGGACGCATGGACAGAAGCAGACAGTGACCCCAACTGACTGGAGTCAGCAGCACCTCCAGGGCTGGTGTGGCGCTGGGCTCACCGTCAGGGAGGACTCCGTGGACCTCCTGTCCAGTGACTTGGCTCTTCGGTGTGGAGACAGGGGGGAAGCCGAGGTGTCCGGAAGCGGAGCTGTGGGGGCTTCGCTGGTGAGGTCCTGTGGCAGAGAGCAGCCGCTGGTCAGTGCGAGCCAGGCAGCACGGGGGAGGGACGGGACGGCAGGCGCCGTGGTCCCAACTCTGTCTGGCTCCCATGGCTAGTCAGAACCAGGGCTGGCTCCTTTCGCTTCCCGAGGGGGTCGAGACGCCCTGGCGTCAGAGCAGCCAACTCCTTCAGACGCTCCCCTCGGCTCTGCCCTGCCCCGAACTTCTTGAAGTGACAGAAAGAAAAGGCCTGGGCTCGGCGGCAGCGAGCGATGGGGCTAAGCAGAGCACGTGGCAGAGCCACCTCCTGAGCCAGAGAGAAGCTGCAGAGGAAGTGGGTTAGACAGGCCAAGGCCCCAAGAGGCAAGAGGCTGTGGGGAGGAGGACCCTGGAAGTAGGATCCGCCATGTAGACGTGGGCAAAGAAGGCTGTGCTGTCACTTGAAAGAAAGGAAGGGCAGTGTCCAGCCTGCGGCTGGGCGACTCAGAGAGAAAGAAAGCAGCGCTCGGAGGACTACAGAGCTGATGCCTGGAAGTTTCCACGACAGAAGATGCAGGAGACAGGACTCCTCAAGCAGAGTGCTGGCGGGAGAAGCAGCCACAGGCAGCCAACAGGAGCCGAGAGCCTGGGCCAGCAGGAAGACACGGGTGCGCGCGGGGGCCCGTGGAGGGGGTGCCGGGGGCCGGCCCTGCCCCAGAGGCTCACCCGCTTCCTGGGGAAGGCCCTCTTCTCGCTGCGGCCCTGACGCGTGTCCCCCGACGGCGAGGGCCCAGCGGATGTGTTCGTCTCCATGTGCTCTGCCTTCTCAATGTCCAAGGCCTCGAACTTCTCAATGACCTGCGACCTCCTGCAAGAGAAGACAGGAAGCCGCTGAGGGGGAGACAAGGTCTCCCCAAAGCCCCAGGTGGGCCTGGTCTCAGGTCAGAGCGACTCCTTCAACCCATATCCTGGCACAGGCCCAGCCCTCTCTCCCCCTCACAGCCGTGCAGTCCCGCACGCAGCGCGCCCGGCCATCTGACCCGACCCCCTCCCCAGTCCTAACTCCAGAAGGAAGAGATGTGCAGGGGTGGACAGCAGCTCAGGGAAGGGCCGCCCCCACCACCAAGCTGTCCTCCTGGCCCACTGCCAGGCCTGTCCGGCGAGGCACGGAGCAGCCCCCCAGCTCCTCACCCAGCATGCTCAGAAGACACCCACCACCTCCAGGACGCCCCGTCCCCGCCGCAGTCCTCAGCAGATCACGATGCAGTCCCACCCCAGGGGCACCCAAATTTAGCAAGGGGAGGGGGAAGCCCATGAATTAACGTGACTCTGCCAACAGTCAAAAGAATCAAAAACCAAATTAAAACGAAAACAAAAGCGAGTTGATTTCATGGGAAAGGGCCGGCGGCATCATCAGGCCATCTACGGCTGGAGACGGAGCTGAGATGGGAGCGAAGCAGGCGGAGGAGGGGCGAGTAACGTCACACAGCGACACAGCAGGAGAAGGTGGAGAGGGGCAAGACCTGAAAGAAAATAAGGCTGGGAAATGAATAAACAGAAAAGGACGACTTTTCAAAATCAAGTCATGGTAAATCAAAATTACCCAAAGCATTAAAGAAAACAAAACCCTCAGTGATTCCCAGGGAGGGGAGAATGAAACCCTAAGTGACCTGGGGGTGGGGGGCGGAGGGGAGGGGCACCATGGAGCCAGGCGGGAGGTGGAGGCATGACGGGAGAGCTGCCTTCCGCTGACCGGGCGAGCCCATCCCCCCGGCAATGCCCAGGCCGCCTGGCAGCTTCCTGGGCACGCGGCAGAGAGGACTCTGGAGTCCAGATCCGAAATCCACACGGGAAACAGGCTAGAGTTCGGGACCCCACAGAGGCTGTTCCTCTTGGCTGGTCTGCTGGGTGATTTTCCCCACTAGGGTGTTTCACCAAGACAGGCGGGACCCAAGGGCTCGTTCTCAGGGGCACCCGGCTCTCTGCTCTCCCTGCACTGCCACACGAGCGCCGAGGCTTCTGTAGCATCTTCTCTGGAACAGAGCCCACCCCTGTGCCCCACCGGCCAGACCAGCACTGCAGGGGGCAGCTGCGGAGCAGGGCAGGAGGGGGCGTGCGCTGCAGGGCGGGAAGTGGCAGGAGTTCCCCGAGACCCCCAGGAGGGGAGCTCTTGCAAGCGCTCAGCCTGGCCAGGCTGCGAGGCACCCACCTTGTTACAGCCTCCGGGTGGGGTCAGGCCCTCTCACAGGCCTCAGAGCCCCTCCAGTTGACCCTGGGGCTGGAAGGCCCCAGAAGGCCGTACGGGACGGGCCTGACCCAATCCCATGCCAGCGGCATGCTGAGGACTGCTGGGCCATGGCAGGCAGAGCTGGGGCAGCGGAGGAGAGTGACCCTTGCTGGAGGGGCTGCGGGCATGCAGCAGGGCGGCCTCTATGGAGTGGGGGAGACCGGAACTGCTCCCTGGTGCAGGGTGGTGTCCTGGACCACACCTCAGAGGGTACCAGCATGGCCGAGAGACACTCCGCTGCTCGGACCCTTGTCCGGGCTCCAGCCAGAGGGGGACCCTGGTATCTGACACAGCTGCTCAACCAGAGCACACAGCCTCCGCACGTGGGCTGCAGCTCCCACCCAAGACCCGCTCTGAAGGAGCAGCACGGACGGGCCCCCGGATGCCCACAGTTTCCCGCAGGACAGGCCCGTCTTGGCTGGGGCTGACGGGTACCCTGCCAAGGCAGGACTCTGGTCAACCCAACCAGGGAGAGGAACCCAGTCAAGCACAGGGCAGCCACCTGGAGCCAGAGTCCAGGCCTCAGGAGGCGACAGCAACCAGCCAGGGTGATAGGGACGAGAGAGTGACAGCGCCAGGGTGCAGAGCTGGCAGACCCCCCCACCCCCCAGGCCCCTGGGGCAAGCGAAAGCTCACCGCCAAAGCAGCAAAGGGCACGCAGAAAGCCAAGTCTGAGGGAGGCTGCTGGCCGGCTGAGCAGGGAGGCGGGGCTGGCTCCTGCACCCTGCTCTCTAGGCCCCTTCCCCCAGTGACCATGCTCTGTCCCAGGTTAAGGTGGTGGAGTGGGGCTGTTCCCTCGGAGGGCCTGCTCGGGGTTCTCAGGGGATCACCAGCACCTGGCCGGTGCTCCGGGCTGACACTGCTGATGACACTGCAGCTCCGCTCCCCTCCCCTCCCCTCCCCTCTCCTCCCTTTCCCTCCCCTCCCCTCGGAGCTGTGGCCATCCCTGTTCTCTCCTCTTGACCAGACCCAGAACCCCAGGCATCTTTTCCTGACTCCAGAGCTTGACCACACAGGCCCATTTCCTCCATTGGGGACACAGTGGGGTTGGGAGACAGGTGCCGTGCCCCGTGCTCCTGACGCCCTCAGAGGGAGCTGTGCCCGTGTGCCTGGCTCTGAGCCCTCCTCGCACTCTGCTGAAGGAGGCTGTGTAAACACTTCATGGATCTTCAGGCTAAACGCCTTTTATGGAAAGCAAGCATCTTTGGAAAATTAATTTAAAATATGGATTTTCTTGGGGTTGGAGAGACAGCTAAAGTAGGCTGAGTGCATGTTTTGTATGTGGGAGGCCCAGGTTTGACCCCCAGCACCATTTGGTTCCCTGGACCCTCCAGGAGAGACCCATGAGCTCTAAACCCATGAGCATCCCATGAGCATCACTTGTGAGGCAAAACCCAAAACCATCCCAACCCCCCAAAAGTATGAGTTTCCTGTTTGAAAAAAAATGTATAAACTCTGCAATTGTTTTAGAGGGGTCATGGGGCTTCAGAAGGTGACTGTGGACCTGGGGGAGAACGTCTGTTGCCCGACAAGGCAGGCCCGAGTCTAGTTATGGCGGGCGTGCTGGTCTGACTGGGCTAGGCTCAAGCGTCAGCCCTTGGCCCTTGCCCCAGTCTCTGGTTCCGACCGGAAGCCAAGGCTCTGCTCAGCCTCCTCACTGTGGCCAAGCCTGGCCCAAGCGGATGGTGTGGGCATGCAGTCGCACAGGCTGCCTCAGCTTCCCTGAGCGCCACCTGCCCTGGCCCTTGCGTCCTGCGGTGACCTCCCCTCACCCCATAAACAGAAGGGCAAGAAGGGCCTCCTCCGCCACCCCATCGGCATCCTGAGGCCCCCTCCGGCCTCAGCCATCACCTTGGAGACTAGAAATGAGACAGGAAGAAAAAGATTCGACCTCAGGGGACCCAGGCAGTGGAGAACCCCCGAGGTCTCAGGGTTGGGGGGTACTTGGGGAGCACGAGTGCTCAGCAAGGCTTCATGCCAGCACCGGCGCCTAGTGCCGAGACAGCTCAGGCTCAAGGACAATTTGCCATGTGTTAAAAAAAAAAGGTGGGGGTGGGTTGGGAGGGGACGGGGCAAGTAACTGTGGCAGCTGGGGAGGCTCACAGGGCACTGAGTGTATGCGCTGGACGTGTGCTGATACCCAAGGGAAGTGGGCCTCGAGGGCCTGCATGTGAAGAGGTGTGTGACGTGTCCAAGACAGTGGTGCACACGTGAGGGGCATGCGAGCGTCTGCGGATGTGTGTGTGTGGTGTGTGGTGTGTGTGTATGTGTGTGTGTGTGTGTGTGTGTGATGTGCATGCCGAGCCCTCCACCCGTGCACCCCCCTCCTTACCTCCGCTCACTGCCAAACAGACGGGCCACCTCTTCCCTGCCAGGGCTCCGTGCCCGAGTCCTACGCTCCAGCCGCCTTCTCTCCACCTGGAAGGCTTCTCGGTGGCTGATCCTGACGGCCTTAGGGACGTCGGCCAGGGTGGCATACTGCCTGCTGGCTTTAAAGGCAAGGGCGTGCCCCAGTCTCTCTGCTCCCCGCCCCCTAGTGCTGCTGCAGTCCGTGTGGGCAGGGGGCCGGCTGGCAGTGTCCAGGGAGCCGAGAGAGATGCTGCAGACCATTCGGCTGGGGGCTCGAGGACCTGGGGAAGGAAGGGGCTGACCGAGCTCCTGGGAGGGTGACCCGGGGCCACTGTACCTGTTGTTAGGGGTGCTGGGGCTAGGAGGGGAGAGCGGCGGGGGCAGCGGGTGCTCCTCGGCCTTCAGGTCCTGCTTGGTCTTCTCCAGGGAGAAGTAGCCGCTCTCCACGCGGACCTTGCGGCCACAGTCCATGCGGTCGCTGCTCATGGCGCTCTCCTCTGGAGGAGAGAAGGGGCGGGAGACCCTTAGAGGGGACACCGACTGGAAAGCCCGCAGCACCCCCAAGGGTGTCATTCCCCTGCTGCCCGCTTCCAAAGGCCAACATGGTTTCTCCAGGGCGCAGCACGGATGCGGCCGGACCTGCTTCCCTCACTGTATCTGCCTCTGCCCCTGCCTGGCTGCCTCCTGGCTGGGGCTCTGCTGGAGAGCTGAAAGCCCCCCCCCCCGCCCCCCTGGAGAGACAGCCCAGCAGCTGCTCAGTGTGGGAAGGGAAGGGCAGAGTGGTGGGAGGAGGGGAGTGACTGGCCCTCGCAGGCGGACCCGGGACCTCTGGGTTACAAGGGCCAGCCGCCCCCAGAAAGCAGCAGCCTGAGCTGCAGAGTGGCCACGGCCCGGAGTAGGAAGGAAGAGGGGACCATGATGCCAGCACTCCCTCCCCAGGACCCTCTTCCTTGACCTCAGCCAGGGTTAGGCAGGAGGGCGGGTGAGCTGAGAAGGCCCTGAGTGGGCCTGGACAGGACCAGAGGGCTCCGGAGCGATTCTGACCCCAAGGACGCCCGGCTGCGCTGCAGAGACATTCCCCTTGGCGCAGGCCGGAAGGACGGGAAGGGGGCCAGCCAGCAGCCCCAGACCCCAGCGCAGCCGCAGGGCCCCACTCACCGTCTTTGCTCTCCAGCCCCGGCTCACTCAGGGCGCTGGCGGCGGGAGGCTGGCTCTGGTTGGGGCTCTGAGCAGGGCTCAGGCTGCTCCCATTGGGCTGCTCCTTGGCCCTCATTTCTTCCTGCCAGAGCGTGGACTTGGTGGTGGGGACCTTCTCGGCACTGGGGATGCTGCTGCTGCTAGCGCTGCTGCTGGTGACGGCCACCTTGGCTGGGCCTGGCTCCTGGAGGGACGGAGGGGGAGCTGGGGGCGCGGCTACGGAGGGCAGTCCCAGAGAACCCCTCGGCGACCGCCTCTGGCCTGCTCACCCCTGAGGCCCGGCCAGCACCCAGGAGCGCCTGCTGCAACTGGCCTCGGGGCAGGGGTGGCAGACAAAGGCTGAGGGTTTCTGCTCGGTGCTGATAACTGCACCCCAGGGTCTCCCTGCCCACAAAACTTGAGAGCCTGGGTTAGTGGACCAGCCACCGAAGGGAAGACACCGTGGTGGCCCAGCTTGCCACTCCTGAGTCCAGGCCTCTGAGCCATGAGTCAGGGGCGTTAACGGGCATGTGCTCACACAGGACCACACAGGCCAGCCCGAGGCCTCACCAACTTTCTCCTTTCGGTTCCTTGGAAGCTGACTTGGAGCCCCCAGGGCATCATTAAAGGAAAGCCGCACAGTGAAAGTCCTGCATAAACCTGCCCAATGTACAACCACCTGGGGCCGTAACCCCAAACCCCAGGAGGAGCAGAGCCACAATCCTCTCTCGGGTCAGAGCTGCTCCAGCAGGCTCTGCTGGGCGGGCAGGAAGGGCCGGGTCAGGCTCCTGCTGCCCTCGGCAGCAGCCTTTCCGCAGTGGCCTGGCCTGGTGCTCTGGGCTGTGAGCAGATGTTTGGCCACCCTCGCTGGGGAGCCACGTCTCAGTTCCCTTCCTGAAAAACATGGGGGATGTGGTGCAAATAGCCGCCCTTACCTCACCTCGGGGTGAGCCTCATGGATAGGGACCACCATGAACCGTGTGAGCTGGTATCTGTGCCGAGGTTTACAGATTATTCGGGTCGTGTACAGACACGTGTGTGTGTGCGTGCGCGCGTGCGCGTGTGTGCACGTAAACACTGCACCACCACAGAGTTATTTATTAACAGCCGCTGGGCATAGGCACGAGGCTTGAGATGAGAGCTAGTTCACAGTTCTCTCCAACCCACCTAGCCAAGGGCTCGCTGTTCTGTTGGGAGCAGGATCCCTGAGAGACACCCGGCCAATAAAGGACAGCGTGGGGCTGCAGGTATCCCAGCGAGGGGAGCAGGACAAAGAACCCACTGGGCTCTGGGCTCTGCTGTGGCCAGGAGCCCAGGTGCCACACGTCAGCATGTGAGTGAGAGCTGGGTCCAAAGCTCACCTCACGGGACAGGATAAAGCCACCCCCAGCAGACCCAGTTCCCAATCCAGGGCCATGACTGGGCGTGGAAGCAGCAAATGCCTCAGAAGACAGGGGTGGTCTCTGAGACCTGATTCCTGGGCCCCCAAGAACACCTCGGCCAGGGCTACCCATCCCGAAGCCACGGTCTTGTGAAGTCACTCCAGGTCCCTCTGCAGCACACCGTCCCGAGCCCAGGGTTCCAGTGCCCAGGCCAGGCCCTGCTCTGAGGCGGCCACAGGTCAGAAAGGACTGTCGGGGACTGTCCGTGGTATACTGCTTCTCCTTGCAGAGGCTGTCAGAGGCCCCCATGAAGGATCCCAGGGAAGGAGTAGCCCTGCTGCTGGGTCCCCAAAGCCACGGTGGGGCTGGCTTGCTGCCTGTACATATACAGATTTCCCTCTGGTACTCGAGGTGACCCTGGCTGTACAGAGCGGGATGCGAAGGGGTAAGCTGGGATCCTGAGATGGCAGGCACTTAGGCCTGAGACGAGAGGACTGGAAGCGCTGGGAACTGACCGCTCAGCACCAAGCAGTGGCAGGCCTCGCCCGCGGAAGGTCGTGCCCCAGAGGGCAGCAGGGCCTGCAGGGAGACCTCCTCTTTCCTCAGGGGCTGGAGGACAAGTCCTGCTCCCCAGGCCATGGCAGGGGCGGGTGAGGCTGCAGCACCCAGAAACTGGAGGAAGCGGTGGAGGAGCCCAGCACTGCGCAGAGCTCACAGCACGGAAAGTTCGAGCTATTTACAGGGCTACTCGGAGTTTTCCTCTCCTTGTTCGGGTAGGGTGAGTAGGGGCAGCCACTCCTGGCAGTGCTAGGGCCTTAGGCCCTGGGTCATGGCTGCACATCGGCAGCTGCCTGATTCCCCATGCTCTCTCTCGCTCGGGGAGTACTCAAAGCCAAGAGGAAACAGAACGGAGGGCAGGCCTGACCCAAGGGGCCTCCGGAGCCCCTTCTTGCTACATAGGCGCCTTTCCCCTGGGGGGCTTTCCAGAAAGGCCATCTTCTGTCCTGCATAAGCACTGGGGTGCGAGCTCAGGGCGTGTCTAGGAGCAAGGTCACTTCTGTAAGCAGGTCCCAGGGAGAGACCAAGAAGGATGCCGGCAAAGACGAGGGCTGGGAGAGATGCTGCCGGGCAGACAGGAGGTGCCTTCCTCCAGACTCTGAGGAGCAGAGACCCCAACTGCCCACATGGCCGTGCAGACATACACCCCTGGTCGACCCTGAGCCCTGGCTCTGGATCAGGGTGGAGTGAGATGGCCTTCCCTGTCCGGTCACAGTGGGTGACAGTCCCGTCTCTCTAGTACCGTGAAGACACTTTCCTCTGGGCAGAAGCAGCTCCTGGGAGCCCGACAGCTCAAAGCCGGGCTGAGACTGGGGCCTGCCGCTCTCCTCGCCCCACCCCTGCTCCCCTCAAGCCTGAGCCTCCTCCCTTGAGGCCCAGTGGGGGGAGGGGGAGTCTTTGCTGCTCTCAGCACACACCCAACGGCTGTGCTCACTAGTGTGGAAGGCTCACCTCTCCTGCCCTTTCACGGCTGGAGGCAGAGGCCAAACAATAGGGTACGGTAGAGGGATCCTCTGGCCGAAACCAAAGTCAATCTTCCCCTTTATCGGTCCTCCTGTGGGGTCACAGGGAAAGACCCGGCCCTGCAATTTCATATCTATGGAGCCCTGAGATTTCAGGGTTCCCCTGCTGCCCCGGTGGGGGGGCGCTTTAGCGTCAGGCTGCAGAGGGAAGCTTGCTCCGTGCTCTCCTGGGCGGGCCACACAGCACCCCACAAGACTGATGCAGCTGGCCGGGGACCCCTCAGTCCCCTCAAGTTCCCAGAAACCAGGCGCTCAAGCGGGATGCTCTGGGCCCAGAGGGTGGGAGAGAGGAAGACGCTGCCGGGTGCTTCTGCCAGGCCAGTGCTCAGGAGCAGGTCTGGGCTCTGGGAACTGCGGGTGATCTCACCCTGGAATCAGAGCTCCTGCTGCCAAACGAGAAGGTGAAGGCCGGCCACGGCCAGCAGTGTCTGGGGTGGGAAGGTCCCAGGGGAGAGGACAGCCGAGAGAAGGGTCGAACCAAACTGCCCCGTCTGGGCTGAACGCGTTCTTCGCACACGGAGTTTCCTTATTTGGCGTCAGGAGCCAGGCTCCTGTGTTGTTTGTGAGCGTCTCTATGGAAACCCCCAACACTGCGCTTCTGTCTGGGATTTTTCTCCTCTCAAACCAGGCAGCTACGGGGGTGTGGGTGGGAGGCTGCTGAGTGTGCCCCCCCCCCCCCCCCCCCAGGCTGCGGCGGGAGCTACACTTGGTCACCACTACCAACTCGGACAGCATTTTTGGCCCCCTTCATGCCAGGGCTGGGTGCCAGGGAAGCTGTCCTGGGACTCCCGGGAGGGCTGGACACAGTGCAACCAGGAGTGCTGACAGCACAGCCTTCCAGTCTGGGGATCACCTGCCGCCCGCTACCTACCTGTGCTGTGGGAGGCTCCACTTTCCGCTTCTTCTTCTGGTTCTGCTTATTGGTCCTGGGGTAGACCATGAGCATTTCCAGCCACCTGGTGGGAGAGGAGAAAGGACCGTCAAGGACCTACCCTGACACAGGCTCCCTGCGTCCCACTGATGGGCAGGCCTCTGGGCACCGAGCAGGGCACAGCACCACCAATGTGTGGGTGGGGAGGCAGGCTGTGTGGGACCGAGTTGCGGCTGACTGGGGACCACTGGCCGGGGAGGCCCTGCAGCCAGTTTGGGTGAGGCGGGCTCTGCCCTGGGCACAGGCCTGCCTTGGTTTCTGCAAACAACCTATTTCCAGGGCTTGGACTCAGTTCGAAAACTGCCTCCCCTTGATTTGATAAGCTTATGTAAGGGCTGCAGCTGGGGGCCTCTGCCACCCATCAGAGCAGGGAACAAGGAACAGCGCTACTAACGCTCCCCACGGTAGTGGTCTGATCTGTCCCCTCACCCTTGGGCCCCACCTGCAGAGCTGCCCAGAGTTCCCCACCAGGGCGGGTGCCAGCTGCCCCTGAAGCAGCATCAGCAAAGGCAGCAGGTAGGCTGAGGACCTCAGGCTGGGCCAGCTCGGCTCAGCCTCCTGATCACTGCTGTATCTATGGGTCATTCTGGCGAGACAAAGGGAATGAACTAAGAGAGGGGCAGAGCAGTGGGCACCGAGTTGGGTTTCCAGTCCACAGAGAGGCTATGATTTCTGGCACACACCACTCAGCATCCCCAGCGATAAAAGCAAGGAGGGATGGTTGGAAATCAGATCTTTGGCAGGAAAGCCTTCCCAGATCCATCAAATTTACACACCTGGGCAGCAGGGCACGTGCTGGGGAGTGATGGGCTGGGAGGCCTGGCTGGGACAGGCTCTGGGGCTCATGGAGGAGTGGCCTGCAGTGCTGTCCCTGAGGCCCCTACATACTGTTCATTCCCCCAGCATGGGAGGCATGGCCGAGTGGATGGGCCTCGGGGTGATTGACTGGCCCCTGGGTGTGGAGGAGAGCAGGGAAGCTGTGTGAGTGCTGTGGCAGCACCGCTGTGGGGCAGAATTTCTGAGTGAAAGAGGTCACGGGAGACTGTGGACACAAGATGGGTGGAGGTGCCCCAATAGCCCACCGAACTGGAGCGAGCACCAAGGTGGGTGGGGATGGGAAGCAGAGCTGGAAGGCAGGGCGTGGAGAAGAGGGAAGCCCCCAGTCTGCTCAGCGGAGGGTGCAGAAGACCCAGTCCTCTTTGTCCTGAAGGGCTGTGTGGGCGCAAGGACACACACCGGGAGACTGCCAGCTTCCTCTGTCCATCACAGCTATGCCCAGTGGTGCTGGGGGAGCCATGCTGTGCTAGGGACCCAACCTGGGGCCTCATACCAGCTCTGTCCCTTGCCAGAGTTCTTTATACCAGTGGCCTTTGACTACTGGCCAGAGAGGTGCCAGTGTGCAGTTACAGAAAGGCTGCACACGGACAGTCCAACTGCCACTTGGAGATACCTGCCTGCCTGTGCATGGCGTGCAGTTCAGGGGCTGGTCGGCCGGTGTGAAAGGGTTTGGAGTGCTGCTTTGTGCTTCTGAATAAATGGGTGTAGGTGGCTGGCACTCAGACCAGCAAGGTGGCACTACTCGGGCTCAGAGCTGCACGTGGGTCACCAGGGCTATGCCTGGCACTCAGGGGCAGGTGGTGCCGGGGGCCAGACTCAATGTTTTGAGTGCCCACCCTTTTGATCTTTCTGACCTTTCTGTAGTTCTCCCTTCGCCCTCTGGATGCAGCTGGGCTGGGCCAAGACCAGAGAGAAGCAGATCTATGTGGTCATCCAGCTTCTGCCACCCCACGTTAGACACGCAGATGCCAGCAGGCCAGCCGGCCCCTGCACAGCACAGCACTGGCCTTCTGCCCAAACGGCCACCTCCCACGGTGCAGACCTCCACGGGCAGGATTGGGGACAGAGTGCCTCGACAGCACTCACGGGAACCGTTCGCAGTCAAACACAAAGACCTTTGTCTTCTGATTCCCTCCTACTTCGCGGTGACTGCTGGTGCCGATGCCCAAATGTGCCGCCTCCCGGCTTCCTCAGCACCACCTGCCTCCTGCTTAGCCCGGTTCTGTGGTTGGGTCTGTAGGACTGATGCCCACACTCTTGCTGGGCCCACCGCCTGCCCACCGCCCGTGTTCCCCTGGACCCACCGCCTGCCTGCTGCCCATGTTCCCACAGGGCCCACCTCCTGCCCACTGTCCATGTTCCCCTGGGCCCACCACCTACCCGCTGCCTGTGTTCCCACAGGGCCCACTGCCCATATTCTCACTGATCTCGCCTTGTGGGAAGCTGGCCCCTGGACTGTCACCCACGGGAGTGACACCTATAGAAACACCTGGACCTGCTTTCCACTGCCCAGGACCCCCTAAGCCTCCAGGGGAGTGAGTGACCCAGGGACTGCACTTGTCCCATCGGTGAAAACAGCCAGGGCGCACGGTAGCACCAGAGTGGCTCCTGTGTGGTGCCGGGATGACAAACACCTGGCAGCTCGGCTCCTCACTCGCTCCTCAGGCTCGGGAATGAGATGTGCCCCATCCTTGTAAGTGTCCCAGGGGAGCATTTCCCAGAGAGCTGGCCAATTCCAGCAGTACGGAGGGCAGGGGCCATTCTAGTAGGGGAAAGGGGAGCCGAGGCACAGGCAGCTCAGTGCTCAGGAACAGGAGCAGGGGGGCGGAGGGTGAGGTGAAAGAGAGGCTGGGAGATAAGAAGGGACACCCCACCCTGCTGAGCCAGGCAAGGGACTGGGGCTTCAGCCCCTCCCGGCGGAGTAACGGCAGGTGGGCACAGGGAGGGGAGGACACGGCAAGGCAGGGCCAGCAGGGGAGGCTCCGGGGCTGCTCCTGGCCAGTCAGCAGGCACAGGGACAAGGTCAAGCTGGGGGGACGGTAAGGTGAGAGGGGGCCAGGCCAGGGGACAGCGAGGGCCGTCCCGCGAGCTCCAGGGCAGACTCACCCGCTGATGATCTCCTTCGTCTCCGCCCGGATGAAGTGCTCCTTCTCGGGGGTCAGGATGCACAGGGAGAACTTCTGGCCTGTCCGGCCCTCGCCGTCCACCACGTCAGTGCACTGGTTCATATTGATGGTGCCTTGAGGGAGGGTTGTGGGCTGCAGGAGGAACAGGGTGTCACTTGGGGCCAGCTCTGCAGGGCAGCGAGGCCGCAGATCACACACCACGCAGGGCTTCCTAGCCCGGTGGTTCCCTCCCAAGCACGGAGCCTCTCACGGCGGTTTGCACCCCCAAGTGCAACAGAGGTGCATGGGCTGCTATGCCTTGCTCAGCTCTCACACCCCCCAGCAGCCCCTCTGCCCCCGGGGAGTGCTGTGGCCGCACCACTGCGGGGCAGAGCTATGGATGCTGGAAAGAGAGGTTCATGGGAGACTGTGGACACGAGATGGATGGGGGTGGGGTGCCCCAGTATCCCACCCACCTGGAGAGCGCCAAGGTGGGTGGGAATGGGAAGCAGAGCTGGAAGGCCACCCTGCCCACGCCTGTCCAACTCCGTCCCCCCCACGCTGTGGGCCTGCACTCCATCCCCCCGTCCTGTGGAGCCCAAGACCACCTCACAGTGAGCACGACATGGAGGAAGGGGACAGGCGGGGACAGCTGGGCAGCGCGGCCGCCCGCGCCAGTCTCGAGGGGCTGCTGCGGGGCAGTGTGAAGCAGCTCCAGGCGGGGGTTTCAGAACAGCAGAGTTATTTTTAGAGGGCAGGGGAGGCAGCGCAGCCACATCCTTGGAGGTGGGCTGTGGGGCGGCAGGCTGAGGTCAGCGCGCAGAAGCTTCCAAGCAGCCTGCTGCTGCCTCGGGGCTGCCCACGAGGACTGCACAGCTGCCCGCCAGTCCCGGGCAAACACTTCATAACCTTTTTCCCATTCTTAGAAGGCAGAGAATGCCAGACACTAACGAGGCTAGAAAACTAGGGCTAAAAAACCAGAAGCCAGGCTAGTAGGCTGTGAACAATGACTGATGAGGGTTAATAAGAGAACACCCGGACACCCTTCTCCCCAGCAGGCCACCGCCTCTGCCAGGAGACCACGACACCACCGGTGCTAGCTCTCGGTCCACCCATGGGGGCTTGGGGGTGGCCTCCAGAGGAGTGGGCAAAATGGGGATGTCCCATCTTTCTGCTGACCTTAGGGGATACTGGGCCCACAGCTGCCGGGTTATCCCAGCCGGGGCAGGTGCACCCTCCAGCATCTCTGCTACAGCCCTTCCTGCTTTCACACCACCCCAGCATCACCCCATGTGCCCCCGGAACCCTCTGGGCAGCCCGAGCATCTGTGCCCCTCTGAGCACAGACCCTCTCCCCCCCCCCCCCCGCCAGCATATGTGCATAGCAACCACTGGCCCCAAACAAAGCAGGGGGTCCTCTGGGGCAGGACCTCCGGCCAGTGGCATGCGTGAAGGGCAGGCATCGATGGCAGTGGGGAGACATGTCAGCACCAGTGCTCCCCCAGGCACTCCTCTCTAGCCTCTGTGCAGGCCGGCCTGTGGCCCTGCGGCTCACAACACACAGCTCCTCACTGTGGCACGGAGACGCACAGATTTCACGAGTTACCCGTGCCATGGTGCCAACAAGGAACTTACGCTACACCTGTGCACAGGGAAGTCAGAGGGGGCTCAGGCAACTGTCAGCAAAAGCCCTATTGTATCCCCGAGAGGGACCGCCTAGTGCCACTCTCACCCCACAACCCTGATTCTGCTTTGGAACAAGGGCCCCAGAGCGTGGCCACTAGGTGAGACCTCCCAGCTGCCCAGATACTCAGCCACCGCCCACACTGCAAGACCCCCTTCTCTTGAGTCAGTGTTCTCACTCTGAGAGGAGAACTCTAGTCCCTTCTAGAAAGACTGCAAGACACAGAGAGGGAAGGCATGACAAACTAGGCCCGAGGAGAGAAACGTACTCGCTGCTGGGCCTCCTGAGTCCCTGACATATGCTTACGGGGAGGCAGGCGCCCAGGGACAGATGCAAAAGGAGGCTGGAGAAGCCGCAGCCCTGGAAGGGAGCCTAGACACAGGGCTGTGCGTGGACGAGCCCTGAGGGGTTCCTGCCCCAACGGCCCCTGGTCCCTGGGAGGAAGTAGTTTCACTGCTCAAGCAGGGCCTGCGGGATGCTGGGAGTCAGGTGGGGCCGTACCCTTGACCCCACTGCCCTTCCTTCTCTACACCGAGGTTGCTGGGGCCTCATTGGCCGAGGCTCTGCAGGCCTCTTCTCTGCTCCCTGCCAGCCATGCCGCAGAGAGATGTCACCAACAAGCCATTTCTCTCTCAGCTTCACATGCAGGGACAGAAAGACAAACATCCGAGCCGCAACCCAGATCCAACCTGAAGGAAGCCCCTCCCTCGACAACCCCGTCCTCCCAAAACTGCCTGCAGAGAAACTGGCTCATCCAACAAGCTCCCTGCCCTAATTTCGCGTCTCCAAGGGGTTGGAAGCCGGGCTTCCTCTGGGGCTGAGCATCACCTAGTTTTTACTTGTTTCATTTTCGAAAGAAGCGGGGGGGGGGGGGGGGGGGGGTCTGCAGGCCACCCAGCTCTGCTACGGCTCCAAATTACATGCAGTGGTGTCACTGAGAGCGTCTGGGTTCAGGCCTCAGGACGAAGATGCTTTAGAAACAGCATGGCCTCAGGGAAGGGTGCCAGGCCCAGGGCCCTCCCACACCAGCCTCCCAACCTGTCTTCTCCATGGTGGCCCACCTGGGCCCCCTGCAGCCAGGACACCTAATCAAGGCCCCTGCAGCCCGGGAGGGGGCAGCGTCACCGCTCACACAGGGCCTGCAGGATGCTGGGAGTTGGGCGGGGCCGTACCCACCTCACTACTTGGGCACTGCCCTGGCTGGTCTCCCCCTTCCTACTGGAGCGGGGAGCTTCAGGCCTGATTACAGCTGTTAACAGCGTCCTGTCCTTGGGAGGCCTGCTTCGAGAACCGGAGGCTGCTACACAAACCAAGTGGGCTAATCCTCTCGGTCCCCTTTCAGAAAGAAGCATGCAGAGCGGCAGAATTAAAGGCGCTCCTCTGAGGCAAAGGGTTCTTCGTGCCTCTCCAAGGCAGAGGGCACCTCTGAAGGTTAGGCGTGGCACCACTCACTGCCCGAGGTCCAGCAACCAGGCCACAGTCCTCACATTCCTCTGACAGGCCCTCAGAGAGCAACAGTCTCCTAAAGGAACGCACATACTCCAGGCCCAACTCTGCGTCAAACGTGACGCAGTCACACATTCACCGTGGGGGTTGCATTCCGCCTCCCGGCTTGGTCTCATTCACCACAGCCCACTTGAGCAGGAAAGCACCAAGTCTGGCCAGCAGCCGGCCAGCAGGGCCGCAGGCCTCCCGCGGAACACAGCACTGAGCATGTGAGAACTGACTCTTCAGCATAGCAGTTAAAAGGTCAGCCCGGGTTCCATACCCGGCATCCCATACGGAGTAAACCCTGGGCGCCACCAAGGCGTGACTCAAAAACAAAGAAATTTTTTTTTTTAAAAAGAAAAAGAACTTTCAGTTGGAGGAGCTGCCCTGTCCTGACACGTGCCCTGACCAGGTGTTCACGCAGGCCAGGGAGCTCCACACCAAGGCCAGCGCCATTACAGACCCTGCAACAGGAGAGCAGGCCCAGGCGCAGAGTGAGCCAAGGAACCCGGAACCCGGAGGGGTACTCTGAACGTGCTGGCCTCTGCCTCCCCGCCCAGGCTTGCAGCCATTTCCGCATCTAGCCATGTCCAAGGTTCCTGCCACTGGTCCAGCGGAGGACTAGCGAGAGCCCTCCACGCCACCCTCCCGCGGGGCAGCTCGCCAGCGCCAGGTCCAGAAGCAGCCCCAGGCCCCTGCTGATGCATGCCCGAGCCCCCACACAGGCCCCGGGTCTCCAGGCTCTTCTGCCTGCTTACGGGGGTCCGCAGCCCATGAATTCTGGGTCCCTCTCTTCAGATACCAGTGACCACCCAAACACCACTGGGCTGTGGGATGCTGGCCCCTGGGCCATCTCCAGGCCAGCTCTGGCCGGTGACAAGACTCTCAAGCATCTGGAGCCGATGTTCTTAGAGGAACCCGGAAGACCTGTGGGAAAGGAGCCCAAGGACAAACCCACGGGACCGTGACCAGCCGGACGTGGAGTGAGCCGAGAGGGCCCTGCCTGGCCCCAGCTACTTGAGACGCCTTCCCCCAGCCCCGCTGGGGAGCTTCGGGCAGGCGGACAGCCCCCACCCGGCCTCTCGTTCCCCTCATGGAGAAGGCCACGGAGGCCCCTGCCCGCCTCGCTGTCAGCTGCACGGGCCGTGTGTTCCCTGTGGTTTCCGGGCAGTGCCAGAGCCACTGCTGCACAGGTGCCTCAGTCTCCCGCAAGCCCCGGGTGCCCAGACAGCACCCAGCTCTCAGGGATTCGTGCCTCTCCTCAGAAGGGACCCGGGGTTCTGAGTCACCCTTGCTCCAGGATATAACTGACACCTGTTCTCCAAGACAGCCGTCCCCTAGGAGATGGGGGATGTTTGGCCAGCAAGAGTGAAGGTTGTGACAAGGGGGTAGAGGTGACAGAGACCCCATTATCCAGGACAGAGAAAGGCGGAGCCAAAACAGACTCAACTCCTGGTCTTTCCCGGCCCTGGTCCCTCCAGTGGGCCAAAGGCTGGACCATGGGCTTGGTTCTGTTTCTTGAAAGCATTTGCCAAGGACACACTGTCCTGGAACCAGGCAGTGGATACAACTACGTGACAAAGAAAAGTAAAATGCGACTTTAGCGTGGTTGAAATGGTGAAGTTTTACATGATCTGATCTCAGCACAAAGCAACACCACAAAGAACCTCCTTGCTCAGGGTTGCCCGGACACTGCCGTTTCCAGAGAGTGAGGGCAGAAGGCTGGTGCGTCCACCTCCCCAGCACCCTGCGCCCAGATTTCCTGATGCACACGTACACACCGCCCATGGACGGGGGAGTGGGGCGGGTTCAATTCACCTTCTTCTCCTTGCCCTCGCGCCACAGGGAGAAGGAAGGAGCGTGTCCGACACAGGTGGGCTGGCCTGCAGGTGGAGAGAACGTTGCCGACTCTGGTGGAGGCACTCCTGGCCCCGTCTTCCTGAGAGGGCAGGAAAGCTAGACCTCCAGGCAGACATCTGAGG